GTCAAAACTATTGAAAAGGATAAAACTAAGATTGTCCATACAATTGCCTACCACCTCCGCCGAACATAGTCCTGGATTCAAGTGGAGCAATCGTTGAATCAATTCATGATGAGACGCCAACCCATCAATTTACAAACAACTAGCAGGGGACAATTAATTCACAAAAAGGATTTGGGACAATTAATCCACAGAAACGAATTTGAAAGTTCTTCCAACGATGATCAATGCCAATATACTACTACTTCTTTATCAACTAATCATGGTGCTAGCATTTCATTGAAGTTAATTATGAATCGTAATACCTATCAAGATTTTAACAATTCAACAAGAACTCGAATTGAAATTGAAACCAGAACAATCGGAACTCATGAATCCCCAATCAGCCATCATTCATCCTATTCCCACGAAAGAAATATTCATTGCTATGTTCACTATTTCAAATCACTCAACTAACTATTTTAAAAAAAAATGAATTCACTGACAACGGTGGCTAGTTCAATTGCTGCCTCACTGCCGGAGAATCCGACTCGGGCTGAGGGACATGTGCCCCCCTGAGGCTCCTCAAGTCCCCACAGTTGTTGGCGCATCCGATGTTAACGCTGCCTCAACCACCGAAGCTCCCAATTTGCTCCCAGACTAAAAATTTCTCGAGAAAAATTTTTGCATCAAAATGTCGTTGATCAAAATGCTGAGACAATGTCGTCGCACAGTTATTTTGATTATATTTCGTTCTTTTAGTGCGTGATACAATTTACACACACGTTCTGAAATGTTCATTTTTGAACTTTTAGGATCGTCGAAAAAAAAAACAAATGTTTTGACTTTTATTCACCACTTTCTTTTCTTGTTTTCATCAACAAATACATTCAATTAAGCTCAAATTAAGCTCAATCAATCAAATAAAGTGATTAATGTTCTCTCTTAAGGTCATAGAATGTTTGAATGACCAATTTATGTCGAATAGAGGAGAATTTTGGAAAATTAAAAATGTATGTATTTTATAATGGTTGTAATTTGAATGATCCCGATGTTTTTAGATCAAGTCATTAAAGCCGAATTACCTGATGTGTCGGTTTTTGTTCAAGAGTTGTTTGACATTGTTGCATCTTCTCTTATTCATTCTCCATGTGGTGACCATAATACTAATGCGAGCTGTATGAGATTTTCTAATGGGACACGCCTGTGTCGACATCATTTTCCAAAAGAATATCAAACATGGTTACCCCGTATACAAAAGAACACGATCATACAAAAGAACACGATGAGATGATGTTGTTCTTTTGTATACGAAGTAACCATGTTCATTAATGGTAGTCCTTTCTTGATATTCTTTTGGAAAATGATGTCTGTCCCATTAGAAAATCTCAGCTTTCTGGATGTTCCTATATGTCCTGGTTGTTTCTGGATGCTTGATTGGATGCAATTGGCATAGATCTTGTAATACACTACTAGAATGTAGAGATAACTAGTGTAAGATTGCTAATTAATGGTGCGGTTTGTCTTAACAGATTTCTTTTGCGGATTTTATTTAGAGTATTACTCTACCTGATAGCGGAAATAGATTTGTTATAAAGGGAAATAGAAATTTGGTTCCCAAAACAAAGTGCAGGTTACTGGAAATTACTTTTACGGGTTAATTTATTTTTTTACAGTTTCTTAAAACGAGTTCTCAAAACGAAAGGACTCCTAATGAAGAACTTGATATGGTTATTGTATTTAAATAATTTTCAACCTCCAGTTGGAAGAAATGCATTGCTTGTCTTGATCTAGGTTGGAATTAGAAAGTACAACGGGCCTAAGAATTTGATGTTGGTTTCAATGGTGGCGATGTATGTGGAAAGTTTGATGTGGGTTTCGATGTTGGTGATTGAGCATTTGGGGTGAAGTTGGTGATGGATCATTTGGGGTGAAGTTCTTGTGTGAGATTCAATAGCAATGGAGAAAAGAATTTAACCCCGAGCTGAATGATGAAGAATGCATAGACAATTCGGAATGAGGTAGACAATTTGGAGGAGTTTGATGGGGATTGCAATGGTGATGTTTGGGAAGAGAAATCCAACAGTCAACAATTTGCTCACAAAAATCAATACTATTCCTTGAAATATCAATGCTTATCTAATGAGTGGAAATATTTCCCAATTGTATTTCATTCATCAGAAAGACCACATCATTGGCGACTTTACCGTAGGACCGGCCAACAATAATATAGCCGGCCACTTCGTGTGGTTTCTCAAGCGGGCTTTAGTAGGTATTTACGATAGTGGTAGTAAAAATGAGTCGTAAAATGTAGGATGTGAGTACCACATTCTGAATAGTAATCTTAATGTCGCCGTATACTCTGTCAAAGGGACCCCATGTAGTCGGTTCGAGGTAAATTTAAGCTGCAAAGCTTAAGAACAGAGGGTATGTTAACTTGCTTAAGGGTTTGGAAGAAACTCACACCGTAAAATTGTGAAGTACCATACTGAGTCGAATTTCAATTTGATTTCGAAGCATTTATTGTTACAGTGATTAATTGTGTAAGACCTGCAAGTCAAAGACGACAATTTACTTAGATGGAACCTGTTCTCGATAAAAGACAGAAATGATTATTTACACTATTAAACCTTCATAATGATAGACATAACATGGACTGACCTAGTTTCTTCGTCAATTTTGTGTTTGAGTCGACAATGAGGCTGCAAATAAACTGGGGACTTCAATTGTCAGCGGCGATTTGAATTGTGTAAGCTTTTTTACCTTTGACTAAATGAATTATTATTAGTCCGTTTACGCAAAGATTAAATTAAATCTAATAGTTTTGTTACTTTGATTTTCATTAACCCGAATATTTTTTATCCGAGTCATTTTAAACTATGCAGCATACATAGCATCTTCCTCATTCATATTTTTGGATAAATTATATTTATAGTGTGGGAAAGAAAGAAGAGGCTACATTTTCGGAAGAACATATGTATTTCAAGAAATTCCATGCTTGAATCTCAAATTGTTATTATCGTCTTCTGTTGTTGAGCCTCAACCCAGACGAAGATTATATATACTTTGATTGGATATTCTAAACAATGTGGGGTATGATAAGGTCGTCACCACCACTGGAAAGAGTCGTCCGATGAAGGAGTGGTTCATAGCTGTTTTGGTTGTGTTGTGTATTGTTCCCCCAACTCTCCCCACAAGGTGATCCCCCAAAATTTTAGCCGCAGACTTATTTTTTATGCACCACAAACGCAACGGAAAAACTAGGAATTGCACAATTATAATTTCATTCTTTCTTTCTTTTGTCAAATAAAGTTAACAACCTTATTTGTGATTGCAAACACACTCATAGTTCCAGGAAATGAAACTGAAAATAAGGTTTGTACTACTTATGCGGACTGGCAAAAAATCAACATGTTGCAGTTTCTTTTGATAAAGTAAACGCTCCGCCAAAAGAAACCGAGAGCGGAATTTTAATTAGTTCTTCCGATTTCTAAAGTCTAACTTTACTCGAAACCTTGTTTGCGAAAAAAAAAACAAAGAGTCAGTAGAACTTCTGTCAAGCCCATGATCGATGTTGCTTTATAAATCATGTACTTTTGAGGAAGCATTACTAAAAAGGGATAGTAACCGATTGAGAGCAAGAAATGCTGCACAAACTTGTCATGAACTGTGTAATTCAGCAATTGCTCAAATCGAAATTCTTTTGGGGATGTTACACACAACACATTTAATTTCAGGCTTGCTAAATATACGATGAAATGTACAAAAGCAAGCATCACTAGATATTGCTCAGATCCCCCATTTCCCATTTTTCTTGGAAATGAAATATTTTTGTCCCACTAAAGTTTTTCCATTGTACATATGAATTAACAAAAGTTTTTCCATATTTTTTATTGTCTTTTTTTCTTGGGCTATTGTTCAAACAGAAAAGTGCCGTGGGGGATTTGCAGCCCTCGATATACAAACTATAAAACCACATCTACGCCTGAATACTCTAAGTATAAATACTTCAAACTTTATCCAGAATAATGAAAAAGTTCTTCGCTTTCTTTTCCTCTTGAAGATAACCCCAGCAAATATGTCTCCAGATTTTAAAGATGAACACAAAGGAAATGTTTCCGAAGTGGAAATAATAAATGAGCAAGAGTTCAAATCAAATTATGACTCTGGTATTGGAGAAGAGTTGGAATACGTTGACCTTCCAGAATCACTTCAACATTACACCCAAGAAGAATTGAAACAATTAGACAAGAAAACCACCAGAAAAATCGATCTTAGAATGATGCCAATGTTAATTTACATCTATATCTTAAACTATTTAGATCGTAGTAATATCGCTGCTGCTCGTTTGGGTTTCTTGGAAGAAGATTTAGGATTGGTTGGTAATCAATACCAAACTTGTGTCTCTATTTTATTCGTTGGATATATTTTATTCCAAATTCCATCAAATATGTTATTAAACAAAATTGGTAAGCCTTCCCTTTACATTTCCGTAATTATGACATTATGGGGTGTGATCTCAACCTGTACTGGTGCTGTTCAAAGTTACGGTGGTCTTTTGGCAGTAAGAATATTGCTTGGTACTATTGAAGCTGGTTTCTTCGCCGGTGCATTATGTACACTTTCAAATTGGTATGACAAAAAGAGTCTTTCCCTCCGTAATTGTATTCTTTATTCCGGTTCTTTAATGAGTAGCGCTTGGAGTGGTTTAATTGCTGCAGGGATTATTGACAATATGGATCATGTAGGAGGATTGAGATCATGGAGATATTTATTCTTGATCGAAGGTGCTATTACTGTTGCATCCGTTCCATTTGCATACATAATTTTGCCAGACAACCCTTCAAATACCAAGTTCTTAAATCAGGAAGAAAAAGATATTGTTCAATGGAAATTGAGAAGAGATATTGGAACTTCTGATTCTGATGTTGAAGCTAAAGAATCAAGCTGGACTGGATTCTTACTTGCGGTTAAGGATATCAAGGTATGGTTAGTTACTTTAATTTTGACATTCTTGGTTGCAGCTTGTGGTGTTACTAATTTCTTCCCTTCTGTTGTCCAAACATTGAATTTCAACAAAACAACCACTTTATGTTTAACTGCACCTCCATATTGTATTGCAGTCGTTGCAACATTTTTATGGGCAAGACATGCTGATAAGACAGGAGAAAGATACTTCCATGTTGTTATCCCATTAATTAGTGCTTTGGCTTCCTTTATTATTGCCGCATCTACATTAAACGTTGGTGCCCGTTACTTTGCTATGTGTCTCATGATTCCTTCGTTGTATTGTGCTTTCATTGTCATTTTGACTTGGATGTCTAACTGTTGTCCAAGACCTCCAGCTAAAAGAGCTGTCGCTATTGCTCTTATGAACTGTATTTCAAACTCCACCTCAATCTGGAATGCTTATTTATATCCTTCAAGTAGTGCTCCAAGGTACTTTATTGCCTTTGTTTGTAATTGTGCTTTCATTTTGGTTGCTATTATCTTTGCCACTATATTAAGATTTAGATTGAAGGTCTTAAATAAAAGAATAGCCGAAGGAACTATCGACTGGCAAAAGGAATTGGGTAAAGGTAATGATGCTAGTAAGATTGATCCTGATTTCAGATTTCTCCATTAGATTTGTCTAACTTTGTTAGAATGTGTGTTAATTTTCTTGTATGACTTATTGCATCTCACCGCTTTGTATAAAATATAAATTCGAAGAGTAAATTTAAAAATAGAAAATGTAGATCTGTTCTTGTCATTTATTGTCTTCCCTCCAATCTGATGCATGGAATCCAGTTGGGAAAATCTTTCAACTCATCAGATAAGAACTGATATCTCAAATAATAGTATTGATATTTGTTAGGAAATTGTTGATTTCAGGATTTCTCTCCCCAAACATTAACATTGAACTCCCCCTCAAAATGTTGCCAAATTGTCTACTTCTTCATTGGAATTGAACTCAACATCAAACCTTCCCAAACTTGCTCTCAATTCCATAGAACCCCACATCAAATTCTTCCCAACTTGTCTACCGTCATGATTGGAATCCAAATCAAATTCTTAATCCCACTTTTCTTTCCAATTCCAACCCAGATTAAGTCAAACCTTCATCCTATGAAATCGGATAAAAAGATCCATCACACAAACTAACCATTGGTCAGGTGGGGTAATTCAGTATGACGGATTAATTAAACCGATCCTTGAAATTCAGTCAAACCCTCTCCAAATTGTCACTGATTTCTCATCTGTATGGTTTTTGTTGTAAATCGTTTTGTGGTTTTCGATTTTGTGGTTTAGGATAATGCATGGGTGAAACTTTGATTTACAAGTAACGAATAGGATATACAGTAGATTAAAAGAAGATGGAAGGATTTTAAATAGTAAACAATGAATATTCCTTTTATGAGAATAGGATAAATGATGGCTGATTTTGTTTTGGGGAATTCCCGAGTTCCGTTTGCTCTAGTTTCAATCTCAATTCCAGTTCTTTCTGAGTTTTTAATGATAGGAAGGAAGCTTCATGATTAGCTTCGACGAGGTAATAGTACCATGATTTATTGATAAAGGCCAAATAGGCATTATTGGAATATTGATCATAGTTGAAAGAGGTTTCAATTTCGTTTCTGTGTATTAGTTTCATTTCTGTGGATCAATTGCCGCAAATCGTTTCCCTTAAACAACTTCACTCCATGAACACTTCGTTGAACATTAAAAGACAAAAAGGCCATTACTGGATTGATCATGGGATATAGAAAATTTTTGATTGAATATATTATTGAACTAGTGGACTTCTTTGTGAAGAAAAGGAAAGGATAAATAAAGTTTTAGATTCCAATTCTTTTCGCAATCTAGCGTCTAAATATTGCTGCAAATCTACTCAAAAAACACAAAAAGATCAAGACCAACAAAGACCAATTCTAGTCAGCAAAAATCCTTTTGTTTGCAAACTTGCATTTGTAAACGTGTTCGGAAACTTGTGTTCGAAAGCTCTTTCTGTTGACTTCTTTCTTTCAATTTAGGTATTATACTTCCAATAAAGCATAAAAGGATGAATATTTGAATACAACAACTGAAATTCTCGAACTGTGAACAAGAATTCCTCAAAATCCGCTTGAATTTTCCCAAGAGGGTTATTTTCTTTCAATCCTTTAGCTACCAATATACACGACCCAGTTGTCTATGTATTTCATTTAGATTGTTTATCTTAAGAAGTTTTTCAAGAGATAATGTAAGAAGTCCGTGTTATTTCTCGGCTCAAACGAAGGTTTTCCCGAGGACAAAGAAATCAATTTCAGCCATAGAATTTTTTTCCTGCAAAACATCCGAGATTGTTTCTCCGACTAAAAATCCGGTCAATTTATTGGATTCCGATAGGCATAGGTTTAGGAATGATCATTTGCTATTTCATGTCACTCTTGCCTCGAGGCGTTGATCCTGTGTTGAATATATAAACAGTGATGCTATGTATTTCTATGTTTGTCAATATTGGCATGACCAGAAAGTTTTATCAAAAATTCGGCTGTGGCCGAAATGCGCCATTTTTCTAGGTTTGATTTTCCGAATATGATACCATACATTGACGAATTTTGATAATTGGATTATCTCTTCTAGCATTTTCGATTATATTATGTAATGACTGATTCTGAACATGTTTAATATGAGGTGCAAGTTAAGATGTGTTAATAAATTTTTCAGATATTTCAAGAAGCACTGTTCGGTCCGTATCATTAAATGATCGCTTCACCCGGAAGAATATTTTTAATCCCAACTCCCGAATTCGATTGCCAAGTGCAACATCAAAAAAAAATCATGGTTGCAAAATCGGTTTTTAGATCTTTGATTGATAACGATGATCTATTAATGTTCTTTGATGCTTTTATGGATGGTTTGTACTCGTTTAAAGTTTCGAATAGTTGCAGGGTTCGGGAACAATGACTAAGCTTCGGTCGTCTCCGAATTTTCCAGAAAGAAAGAAAGTTTGGAAAGGGGCAAGTATCAACGAATAAATCCGAAGGATATTTTCCAATAGTTTGTGAATTGAAATTGACCCCCCGAAGCACATTAACCCTTTTATTCTGTCGCTTTTCATTCTTAGCTTTCTTAGATACTTCGAAATAAAAATTATCTTTGGTGCATCGAACATATTTATATGTGACAATACACAAAATGAAACAGTTTTATTGTTGGTGAAACATCAGTGCTTCTATGAGAAAAAAAAACGGTTACGTGCTCGGGTGGGTTTCTCAACTTATTCATTTGCATGCCGGTATCCAAAGCGATGTGGATCTCGACAAGTCCAACATTGATGTATAAGTGTTCCATACTAAGCCAATTTAATTATCTTTCGAGAATAGGAGGCGCAATGGTCGGGGTGTAGTAAAGTCAGGGTTTAAAATTTCAAAGTAATGATTTAAAAAATAAAAGAATTCGTATCCATCCGAAAAATATTAATTATTATTTTAAAGACGCCGTAATAATAAAAAAATTGATGATTTGGTTTTACCTCTTATAAAAAGTCATTCAATTATCACTTTTTCATTCAATTAGATTTATTTATCAATTTACTTCTTTTCATTTGCTTATTTATACTTAGTTTACAATTACATATATTAATTAACAAGACAAAAAAAACAAAGAGAGTTCGTTTATTCTTGGCAATTGTTATACATTTATATTATGATCAACTGTTATTTATTCATATTCCTATATATCTCATCAGCATTCATTAATGCTTGGTCTCCAACTGATTCATACGCACCAGGTAACGTTACTTGTCCATCTGGTCTAGAACTACTCCGACCAGCAGATGGATTATCAGAACAAGAAGCCGAATGGGTTGAACAACGAAACAAAGTCACTGATGAAAATTTGCTCCAATTCTTAGAACATGCAAATATGACCGATTTCGATGCAGAAGATTTCCTCAATTCCTTAAATAGATCGATTAATATTGGGGTTGCATTTTCTGGTGGTGGATATCGTGCTATGCTTAGTGGGGCTGGACAACTTGCGGCCTTAGATAATAGAACCGAAGGTGCCTGGGAACATGGTCTTGGTGGTTTATTGCAAGCTTCTACTTATATGGTTGGATTATCGGGAGGGAATTGGATGATTGGTACTATTGCCATGAATAATTTCACTTCGGTAGATACTATTCTTAAAGAAGGAAAGATTTGGGATTTGGAAGATTCAATTATAAATCCTGCTGGTTGGAAGATTTGGAATACTGTAAGTTATTATAAAGAACTCAATGATGATATTGATGACAAGAGAGATGCCGGATATGAAGTATCATTGACTGATGCTTGGGGAAGAGCATTATCTCATCAATTCTTTGCAGAATTAGAAGATTATGGTGCTGCGTTGACTTGGTCTACTTTACAAAGTGCTGATGTGTTTACTAATCATCAAATGCCATTCCCAATTGTTGTGGCAGATGGTAGAGAACCAGGCACGCTTATCATCAGTAGTAATTCCACTATTTTTGAATTTAATCCATTTGAAATGGGTTCTTGGGATCCTTCCATTTATCAATTTACAAATATTAAATATCTTGGTACAAAAGTAAAAGATGGTGAAATAGAAGGAGACTGTGTTGAAGGATTCGATAATGCTGGTTTTATTATGGGAACGTCTTCCACTTTATTCAATCAATTTTTATTACAAATTAATACCACTTCCCTTTCATCCACCGTCGTATCATTAATTACGTCATTTTTAACAAAAGTATCAAATGCAGAAGATGATATTGCAATATATAAACCAAATCCATTTTTTGATACCACGATAGGAACTTCTGCCAATGCTGCCAATAATAACACCTTGTTTTTAGTCGATGGAGGTGAAGATCTTCAAAATATCCCATTGGCACCATTATTACAACCTGAAAGAAACGTTGATGTCATTTTCGCCTTTGATAATTCTGCAGATACTGAATATTCCTGGCCAAATGGGACTTCAATGGTTGCCACTTTCCAAAGACAATTTAATTTCCAAGGTCAAAACGCCAGCATGTTCCCTTATGTTCCAGATTATAATTCATTCATTAATATGAATTTAACTTCAAAACCAGCATTTTTCGGATGTGATGCACAGAATTTATCAAGCATACAAGATACAACCAACAATCCAACCTCGGTGTTTGATTCTCCTTTGATTGTATATACCGCGAATAGACCATTTTCATTCTGGTCAAATACTTCCACTTTCAAGATGTCATATGAGGATAGTGAACGTAATGGAATGATTCAGAATGGGTTTGAAGTCGCGTCCCGTTTCAATGGGACTTTAGATCCAGAATGGAATGCATGTGTGGGTTGTGCAATCATTAGAAGACAACAGGAACGAAATGGAATAGATCAATCTGATCAATGTCAACAATGTTTTGAAAGATATTGCTGGAATGGTGACCTTGCTTCGGGGGATGTGGCGGTGAATTTTACTGACAATGGAACTACTAATGCTACTGGGATGAAGGTGAATGCGGGTATGATTGTCACGTATCCAATTTGGTCTTTCGCACTTGGCGCATTGTTGATTTGTTTATTAGGTTGATTGTTTCTAGAGATATTTTTTAACATGCATGTGTAGTTTTTTTTGTATGCTTTTTGGCATTGTTTGAAACATTTTTCAATAAATGAAATATCTTCTTGACTTAATCTATGCGGCGTATGAGATCTCGAAATCTCAATGCAACGTGGTAGTGGCTGATATATCCAGTCGCTCAAGCGCAAATTATAAAAATCTTTGCGCTCTAAAAAGTAACTAAAAAAAGAAACGTCTTATACCCGAACTCGATATGATGTCATCGTATCTAGAACCTTTTTACCCCTTAAAGCATTGTGTTCTGGTAGTACATCACTTAGATATTGACGGAAATAAGCATTCGTATCTGTGAAAAATATTTATGGGGCTCATTCACATTTATTACTTTTGATTCCAGAACAATGAACCTAAAGCCTTTTGATAATAAAAAAGAACAATGAAAATGATTCATGGGGTTGCTATGTGCTAAGTATTTATACTCTCTCTAATTCCTTCTTTTCACGTTCTTTCTGTTTCTTCTATATTAACTCCCTGGATTCTTCTCTGCTTTGAAAGTTTATCAAATTTGCTTCAATCTAAAGAGAAAAACACAACAAAAGGACATCTCATTTGTTATACTTACCCCGGATAAATTCATCACGTCAAAAAATCTAGTTTTTTCCGAACCTTAGGACCCCTTAAAAAACTCGCTTAGTAATGGATCCTACCCCAAGTCCAAAAGACAAACACGATCTAGAAGTCGACGAATCAGTAGTAGATTCATCCTTATTCGAAGGTGAACTCTTCGATGAAAATGACGCCGATAAAACATATTTAGCAAAATCAAAATTAGTGGCCGGAGCAATTCAAGAAATGGGGTTTGGAAGATATCAAATTGGTTTATTCTTCGTCGCTGGATTCGGTTGGCTTTCGGATAATCTTTGGCCAGTAGCAACGGGATTAATCTTAGCTAGATTGAACGAAGTAGATGGTGTACATGCCCCACCTGGAAAGGCCCCCTATTTGACCCTAGCTCAGAATTTGGGTTTATTAATCGGAGCATTATTTTGGTCACTTTCTTCAGATATAATTGGTAGGAGATGGGCGTTTAATTTAACGTTTTTGATTACGGGTATTTGGTCAACTGTTGCAGGCGCATCTCCCAATTTTGCTGCATTGGGGGTATTTAATGCATTTTGGAGTTTTGGAGTTGGTGGGAACTTACCAGTAGATTCGGCGATTTTCTTGGAAGCATTACCTAAGTCACATCAATGGTTGTTGACGGTTATGTCTGGTTGGTGGGCGATTGGTCAGGTGATTGCTAATTTGGTTTCATGGGGTTTGATTGCGAATTATTCTTGTTCGACGGATGTTTGTCATAAAGCTGATAACAAAGGTTGGAGATATTTCTTGTTTGCAATGGGAGGTTTTACTTTATTGATGTTTATTGCTAGATTTGCTTTTAGAGTTTTTGAATCTCCTAGGTATTATTTAGGTAGAGGTGATGATGCTAGGGCCATTGAAACATTGGAAAAGATTGCCAAAATTAATAAAACGGTGTGCCCAATTACAATTAAGGATTTACATGATATAGATTTGAAATATGGAGAATCAGATGATCAAAAGAAGAATAAGTTACTTCAAGAAACATTACATAAATATGATTTCTCCCATATAAAAGCATGTTTTGGCTCCAGAAAATTGGCAATTTCTTCAGGATTAGTTATATTCACTTGGGGAATTATTGGACTTGCATTCCCGTTATACAATGCCTTCTTACCTTATTATCTTGAAACCAGAGGTAATGCAAATCAACCATTAAGTGTGCATGAGACATATAGAAATTCATTAATTGTTTCAGTTTTAGGAATTCCTGGTGCATTAGTTGCTGGTTTATTAGTTGAATTAAGAATTGGTAGAAAGGGAACCTTATTTCTATCATTAATCCTAACTGGAATATTTCTTTTCGGTTCTACAACTGCAAAGACAAGTAATTCAAATTTAGCATGGAACTGTATGTTCTCATTTGTGTCAAATATAATGTATGGAGTATTGTATGCTTATACTCCAGAAGTTTTCTTCTCCAGGATTAGAGGTACGGCTGTTGGATTGGCAGCGTCATTCAATAGAGTATTGGGTGTGTTTGCTCCCATTATTGCAATCTATGCTAATTTACAGACATCAGCTCCAATATTTGTTTCTGGGGCATTGTTTATATTTGCAGGTTTCTTAACAATATTCTTCCCGTTGGAACCTAGAGGTAAAGCAAGTTATTGATTGGTTATACTGTTGGTGTTGCGTATCCCGGTGCTTTCCTAATTGGGAAGTGTACCAGTTTCTCAGAATACCTCTTAACTTAGATTGATTAAATATTTTTTCTCTCCTCCAGTAACCTTAATAAAAATTTATAATCGATAAAACGTTCTTAATTCCATATTACTCTCTATCTTCATCCAATTGTCAATGGCATTCACAACTAAGGCAGAGATCGCCCAATTCGGTGGGAGACTCTTGAAATTGTCTCATGAGTCAGAAACAACCAAAACTTCAATGGCTGTTAATGTTTATTTACCAGCCCATGGAATTACTAATATCCCAGTCTTACTTTATCTTTCTGGATTAACATGTACTCCAGACAATGCAACTGAAAAGTCATTCTTACAATACTTTGCTAGCAAGTATGGTTTTGCAGTTGTGTTTCCTGACACTTCTCCTCGAGGAGAACTGATTCCGGATGAGAAAGAAAGTTGGGATTTTGGTACTGGTGCTGGATTTTATGTTAATGCAACTCAAGAACCTTATAATGAAAATTATCATATGTATTCATATATTCATGAAGAATTATTAACTGCTTTGACTAAAGAATTCCCACAATTGGATTTTACTAATATTTCAATCACGGGACATTCAATGGGAGGTATGGGTGCCCTTGTTGGATTCTTATCTCAACCAGGTAAATATAAATCAGTAAGTGCATTTGCTCCTATTGTTAATCCATCAATTGCTCCATGGGGCGAGAAATGTTTTGGTAATTATTTGGGTTCAAATAAACAAGATTGGTATAAATATGACCCAACTCATTTAATCAAGAATTATAGTCACGAGAATCATCCACCAATTTTAATTCATCAAGGTTTGAAGGATTCATTTTATCCATCTCAATTACAACCGGAAAACTTTGTCAATGCGGCCAAGGAAGCTGGGTATAAAGGAGGAGTTGTGTTAAAAGTTGTTGAAGGTTATGATCATCTGTATTTCTTTATCAGTTCATTTGTTGAAGAACATGCTCAACATCATGCAAAATATTTAGGGTTAACCCAATAAAGTTACAATGTATAAATTATGCCTATATGTATGTATATATCTAAAGACTATTGTATTTGGTTTCCCAAGTTTCATACCATTTTGTCTTTTTGTCATTATGAAGATTTCTAGCTATCTTTGATAGTTGAATTGATTCTTTTGTAATTGAATCCGTATATTCATTATCATCTATACGTCTCTCGAGCATCAATTCAACGATAAATTTATCAATGAGCGAAACCAAATGATTTTGGATAGTATATATTTCGTCTATAGAATCCCCCGGGGTGGACTTTGGTAATGATTTCTTAAAAGATGCAATTAACAATTTAACCAACTCAATCTTCTTGAGCCACTTTTTGGCATATTTTATGAGTTCTTTATCATCTTCAGTCACTTTATGTCCATTCATTACTGGTGGGGTTGCTTCTTCCTCGTCATCGGTGAAGTCTTCTTCATCACTAAATCCAAATGGATCATCATTCATCTCTTCCGGGTTTTCTGTCCATTCTGCAAATTCTTCGAATCCATCTTCAAGCAACAGAATACTTTGTTTTATCTTATTAGTAAGCAATGCTAAGTTACCTTCGGTTAATAACTGGACAAGAGAATCGCAAATAGACCATACCCTACCCACGGAAACTAATCTTCCATCCATTTCATTCTTCTTTGATTCTGATTGTTCAGAAACATCTTCATCATCTTCAAAAATCAACTTTAACTCTTTAGCAAAACGATTGTTTGATTCAAGTAATTGTTTTAATTGTTCCACTATTTCATTATAAAACAATTTTGATATCTTTGCTGAATCAATTTGAACAATTACTGAAACTGTTAATACCAAAGTTTCAGATAATTTCAGTAATGTATTAAAAGCAGGGTTTACTTCTTTACGTAGGTTTTCTGGTTTGAAGATTATACCTACTTTAGTTGTATGGGCTTTAATAAGTTTAACTAATTTGTTAAGTTCATTGATGGGGTCAGATACTTTGGCAGCTTTGATCTCACTAAAAGTTGATATATCTGATAAACTGTTGATCCAGAATTGAGTAGCTTCTTCAAATGAATCCAATAGGGACTTGAGCTCTTCTCTTGTCTTGGACATCCTTGTGGTGTTGTTGATGTGATTGACTATCAAGAGATCCATACCACTCAATTTTTTTTTTTCATTTCCTCATCGTAAATCGCACACAAAAACAAAATTACAGAAATTCACATTCTATTCTTATTCATACTAAAACTTCTAATAATACTACATATTGTATATATATATACTACTACCAATCGTTATCATCTTCGTCGTCACTTTTAGCAACTCTTCCCTTTCTCTTATTCAAAGCCGCCGACAAAGCATCAGCCAAATTCGCAGGCGGTTGTCCACCAGGTCCACCACCAGCACCACTACTAGGAGCAGGTGATTCTCCTTTTGCTTCTTGTAATAATACACTCGGTTTGTCCAATTGCGATTTATCCACTTTTCGTAATCCTCCAATCCCAGAACCTCTGATTGAAGCCAATAATGCATCTCTTCCGGCATCTCCGGTGACTTCAGGACGTGAAGGGGTCAGGTCCAACATTGCTGGTGGAGGCGGCGGTGGTGGTGGTGGAGCCCCTGCTCCAGTAGCTGGTTGGGCCATGCTTGGTGGCATTGGCGGAGGTGGTGGTGGGGGAGCTCCTCCTCCAGAAGTCACACTTGGAGCCATTGGTGGAGGTGGTGGTGGGGGAGCTGCTTGTGTATATTGCTGCACGGGTGGAGGTGGTGGTGGCGGTGGGACATTTTGAGCAGGAATAGGTTGGTTGAATGAAGGTGGCGGTGGAGGAGGTTGAGTCCCATATGGTTGAGGTTGTGCCCCATAAGGTTGAGGTTGGAATTCTTGTCTTGCAGCAGGCATAGGAGGGGCTTGTTGATTCATATTTGGTGGTATATATGGCGCGCTGGGAGATGGCAGATGTGCACTACCAGTTCTTTGTACTCTGGGAGGCGGTGGAGGAGGAGGAGCACCTCTAGCAGCTCTGGGAGGTGGTGGAGGTGGTGGAGCACCTGTTTGACTAGCTGTACGACCTGGTGGTGGTGGAGGTGGTGGAAAGCCACTCGCTCTATTGGGTGGCTGCGGTGGAGGTGGAAAGTTTCCTCGATTTGGTGGCGGTGGTGGTGGCATTCCAGCTCTTGGAGGTGGTGCCGGTGGTCCTCCCCCTTGGAATTGGAGTGGTGCTGGTGGTCCTCCCCCTTGGAATGGGGGTGGAACAGCAAATTTCCGTGGACCATTTTGATTAGTTTGCGGTGGTAAATATTGCTGTTTTGTTGGCAGTGCTGGGGCCACTGGTGGAGCACCTCCTTGAAATGGCGGTGGAACTCCAAATATATGCGGTTGCTCTGGTGCTTGTTGCTGCTGGTGTCCGTATACAGGCAGTTGTGGAAGTCCAGGTAGAGGTCTCTCTTGTTCTGATAATGATGCCGTTCTGATCGGGGGAGGCAATGCTGTTGCAGGTGGAACTCTGAAAGTATACTTCTTTTTAACTGGTTCTTCAGCCGGTTCTGGAGTGGCTTCTTCGCCTTGTGTTTGTGCAGGTGGTGGGGTTGGTGATGAAGTATATTCTACTGGTGGAGTTGGTGAACTTGACTCTGGAGCTGGACTAACTGGGGGTTGACCTGGAGGTGGAGGGGGAGGACGAGCTTTCTTGTGTTTACTTGAAGTAATCGACAGAACTCTAGCAGGTTGGGTTTCCTGTTCAACTTTCCGTTGGAATTTTCTGGGAATAGGTGGTTCTAGACCAACCAATGGGCCTCCCTGTTTTGCAATATAATCTTTAATAAATTCTCGATTCTCGGCAATCATATCTTCTGAGATCCCTGCAGCTTCCAATTCCGCATACAATGATCTCCATTCTGGAGGAGGGAGCCCGTCATAGTATATCACACCTTTGGATCTTCGTTGCCTCTGTGCTGTGTTGACATCCATAAATTCGCCTCTAGGTCCAGGTGCATTTGGACCTGTTGGTCCAACTCTTTCTTTTAATGCTATTGCGTTCTTATTTTTCACAGTTGCACTAGATCCATGTTTCTGTCTAGTTGTTACTCTTTTAAAAAAATGAGTGGCATCATTTGTATCTTCAAATAATAAACCAACTAAACAATCTTCAATTTCAAAAGTATGAAAGAAACGACGATCTTGATTATATTCAAAGTTTACATATAATTCTTGATCCCAAATAACACCTCGACTTCCGATTATATCAACAAGTTTTAAAAAGAATGTATGACCTACTAAATCATCCACTAAAGCGATTGCTCCTACTAATCCTGTGTATTCCCATTTTGTAGGATCTGGATATGCTATATATAATCTTGCCACAGTAGCATCAATTATTTTGTTATTCGCCTTGGGAATTGCTCTTTTAATTTTCTCTTTGTCTTGATTGGTTAGAATCGCCATGATGATGATCTGATTCTAATTGATCTATTGCTAAAGTTTGTTGAATAAGTGATTTATAAATAAGTTTAATTTGTGATTCCAAATTGATCGTTCTTTTTTTCTTCCCCAAGTGAAAGTTTCGCACTAAGGGGCCAAGTGGTGGTACGAAGGATTGTGTGTTTGATTGGCATCAGAAAAAAAATCTCAAATCAGAGCATCACCAATTCTTTCTGCACTCTCTCTATCCAAACAACAACAACTTAGATACTTTTAATATGTCTGGACGTCAAGGAGGTAAAGCCAAGCCATTGAAGGCTCCAAAGAAGAAACATCAAGATTTCGACGATGAAGATTTAGCTTTCAAAGCCAAACAAAAAGCTGATGCTGATGCCAAAAAGAAAATGGCTGAACAAGCAAAGAAAGGTGGTCCATTAATTGGTGGTGGTATTAAGAAGAGTGGTAAGAAGTAAATATATCGCATCTCTGTCTTATATAGGTTCATTACATATTGTTTTAATATAAAGATGTTTTATTAATTAGTTCGATACATACATTGTAGTTCATTCACTCATTTTTATTTTTATTCCATCCTGCATTTTTAAAAAAAATCACCAAAACCTTTTACAAACCACCAAAAAATTACCATTATTGTTTAAATAATACAAACTATTATCAGGTAAAAAGATAAGCGACCTCGGTGAGGATCGAACTCACGATCTTGAGATTAACAGTCTCACGCCTTAACCAGCTTGGCCACGAAGTCCTTTTTCGTGAACGACCAATTCATTAAATTTGTGTTACCATCTATTGTTTGGTCTCTTTCGGGAAATTTTCACCGGAGTTATAACTGAAACAAGTATTTTTTGTCGGAATATCCATGATTAATCAGGAAATTTCAGTCGGTATTAAAAAATTTCAGTTGCTGCCGTAAATTTCAAAACTATCGTAAAAGTTATTGCAACCCGTAGAACTCCATGTTCTGGAACCTGATCTATGAAGAAACTTGTTCTGAGATTGAGATCACCAGTTGTTCTGTCAGTGGGGGCTCCGTAATGCTCCTGAAGTTTGAGCAAATTTTGGAACAATTCTCCCGAAAATTTGATGCCTTGGACGTATAACACATCAAAAACCCACCGCGCGTGACATCATCGATGAATCTGACCATAAGTTATAATACACAACAGAGATGAGTTTAGAAGTGATGCTTCGCTGCCGATTTTCTTCTGTTCATTCTGTTCTTAGTGATTATCAGCTGTAGCTCAACATGAAAAAAGGGTTATAGAAGTCTACCCCTCCAACTATAATCAATGGTTTGAATTAAATGTGTGAATAACTAAAGAGGGGCATGTCACTAACCGCTAGGGAGGAATCTTGTAGTTTATATTGGTTTTCCGAACCGACTTCTACCGATGGATAAAGAACTATGTATGTGCCAAGAACAATATTTCCGTGATTACAAATCTGCGACAATTACACTTTCCCCTTTCAGAAATTTTGGACGGACTTAAAAAGTGACACATTTTGCTCGGAAATTTTTCCGACCGGGCTCGGATAAAAAATTTTAACATATTTTTTGCATCAATGGCTTTTTTGCAAAATTATATAAAAGTGCAGGGGGTTCCACTCGTGAGACATTACTCATAAATAATAGATGATTTCTTTTGTTGCAGCCATACATGATATAGAACCTTCTATTTTTTATTGACGAAAAATAATAATAGATCTACAATCTAAATACAAAAATGTCGGAAGACAAGGAACATATAGATCATAAAGACAATGAAATAGCAACTAGCTGCCAACTTAGTACATCTACAGAAGGGGCTGACCTTGGGGATAAACTAGGAGATGCACATTTGAATATACTCCCGACAAAGAAATTAATGGTATGCCTAGCAGCTCTATCGTTAGGTTTATTTGCATCATTTGTTGACCAAACTAGTATAACAGTTGCATTACCTAGTATAGGAAAAGACTTAAATTCGGAAACAACCATCAATTGGGCTTCGGCAGCTTCGTTATTAGCAAATTGTGCCTGTCAAGTGCTTTTCGGTCGATTAGCTGACATTTTCGGTAGGAAAACTATGTTGTTATCGTCGTTGGCTGTGCTTGGTATCGCCGATCTTGCTTGTGGGTTTGCTCAAACAGGGGTCCAATTCTTCATCTTTAGGGCATTCACAGGTATAGGTGGAGGTGGGATTCAATCGTTAACAATGGTCATGGTGAGTGATATTTGTACTCTTAAACAAAGAGGGAAATATCAAGGTATATTGGGATCTCAAGTTGGGTTAGGAAATGCGGTGGGTCCTTTTATAATGGCTGCATTTATTGAGAAGAATTCTTGGAGAAATTTTTATCATATGATGACTCCTTTAATTGCTGCAATTATGTGTGTTATTTGGTATTTCATCGATACTAAAGAATCATCCAAGAACTTAGACAGTGTTTTAAGTAGAAAGGAAAAGTTTAAGAAACTTGACTATCTTGGTATGTTTTTCAGTACCGCAAGTTTGACGTTGTTGTTGATTCCCTTGAGTGGTGGTGGTTCGACATATGCGTGGAACAGTTCATTAGTCATTGGTATGTTCGTGGTTGGTGGATTATGTTTAATTATTTTTGTCTTGGTTGAATGGAAGATCCCCACATTACCAATGATTCCTTTATCGTTATTCACAAGACCTTCTCTTGCAATGATATTAGGTTCAAATTTCTTCTATGGAATGGCTTATTATGGATTCACCTATTATATCTCATACTACTACCAAATCGTTCGTGAGAAAGATCCAATCCACGCTGCTATATTGATGCTTCCATTAGTTCTCAGTTTAGCAATTTCATCTACTTTGGCTGGTCAATTAGTTAGTTTAACGGGCCATTACAAGTGGATTATTTTAGTAGGATATGGTGTCTGGACAGTTGCTTGTGGATTGACCTTACTTTTTAACATTAATACCAACTACGGAGTAATCGTTGTTATCTTGTTAGTAATGGGAAGTGGTGTTGGTTGGACTTTCCAGCCTACATTAGTTGCAGCACAAAGTCAGTCCAAAAAGTCTGAAAGAGCAGTGGTTATCAGTGCCAGAAATGTTCTTCGATCATTTGGAGGTGCAATTGGTATTGCAATAGCTTCATTAATCGTCAGCAATACTTTGTTAAAACAAGTGAACCAACAGCTTCAAGGAGATTCCATACTTCCAAAGGAATATTTAATCAATCTTAAAACTCATATTTATTCACAAATTGATACAACAGGCTTATCAGCAGAACAAATTGTTTTAGTTAAGACCATGTACATGAAATCCCTCCATAATTTCTTTTATTTAACCATTCCCTTAATTGGTCTTTGTTTTGTTAGTACCATATTTATCACCGATCATGGTCTTCATTGTATTGATGAGGAACCCGAGAAACTAAATCATCAGGATAAAGAGGAATCAAGTGTCAATTCAAATGTATGAAAAAAATCTAGCTTTTTATAGATCCTCTTACATTTATTTATTTTATTTATTACAGTATTTACATATTCTAAAGATTGTTAAGCATATTAACTATATTATTGCCAAATTGTTCGAAATCAACATTCTCTTGAAGATATTCGATTCCTTCTTCAACTATTTTTTGTACGTTACCGCTTCCCATATTCTGATTACTAAAATGTTGTTCAGCATATACAAAATACCCCGCAGTATCATCTAAATCTTCATAAACTTGATGAAAGGTTTGTTCTGAAAACCCTAAATTATCAAAATTTAAATTTGATAGCCACTGAAATGCATTTTTAGCATTACCCCCTTGTTGTGTAATTGTTAGTAATATCAGTTGTAAGAATGGAACATCTTGATATATGAATTTTTGTAATCCACGCACGTATAAAATCAACATAAAAACACAGAAAGTTATAACTAGAACCACTTTTATTACGAATAATACTAAATTCAACCACATTTTCAATGATCTTATAATTAATCGATAAACAATATAAATCCCCAAACAAATGAATATTGTATTGGTTACTTCTGGGTATTTCAAATGACAATAAATTATCAAACTTAATATGCTTTTCAAAACAAACAGAAGCACTAGGGCTATGAATAAGCCTGTTTGTACTAATATTCCTTTCAAATCCATAATTGTTGTTTATCTGTTGTAAAAGAAAGGTCGCCAAATAGCAATTGGGTTTCGTTGTAACTAAAGATCATTTGGTAAATTATTTTTTTATTTGGCCCTGTCAAAAATGGATCTGGGGGGGGCGGGGGGGCAATTACAAGTTACCCGGATTATCTTGAAAAGTTTTGTATAAAAACTCATCGAAATGTCAATTTTTTTAGAATTGTTTTTTTAAGTTTTTTGTTCTTTGAAAGTTGACCTCCGAATTTTGAAATTTGGCAGTTTTTTAGTATTTTGATTCATTAGATTTGATTCATTTACGTTCGTTTGCAATTCAATTGTGAAAGCTTGTTTTGTTTAGAGAATTTCGCCTATTAATTTAGGGAAGTTTTCGTGCCATTTTTTGGCGGATGAGACTTGTTAGAGGGTATTGGATTAGGTTTAATGAGTTGTTGAATCACTGTTGATAAACGTTCGGATAGATAAATAGTGGTTATTTAGAATATTCCAAAGGTTAGAAACTTTAGAGTATCCCGTTGTATCACAACATCTTTTAAAGAACATTTTATAACTAGTAATTATCATTCAAGTTAATGCGAATGATCTTTAGTAGTGTTTGCCAGGGCTATGGATTGAAATAGATTCATATAAATGTCATCTAGAATGAAAATGACCCTAGTCGTAAAAACGTACCTATCTATTCTTTCATAGAACTGGATTTCTTTCTGCATTCTAGTAGGCCCTTTCTTGATTTAACCTATCCTTGCTAAAGAATGATTTATTTCAAATAAACTGATAAAGTAAACTCTGACCGTTAAAGTTTACCATATTTTGCCTCACCCTTGCGGCTGAGTTTTATTGTTTGGTGCGAAAGGGCATGAGACTGTTGTTAACTTCACACGAAAAAAAATAAGGGGAAAAAATAGGACAAGGAATTTCATAATTTTTAAATGGAGTAGCAACTCATTGATCCTTTTCATCAAATTTCTAATAAAGACAAAGGGTGTTATCCATCGCAAATAGAATAGAAAGGCTTTCCCACAACTAAAAGGAAACTTTTTTTACAAGCATGTTTAGAAAGAAGCCACCTCAACTATCGTTGTTGGAGGAACTTCAACAGACATATACAGATTGTTGCAACCTTACCATAAAGAATTTAACATTAGAAGAAGACGGAAAGCTTGCAGACGCCTTAAAAGGATGGAAAAGTTTACACACTTCATTGCTATATAAGCTTGAATTATTTGAGAAATCTAGTGAAAAACTATCAGCTGAAAGTAAGACTGTTCTTGGAGAATTAAAAGCAATACGAGATCAGAATGTGAAACATCTAATACGAGTTCAATTGAGAATGGATGAGGTCAATAGGAAGTCGAAACGCGAAGGCAAAGTGCCGCCCCCTCCACCTCCACGCCACACCAAACCGAAATCTACGACTTCAATTCCGTCATTTAGAGTTTCGTCACTCACTTCTGGAAATAATGTCCCAAGACCAATGATGAAATCACTTCGACCGCATTCTAATGGTGGTCCTGCATCAAGACACACATCACCGCCTTCAACACTTAGATTACAGTCTGCTCAACAAGCTTCCAAGGCTGCGGTTGTATCTTGGCAGAAACCAGTCAAAGACACGTCAGCGAAATCTCAATATAAAAGTAGCACTACTGATGACCTATTCCAGGATTTTGATCAAGGTATAGAACAACCTGGCAGTTCAAGATCTTCATCAGGGGTTTCTGAACCGTCAGAAGAAGATGCCGATTTACTCGACTTTGGAGAGGATGATATGTTTAGATTCAATAGTCTTTATCCCCCGGGTGACTATTTCCCCCCTGAGAAGACAAAAGTTAATGCTATTTCAAAATCTATGGACGACCTAGCTGTTAAGCAAACAGAAAGAACTAATAGGAGCCAGCTGGTTCCGAAAATCAATGTTCCCAAAATCAATGTCGATGCACCTAAAACTCAGCAACAGAAGAAGGCTACCCCACAACCTAAATCTAGGAGTTCACCTGATATAAGGCTGGACGTCTCAAATGCTACACCCACTAAACGAGTCTATGTTTATAACAAACCTAAACCGATTAATGTTCAAAAAATGATGCAAACACAGTCAGCCAAGCATCAGAACGCAACCAAACCGATTGTAAATTCTCCACCTAAGGCAAAATCGACATCAAACATACAGTACAAATACGTTAAAACACAACCCAAGAAAAAGACAACAACACAATCTAAACAGAAGAATAGTGAACAGCGGAAAGCCAGACCGACCTCTAGAAAAGAAACAGCAGATACAAGCAATCCAGCGATGGATGACTTGCTAAGTCTTTATGATGAAGAGGAGGAGGAAGTTGCACCGAATAACGACCCATCGAATTCTATAATGACTGATAAGGAGCAAGATGAATTAATTGCATCCATTCGAGGAATAGACCCCATTTCAGCAAAACAAATCTTGAATGATATTGTTGTCCACGGAGATGAGGTATATTGGGATGATATCGTTGGTTTAGAAAGTGCGAAGAATTCCTTAAAGGAGGCAGTAGTTTATCCATTTTTGCGACCTGATTTATTTCGTGGTTTAAGAGAACCAACTCGAGGTATGCTCTTGTTTGGCCCTCCAGGTACTGGTAAGACTATGTTAGCACGTGCTGTAGCTACGGAATCACACTCAACTTTTTTTTCAATAAGCTCATCCTCCTTGACTTCGAAATACTTGGGAGAATCTGAAAAATTGGTAAAGTCGCTATTTTTGTTAGCCAAGAAATTAGCTCCATCAATTGTATTTATGGACGAAATAGATTCCTTGTTATGCACAAGATCAGAAGGCGAATTAGAAAGCATGCGAAGAATAAAGAATGAATTCTTGGTACAATGGTCAGAACTTTCAAGTGCTGCTGCCGGGAGAGAATCTGAAAGTGACGACGTGTCACGAGTATTAATTTTGGGGGCTACCAATATGCCTTGGTCTATTGACGAAGCTGCAAGAAGAAGATTTGTCCGGCGACAATACATTCCACTACCAGAGGGAGAAACAAGAAAAGCTCAACTTAAGAAGTTATTAGAGTACCAGAAAAACACGCTTTCTGAAGCAGATTATGAGTCTTTGGTAGATTTAACAGAGGGTTTCAGTGGTTCCGATATCACTGCTTTGGCCAAAGATGCAGCTATGGGACCATTACGAGCTTTAGGGGAAAAGTTGCTTCTGACTCCAACTGAACAAATCAGACCAATACAACTTTGCGATTTCATCCATAGTTTGGACTATATCCGTCCAAGTGTTTCTAAGGAAGGATTAGCAAAACATGAAGAATGGGCAAGAAAATTTGGTTCTTCTGGTGTATAAATATTCTCTGGGTATAAATTCTTTTCGTGTATATACGACTTATTAATGAATTACGAATCAAGAAAGATCTTCTCAAGTAAATGCATACTCATCACCAGATAGTTTCTCTAAATGGTTCAAACGGGTCTATCACTTTTTCAAAATGCAACGACCTGCATAAGTCTACTAAAGACACATAAATTCAAATAATCCCGTTCAGGAAGCTCGGTCAGGGTGATTGCAACAATGATGTCATGCACATATGACAAGATCGCTCTAGATATCAACCATTTTTCATGATGATGACCTTAAGCAGAAAGCAACATCGTTCGGCATAGTTCATGCCGCTCAAATCGGTCCGATCGATAATTTACAACATTGCCTCTACTCTTGACACAAAAACAGCTTAAGAAAAAGCTTTGGCATCAGATTGGGAAAGCTCGTACGTTTCAAAAAATGTTCCTTTTATTTTCTTGAATCACGGAATAAGGAGCAATTATTTTTCAAAATTTGCTTTCCTGTGTTTCTTAAAATTTCTTGTATGTTGTGATAATATGCAATCTCTTCGCCCGATTCACCATTATGTCTAAAACTGCAACACATACAGAAACTCATTTCCAGGCTTTTTCTTGAGATAAAGACTTAAAATTCAAAACTCGAGCGTTTCCGGTCTCTAAGGCTTTTCCTGCGTTACAAGAAGACAATCAATTCCTCAAAAAGGTCTGGGTATTAATTATTTTGTGCGGCTCTCTGCTAACAACTCCGAAAGGGTAGTGTAGGGAAACCTATGTAAAATCCATCTTCGTAATTCATTCTCCCACTTGATGTATACCCTAATGGTTTGGGAAAAACAAGCCGAAGTAATTTCAAATCGATATCATAGATTACAACTGTATAGCACGAATTTAAATCATCCCTTCGGTTATCGTCGCTTCAAACCCAAGAAAATTCGGTGACGTAACGCGATTAATTCAAGACCCAGAAAACCGTTCCATAGGTAAATCCTCTCAAACCGCCAAGAGAAGACCGCATCGGAACACGAAGTCCTTGTTGAACTAGAAAAATGACCAGCAAACTTGTTGAGTCTCTAGACCTACAAAAGAAAAAGCCGAATGCTGAAATATAGCTCGCAGTATACTTCCAGTAGATGGTCCAAAATATCTTCGAATAGGTACTAGTTGTTGACAGCTTGCAAAATTGAGACCAGCCCTCAGGTTAAGGGGAAAATAAATCGTGTTCCCCTGTTTCGGAGAATTGTAGAATATGTGTTTCATTTCTATATTATGCTTATGAAAAGTCAATCCCAAGCCTTTAAACGCATTTACGAGTAAAATCCTGCTGGGCGCAAAGATCATCAGAAAGTTGCGCAAATTTTAGAGATTCCAAGCTAGTTTGGAAAAGATTGAAGAAAACCAAAAAGTTGTAAACAACTCACACAAATCTAAGAAAACCAAACCGATTCCAAGCATATTTTAAAAGAGAACTACTCGTTGCTACTCTGAAGAAAAAGTGCTCAATCTTGGTCATACTTCAGTAGTTCAACCGAGTAGTCTTCCACCGTTAAGGATTCGGATCGAGTTTTTGCACTGTAGTCGATTCTTATTGCTCTAGTAGTAATACATATCGATATTCCAGCCTGAATCCTAATGATGAAATGAAATTCAGGAGATATCACACGGATTTATCACTAAAAAAATTCTTACAGATGGTCATCTATTTGAAACTTTCTAGAAGAAGCAACACAACCCCACCTCTATAGAACCGAACCTAAACGTACATGGAAAATTCTTGGTCTTCCAAGGAACTAATGTGAAACGAATGTAGCGGCATTTGTTGCTCCAATTTTTTCTTTCCCCGGCTAATCGGTTACACCACAGGCCCTTTGGTATAGGGAAAGTAGAATAGACGTATTGAATAAATGGGAAACTTGAAACCATTCTCCGGTAGGTATCTACAATCATACCCATCGGAACAGTTTAAGCATTTTAACTAGTGTTTTGTGAAACGGAAAACTAGTTGATGACTGGTTGATGATTTTATTTTTTGTCCAAAACAAGAAACTTAGTTTATCGCGGTTAAATATTTTTGCGACAACTTCGGTTGCATAAAAAATAAATCTTAAACTCGATATTTACGAATTACATGAATCTGATAACAAAAAATCAAAATTAAAACTCTTAGGTCCCAAGCAGTGTGTTTAAAATATTAAGCGGAGATCATATCATTTGAAATGATATATAAATCCAGAAAGGATGGATTTGTAATTTGACACTTTTGCAATTAGGATTCTTATAAAATATATACAACTCCGATTTTTTTTTGTTATTACACATTTTACAACTTTATCATACTCAAACACTAAGAATAAGTCTATTTCTCCTTTAACAATGATAAGTCCAGGCTATATTGATCAAGGGTTTGTTCTTACCAACACACAAGCTTCTGGGCGTCGTCTTGAGTCAATAACGTATGGACAGCAAGAACAATCCATGGGCATGCGCCCAAATTTTACTATAGAATGGTTCCCACAACAGGAAACACAAATTCAAATGAACGACACTAACCAAAGTTTTCACCCCAATTTCTATGGTGGGAAGGCTTACCATTATGCACCTGAAAACTTCGCACAGTCGGTTACTCCCTTGCAGTCAGGACAACTTCCTCTGCCTGGAGTGGTTTCATTACGAATGCAAAATTTCAATGAAAACCGTGAATCCATAGTCATGCCAATTGGCCATCACCCAGTGGGCACTAATTCATCCAGACATCAATCAGTACTAGCCCCAATTAATAGGGAAATGCAACAACAAGAGTCCAGAATAATTCTTCCTCCAAGAGCTCAGTCTCAAGGAGATATCTCGCAAGGCTGTTCAATGAATAATGTTTCTACTGGTCCCCAACAATCGTTGCTCCAACAGAAAAGCTACGCAAGGTTAAATAACAACCATGCTTCAGTAATCCACTTAAATCAAGGTTTGGCACAACCTATAGCAAGTCACCCTTATTTTCCAAACTCAGAAACTCTTCTTCGTAGTTCTGCAATACGAATGCAATGCAGTCCTTATCTTAATTCAAACTCAAGTCCACGTCCTCAACAAGGTCAGCGAAAAGTTAAGCAATCATCAACATGGACTGCTCCTGAAGATAGAATGCTAAGGGCCTTGAAGGAGGTAAAAAAATTAGGATGGAGAGAAATATCTACTTTCTTTAATGGTCGAACTCCCAATGCTTGCCAATTTAGATGGAGGCGGATAATGAGTAGTCTTGCTGCTAACGAGTCGAAGAGTGTGCTGCCACCAACTGTTAAATCTCCACGTAGTCGTCTGGCACAGAAAGTGAAAGAATCAAAAAAAGTTTATAGCATTAATTACATTCTAAATTAGATACATAGCATAGAAAATCTACATTTATTTACTTTGAACCAATTCTCTTCTTGTATAGCACATAAGTGGATTTAGTAAATATACACTATAAAATCTCCTCTATAAAAAAATTATAAGGTTAAGATTTCCATTTTTTGAAATCTTTCGTTATCTGAAGTGGCATACAATAGACAGGATCAATTTCTTTGAACTTATACCTTTCAAAATCAATTAGACTTAATCCTGCTATCCCAAAGCAGGTATGATAAATATCCGTCTGATTATCTGGGCGATCACTGAAGCCACCATCCTCAAGATCCTGGCATGTGAGAATAAAGTTCTCTAATTTAGCCAAGTCAATCCAATGCTTCTTATTCAAAATTGCTAAGGAAGAAAGTACCCACCAACTATAACATACATCCGGCAATTTTTCTGGTCTTCCGTTGAAACCTCCACTTGGCAATACCTGTCTTTCACTCAACCACGACGCAAGCTGATTATCCTTCTCTATTAAATCTAACCTATCAGCTATGGCCAAAGTACCGACACACGTGAATACTTGAGCAGCATGACTCTCTGCACCTGGTAACATTCCAAACCCTCCATCAAAGTTCTTGCACTTCATAATAAACGCCACTGCTGGTTCCAGAATTTCTCGGGTCAATTCATCTAAAAGAGATAACGAAGATACGGCAGTATACACAAATCGGGTATCAACTTCGCCAAATTTGTCTCCCTGGAAGCTACCATCTGGCAATTGTAATCCTTTTATGAAAACAACTAATTTTTCTTGTTGGGATTCGGAAAGCATTGACAACTTCAAATCATAAATCTTAAGAACTTGTAATGCAGACAACGTCGACAATATATGTGCATCGTGCTTTGGAAATGAACTGAACCCGCCAGACCTATCATCCCAACAGCTCAATATGTACTCTATCACTTGCGACCTATCTAATGCATCAAGTTCATTCATGGTAATTAAAGCAGTCACACCCCAATACAATCCATTCATTCTTAGGTGTTCACTTAACCAATACTCATATGATCTATGTGAATCTTGTTCTATCACATATTGTACATGCTTTTCTTTGATGAAATCTGAACTGGACATCCTTTGTTGTGATTGATTCAACTGTTGGGAAGTCTGTTAAAAACAAAATGTAAGAATCATCATTTAATGAGAAGTTCAAAATTCCTGTATATAAAATGCTATACAAAGATTCTATGTAATGGGCTAAGATACAAGATGTGATGATGTAATACTATATAAACAACCTAAAAGTACAATTCTTTAAATTCAAACTTCCTAAGGCTTGGATAGTATTCTACATAATTTAATTTTCGTGAATTGTTTGATACAATTTTAGCAACATTTATAACTTTGCAACCATTATAAGTAACATCAAAATTATCAAAGGTTGAATCATGAAGAACGATAATATTAGGTAATGGTTCAATACGGAGGGCATAATCATAAACAGGGTTGATTATTTTCAAACTTTTCATAAATGGTTGTAAATTACCCTGATCTAATAAAGTTTTCACTAATTTTCTTGCTTCTTTTAATTTAGTAGGTAAGTGCTCTGATTTATCTTGCAAAAGAGTGTCTATCCTATCTTTGTCACTAGCTGAATCACGTTGAACTATTTCCTTTTCTTTCTCCAAGTCGTTAGCGAAAATCATATCATTCCTCTTGAATTTAGTCATTACGTCATCTTTAAGAATAACAATTTCTTGAGATAAATAGTTTATTCGAAGTGGATTCCAACCTAATATTAAGTTTCCTTTAGGTAACATTTTCTCTAGTCTGTTTATAAACACTTTCGGAATTGATCTTTGTGGGAAGTGATTCAAGGTAGAAGAACCAAGAGAGTAAGTAGAATGCCAAGGATCATTCTTTCCAGGAATCAACACAAGTTTGCAAAGCTTCACAGTATTCGGGTAATTACTCAAGATGTTTGCCAATTCATCAAAATTACTCTTATAAGACTCGGAATTTGAAATATTAGACACTGATGAGTTTGTAGAAGTCAATGGTTTTGAAGTAAAGGATCCAGTCAAAACGATGGCTAGGGGTGTACTCGTTTCTTCTGATTCCATAGACTCGATTAATGAATTCTCCAATTTATGAAAGAATTTCTTTAACCCCTCCATGACTTTAAAAGAATCCAAGAAACAGTCTGACCCAAGGAATATAAATTTGTGATCTGCGAGTCCCCTTTCTAGGTGCGTCAACTTCTTTTTCAATCCTTTTGGTATTTTTGTGATTCTTTCCCCATTCTGTGGCTGGATTTGTCTGTGAATTCCTAAGAAATCAAGATTACCATATACTTCTAAGCTCTTGTCTCTTCTTTCTGCCGGAGGATGACCAATATTACTTACATAAAAACAACCTCCTATATAATCGTGTGCTTGATTGGAAGATCCTCCCGAAGCAGAGTAAATCCCTTCAACAATTACAAACATCCCAGGACAGTAAAAGGAACCTTCAGTCTTGAATGTTTGAGAGAAATTTAATTCGATATGATCAGTTGCATCCTCTAAGATATATTCATCATTTGTGTTCTTTGATAATAAACCAAATAAAATAAACTTCTGACCATCTCTTCCTAGCACGTTCTTGATCAAAGTGATTTCATTTGTTAGATTCCCCTCCTTTAAATTCAAACTAATAGATGATATGCTGGCCATTGATGACTTTTGAAAGTTCTCATTTCTGGATAATCTATCCACCAACAAATAATAACGATTGGTGAACAATTCAATTGAAGATTGTAAATTATTTGATAAACTTTGCATCAACGATGAACCTTTTTTTGCACTGATACTAAATTGCTTTCTATTCTTATCAAAAACTATTGCAAGTTGATCGTTTGGAGATATAATTTTGAAGTAATCTTCCCAGTTAAGTATTTCTTCTTGTTCTATATCCTCAAGGGTATCTGATCTTTTGGCTTTGTCACTAAATGACAGAGATTCCGATTTCTGATTCATATCTTTTAGAACCTGTTTCAAACCAGCTCCATCGATGAATAACCCCCGATCTTCTGCTTTCCATACTTTAGCAACTTCTTCTAGAAATTGTTGTGCTTTCGGACCTTTCCATTCAAATCCAAATTTATAACTGATCACTTCTGTCAAAAGGGTAAGAGCATCAGTATTTATATTTAACCCATGTTTTTTTGATAGTACCCTAAACGCTATGGGACGCAAGTTTGATGGAAGAAGCTTTATAGGTAAAGAAGTAGTAGATTCCATCGTCTGGTTAGATAAGCTCTGTAGAATAGAGTGTTGTTAAGCTTACGCGTAATAAATTTTTTGTTGATTTCGAAAATTTAATTCTGACGCGTAGCCTACGGCGTACAATGCTAATTTTCTGATCTAGTATGGTTGTTTCGGCATTAATATTTTGAGGTGTTGATTCTTCTTATAAATATAGAAAAATAGATTAATAAACAAAGTAACTCTATAGATAATTTTACAGTGATGTCTGTATTTTCAACAGCATTTTTTTACAATAGTAATACAATTAATTTAAAGTTTCTAAAGCCAACCTTTGGTAAATATCTGCAACGTCTACTTCGGAAGTTTTAAATGACTCCAAGACTTTGCAAGTGCTGATGAGAGCCTTGAGTCTGAGCAGCAGGTATGAAAGATCGCATAACCTTCTCAAAGTATAAAGGTTGGAAAAGAGACTCAGGTAATATCTCTTGATTTCGTCATTGTTTTCCAGCATAAGAATTGAAGCCCCAATCGCTTTGCGGAGTTCCGATTTTGAATCGTCCAAGAACTTCTTAACATCGCTATAGAAGGTCTCATAAGCTGTTAAATCCTTGCGAGAAAGGGCTTTGGTATATTCATTTAAATCATCTATGGCTGTCTCAATATTTTTCTCGGTTTTTTGGTATTTATTCTGTGATTTGTCTTCAATATTGGGAAGTGATTTGCTCTGCTTTATACTTTTAAATTCATTCTGCAAAGTTTGTAGTTTTCTAGAAATTTGGGCAGATTCGTTAAACAATAAATTTCGGTCTTGTTCCAACTCTTCAGAAGCAAGTCGTAACTTTTCCCGCATATTCATTTCAGTATTTAGAAGCTTATTTTTTTCAATCTGGGACTGCAAGTCTTTTCTGCATTCTTCCAAACTATTCTTCAATTCAAAATTCAAATCATCCAATTCCTTATTCCTGATCAATAACTGTTCCTTTGCGCTAAGCATCTCTTCTCTTGATACCTTGGATTCTACCTCAACTTTAAGTTTATCTATTCTTGCTCTCAATTGAGAATTCTCGTCTTTTGCTCTGAATAGGTCTTCTCGTGGAACTTTAGACTTACCCTCTATAATTAGCTGGTTGTTTCTTTCCCGCAATTGAGATATCTGTTCTTCTGCTTTAGCTAGTTCTTCTGCAGGAACTCTGGAATTATTTTCTGCAAGAAGCTGTTTGTTTCTTTCTCGTAATTGACTTATTTGCTCTTTTGCATTGAGTAGCTCCTGCCTAGATACCATAGATGCACGTAACTCTTCAAGATGAGCTATATCTCTTCGTAATTGTATTACTGTCTCTTCATTTTCTCGTTGCAAGCTACCTAAATCACGAGCGATCCTTTCTTCACGCTCCTGCGCTCTCAATAGGTCAGTTTCTAAGGACAGAATGCGTTGCTTATAGTCCTCCTCACGTTCTCTGTATCTTTCAACTTCAATATTCCGCTGTTCATAGATCTTCCTAGATCTAATTGTGTCATCAACTGGATCGTCTTCAAAATTTAACCCGAATTTCTTTCTTCTTGATGAATCGTCAATATCAGAATGGAACGAAACCTTCTTTTCGGTTATTGGGTCTAAACGGAGAACATCCTTAGCAGATTTCTTTAGGGCATCGATCTCATCAATTTCATCATGGGTAAAGTAGTTAACCAAACGGGATAAAATTCCACTCTGTCTCTGTGTTGATTTCCTTGGAACCTTGGATACTCTGTGAGATGTACTTGATCCTGCAGGTGAGTCTAATACTTTGTAAAGCGAACTCTTCAGTCTTCGGACGCCAGAGATTGGTGTCCTCAATGATTTGATCGGTGAACGTAAATGATGATCTGTGGTCTTAGAAATGTATTTGTCGGATATATCTCGAATTCGATTTAGCTCTGTATTATATTTTGTTGAATCCATATCCCTGTCGTCTGCCAATCTGCGAGTAGTTGTAGGACTTTCCTTCTTGAAAGATGTAGAATATTTTCTATTGATTCCATTGTATTCTGGCAATTGTGTTGACTTATAAGGATCACCACCTAGGTAGCGATCCTTGTTGTTGTTGTATGTCCTATCTTGCTCAGTAGAGCTTTTATAAGGATTCTCGTTGTTTCTCTTCAGATAATAAGCGTCCGACTTCCCATGGTTGTTTGAAGCGTCCTCTCTAATTGGAGATTGCCTTGTTGTTTGGTCGACTCTAAATCTATCCGAGTATGACGATTGATATTTGGTTTGATCTCTTTCATTTAAGCCTGACAATGAAGGATAGATCCTTTCCACATTCTGGGACTCATAACGCGGTCTTCTTGAGTTCTGGTACTTATTCAATAGACTCGACATGATGGCTTCTACTTGAAGATGGATACAAGTGTGATTTGATGATTACTTGATTTTCTATGGTTTTCTTGTTTTGGTTAAATAAAATCAGTAAACTCTTTGTGGAAGAAAAAAAATTCGCGTCTCTTGGATTTGTGTGTGCTACCAGGTGTCACTCATAAGAATGAACTTCTGGTGCAGGAACGACCTAGTCAAAGTTGAAATTAATTGAGCTTAATAATGCAATTGATGATGATATATATTCTAATTGATTTCTAATTTACTTAATATATAAAACTATGTATGATTACAATAAGACTAATTCTAGAAAATGGATTAAATGAGCAAAAACTAATTAACAAATATCTTCAACAGCCAATATCAATTTCACCACAAAGCTCAACCTTTCTACTAGATGATGAAAGATACACCTTGTATGTTCCGGTTTGTATTATCCATTGTTGGGATAATGGATCCCAGATACTTAAATCCCTATGCAAAATGTTGAAATTTACTTTGGTGGATTTCCCAGGTTCCAAGAATACTTTTTCAAAACCTCGAAGAACACGAGGTGGGGAGGCTAAAATTGTACTTGGGAATTCAATGTATAATTGACTCACATAGCCACCTTTAAACTTTCCGTCATTGGTGATTTCAGCACTAACTTCATAAAGCACTTCCCAAAGTGCTGGATTTCCACCTAGACCACCACCAGCCAAAACTGGACTGGTTGGCTGATCGGGTGTGAAACCACGAGGAAAGTCAAAGGTATCATCATCTTCTATTGATCTGATATTTTCATTATATAAATATGGATAAATATAACCAGGTGCTGGGTCAAACTCATCATGAGGGAACAAGGCATCTTCTGGATCACAGACGTCATCCTCTACTGTCTTAAATGGAGGTAGGTATTCTTGTGGATATGGTAAATATTCTGAAGGTGGATTTATTTCCGAGATTTTTAAATTGCAAACCTTGAAAGAAGTGTAGGATAATCCATATCCGAATTCAAATCTTGGTTTAATATTATGTTTATCAAAAAACCGGTAATCTAAGTATATATCACGGTCGAAATTATCTTGTGGGTTCTTTTCTCCTCCTAGATCATCAATGATAGGAACATAATGTTGTTTCTTTCTAGCTAGTGTGAATGGTAGTCTCCCAGATGGATTTACGTCTCCAAACAATACATCTGCAATGGCTTGACCAACAAATTGACCCAAAGGAGCAGCAAATATCACAGCCACAACATTTTCATTCTCAATCCACTTCTCCATGTTTACTGGCCCGGTAGATGTGACTACCACAACGGTTTTACGACATTTTGAGGCAATCGTATCGATCAACTCGTCACCATTGTGCCATAAGGACAAATTCTGACGGTCACCAAAATTGTTTTCAACATAAACATAACCTTCTCCTGAAAATGTATTCACAACAACAATAGCCATGTCTGCATAGTCGGCAAGATCTTCCATATTGTCCAATTCCCAAACATTGCTAGAATAGTCAATTACTATTCCTCTTTCCCTTGCTTTCTTGGCTATTGCTTCATATGGAGTTATAACAAAAGGATTGTTTACCGCAGCTGAACCCCAACCTGAAGTAAGAACTCCGTCTATACACCGCTGATCTTTGCAATTAAATCCATTAGGATCGGGGCCAGAACCTTTACCAGCAATTAGTAATCTTCTTACACCATCACCTTTATCAATTGGCAAATGATGACCAGTATTTTTCAATAAAACAATAGCCTCCTTTGCAACAGTAAGAGCTGTATTATCACCAAATTCTGAACGGGCATCAACATGCCAATTCTTCTGTATTATAGGACCAAAATGTTGATATGGGAATTCTTGTCCGTATGTATGATGGGTCCAAGAACTGAAATTAGGAACATCTTCTTCTGAAGGTAACTGAACACTTTCAATAGCAAAAAATGGAGCCAAAATTCGTGTTGCCATATCATTCAACCTTTCTTGGCTAACAGTACCATTATAAACTGCACGAGTCAAAAGTGGACCCCAATATGATTTCCCTGTCAACCAATCATCGAAAACCTCTCCGGGCATTGTCATATCTAGACCAGCTAAAGCTGAATTGACACCACTATGTTGAGCACCCCAATCGGAGACCACATAACCTTGAAATGCTAATTCTTCTTTCAAGAGATAGTTCAAAAGATAGGAGTTTTCACAAGCATAAGTATTATTGACTTGATTATAAGAACACATAACACTTGCAACCCCTGCTCTAACCACATCGGCAAATGGCCATAAATATACTTCATGCATTGCCCTATCACCGATATTTGAACTTATGGCCGATTCTAATTTCTCCCAACCATTTTCTTCCCATTCACCAACTTGTCTAAAATGCTCTTGTTCATTACCAATGAGATGTCTTGCAGTTGCCAAGACCCCTTCATCTTGTATTCCTTCTACTGTAGCAGCACCACCTACTCCTTGCAAATATGGATCTGCACCAAAACTTTCCCAATTCCTACCGCCAGCAGCTTTTAATCCCATTGGACCAATAACTGGGCCCAATGCAATATGAACTCCTTTTTTTCTATGCTCTTTTCCAATTGCTTTACCTCTGAGATACATTAATCCTTTGTTGAAAGTTGATGCGGCTGCAAGTCCAGATGGGAAATGAGTTACAAAATCGGTGAATCTAACCCCATTAGGACCATCTTGTAAACAAAGATTGGGGATTCCTAATCTTGGAATAGAACCAGTATTACCGACACAAGGACCAGAACCCCAACCTGTACCAGTTGTTAAATTTACTTTTTCTGTTATTGACATCTTTTCAACTACTTTCCTTGCTTTCTCATATGCTTTTTGCCAAACTTTTTCTAATCTTCCACCAAGAGCTAAAAAAAATGTTAGTTTAATTATTCTGAGCAATGCTAGTTTATAAAATGAACGGTAGTATGTACGTGAAGGGTAATGGACTGCAGAGGAGTATAAGTCTGATTGATCTTCCACAATAAACATTGGTGCTTCTTGATGTCGTGATCGCTTAACAAAACTCACGGATGAAACATTTGAAAACTTTGAATTGAGTGAGAAGGTAACATTTTCAGAAGATAAAATGTAATTAAAGAACAAGAAGCTTATGATTATCCCTAGTAGTACCATTCTGTTAATTGATTAAACACTGAACCACTAAGAAATGTAAGTAAGTTGTAAATTACTGGTTGACTGGAAATTTGGCTGCCAATTCCTGTTTTTTTTTACTGCTTTTTTGGTTCTGTCTTTTCGCGCTGAGGGTTAAATTTTTTGCAGCTGGAAGATATTTCTATTAGATTCTACATAATACATAAATAGATACATATAATAATCCAAGTATTTTAAAAAAAATACAAAATGCAGATATGACAAGGAAAAAGGAATGACGTTGAATAATAATACAAAGTTATGTATGCATATGGGCAGTTACTTGGACTGGGGTAACGATATTTGGAGCGACATTTGCATTCGAACCATCAAGATCAAACTGAGCAAGCGTATTTGATCGCCTCAATATGGGTGGGATAGTCTTTGGACTTGATGGTATCGAACTTGTCGAATTATTTAACTGCTTTGGTTTTGATGTATACTGGTATGGCGAAGGAGAATCGCATTGATTCATGATGTTATGGTTGGGATTAAGCGGAGAACTTGGGGTTGAATGCAATAGTGATAATGATTTGGCAATAGCAGTCTGTGACAATTCATACTTTCTGGGCTGGGATTGAGGTGGTGGTGATTCCTCTACTTCGGCGACAACTCGTAAGTCTGAGAATGGTTGAAGTAAGGAATCATGTTTTGGATTCACTTTGTCCCCTGATGGACTATTTGAAACTAACGTTGAGTTGCCAGCTTCTTCATCTACGTTGGGTGATGTTTGTTCATTGTCAGAATAATCAATTGAGACCGTAAGTACCAGCTGTCGCCTGTTTGTTTCCTCTATGAACTTTTCCAAACCTTTTATGGCCGCATCAGCATCAAGTAACATAGCATGTTCTATATATCCCGGTCTAGAATCATCTATTTTCATGGAATTCTTATATTTAACTCCATTAAATAAATTAAATAAATCCAGTCTATAATTCTTTGGTAATTTATTATGTGATAAATAAACATTGCAAAATTGATTTGGAATTCTGATGAATAAGGAAATAACTGGTCTCATAGATTTAAGTTCCGATAAACAATTCCTTCTTAAATCAATTTTTTCTAAAGATGCTAAACCTTCCAACCCTGATAAATCTGTCAATTTATTATTATTCATATTAAGGGTTAACAAGTTTGTTAAGTTTTTAGGTAATTTCTTTAAGGACGTTATATAATTATCGGAAAAGTTTAGGTATTTAATAGTGGTTAAATGCTCTAATCCATCAGGTAATTCTTCCAATAAATTATTTGACAAATTAAGTTTAACCAAATTTGTTAATGGTTTGAAAGTATATGCTGGAATATTAGAAATTGAAGTCTCGGAAACAGTTAACTGCTTCAAATATGCCCACTTTGCTTCTGGAAGACTTTCATATTGTTTCCTTTCGTTGTTGCTGTTGTTGTTATTGCTATGGTTGTTGTTGATATGATGATTGAAATGATCTCCTATATACATGTCTTTTGGCAAGGAGCCAGCTCCTGACAGACTTGGTTTCTCGGGTCTTCCGTATCTGAATGCACTGTTATTGAATTGGGGAAACTCATTTATTTCACTGAATGAATCGTCAGCAGTACTTGGGATTGAATAGCCGTTGAAATCAGTGAATCTTCTTCCATTTTGTTTAGGTGAGTTAAAACTTGATCTTCCTGATTCATCATCTATAACCCAATTGAAAAGTACTTCTGCCATATCGCTCACTCTTGCCTTTCTTATAATTAATATTCTTAATTGTTCACTTAGAGTATTCCAACCAAATATTTCATTTGGATCGTATTCATTTATTTCCAAAACTTGCAAGTTTTTAAACATCTTGAGAGGAACTGATGTGTCACATGGATATTCTTCATATGAGCTTATACTATTTATGTTTGTCTTTGCACTTAAGATTAAACAAGGGACCTTTGTGAATGATGAATATAAATATTTTAAATCTTTGTTTATAACTTTTGGATCTTTACTAAATGCAAGGGATCTCCAATAGACAGATGCACTAGAAACAACAGATTTCATCGAACTTATAGATGAAATTGATCTAGTATCACTATCAAAATGCTTTGATGACCTGGCATTATTAGCCATGAATGATACAAACGTGGGTTCATGATTTGGGTTGTCTAATTTGATATTCAAGGGACCAACGTCTACACCTAAAGGAGATGTGTCTATTCTTTCAGTAACATAGTATAAATGATGAATTGTGAAACTTAATCTAAGTGGTTTAACTTTAACCGTTGAATTCCTATTCTTAGAAAAGCAGAGTAAACCATTAGCCAATGCTTCTTCATTTTTCCGGATATAGTTGGACAACCTTTGAACGTACACATCACCTTCTATGGAGCTGTCATTATAACTGAAGGTGCCCATCTTTGTCTCTTAATGTTTGGGTAATTTATATTATTACCTTGCGGGTTATGTATGTTGTCTTTATCTTAAAATTGCTGGAAGGGGGGATGTTGACAGATTTATTTTTTTTGCAATTTTCTTCCCAGGGCAGATTCCTTTCTTCTTTGTTGAATAAATGCTACGCTCTTTAATATTGAATTGGAGTAAGCTTTTGTTTACCCCTGATGTAGTTGAATTCAAACAATATATAATATGTTAAAGATCTTATTTCATAAAAAGGAGTTTTGAAGCAAAATTCAAATCTAAAAAATTAAAGATGATTCCTTTTTGTATTGTTTTGATTTTCTCCCAATTCAACAAGAAATCAAAAAAGTTTTTTTTTTTAATTAATTAATTAACTGGTTATATGCAGGAAATAATATGTCAATTAATTAAACAATTCAATCCACAGTTTTCATTTCAACCTTCCATGCAGGGATACGCTAATAAGGGGGATGGAAGATGAACAAGAAGAAGAAGAAGGAAGGGGCCAAGGGAAGAAATATCAAGCAACACTACCGCCAAAGATAAGTTAACAGTTCAATAGAGAAATTATAATTCCATTTCAAAATTCTCATTTAAAACTTAATCATTATCGTCATTACTGTAACCAAAAATAGAAAAGATTGCAACATGAAGCTTCACAAACCTAAAAAAAATAGAATTACTCTGTATATATTATTTCACTCTAATTATAACTTTGAATAGAACTAGTTTGATCATCATAATGCGAATTATCAATCTGACTTATTCTATCACTGGTTCTTATACTGGTGGCATAATTACTACTACTTGGTTGTACACCAAGTCGTTCAATTATTGAGGCAGGTGGAATACCAGTCGTACTTGATGAAGTATCAATACTTCTTCTTCTAAGTCTTCTTGAAGAGCTTGCCAATGTAACTATAGATTCACTATCTCTATCATGTACCAATGAAGCAGTTGTCAAAAGCAGGTTAGGATGGGCATTTGTTGTTGTTGTATTACCTGGAACAAACGTATAATGAGGAGGAGTTTGGACACTTGGAGCTAATGAAGTTTCGGCAGTGGAAGTGTCCATTGATTGTTGATCATGATGTGATTCACTCAATATGGAAGGGGACTTGGTAGATTGTCGAGATACAATTGACTTTAATGGAATTGTACTCAAATTATCACTATGTTGATCATTATTCCCATCTCTTGAACTTCCATTACTAACAACTTCTCGTATTGTTAAATCAAGATTCTCATCTTCGGTAGCTGTAGACAGTTCACTATTAGCTCTGTCTCGTATTTTTCCATTATCCAGTCGTGTGCCTTTGGAATTACCTTGATAGTTATGAAGCAGCCTCTGTTCGTTCTGTTCTTGGTTCTGTTGTTGCTGTTGTTGCTGTTGTTGTTGTTGTTGTGCAGATGATGTTTGTAATTGTTGACGAGGATGATTGGGTTCGACTATCGTTATTGATTGTGTTTTGTTCTGACCCTGCATTAATCGTTTCACCCATCCAAATCTATTTCTTGTAGTGTGACGCTTGTCATTGGGTAAATTATTAACTATTGTTAGAAAGTTAGTAATTAAAAAACATCTGGAGTTGAATCATATCTAGGTTTATACACATACCTTCTGATGTAGTCATGGGATGTGGTTGTTAAGTATTGTGGTAGCAGGAATACTAGTTGTTGTATTGAATAAGTAGTAATTGTTAGATAGCAGTAGTATCTGAATAAGATATTGATTCTATAGAATGAAATAGGAAATTAATATATTGTAATAATAGATAATAAACAAATTGGCTAAGAAGTTGATAAGTTTTTGCTTGACAATTTTTCTCCCTTGGTTTTATATTTATTTTTTGTTGCTGTTTCAAATTTCCCATAACAAAAAAACATTCAATTTAAATTCCTTCACAGAACAAGGATATTATAATAACTACCACTCTAATATCTTACCGATAATTAATCTCCCAAGCAATGTCGATTAGGTGCTTTTTGTTGGAAAATATATAACAGTAATTATGACCATTTTTCTCAATCTCAGCTTAAGACTGGCGGGGACTTAATGAAGTCACCAAGTACTGTAAATGGCAGTCAAAAATAAACTTCGATCCCCAAAAAAAATTGTCCCAAATGCGAACCGATAACGAACTCAACCATATTACATCATTTTTGAAGACAATGCACCATTTTAAACCTTCTAATAAATAGTTATGGTCATCTACAGATCACAGGCATCAAAAAAATGCGCAAACCCGGAATCGAACCGGGGGCCCAACGATGGCAACGTTGGATTTTACCACTAAACCATTTGCGCTTGAGAAAATGCTCCGCGACGGGGAATTGAACCCCGGTCTACCATGCGACAAACGGTAATTCTAGCCACTAAACTATCACGGACTTTTTACAAACAAAAAACTCGTTCAGTTTATGGGCTTAATTCTGGGTCACGTGATTTTTTATTTTTAATTTACTTTATAACTTCCCAACCACAACATAGAATCCAACTTTATATATATATGTCAAAACTTATTTGTCTGAAGTATATTCTGAGTTTCTTGAATATGTGAAAAAGAGTTGTTTAGATACTAAAAAAATTTCTGGAAGTATTGGTTTGAAAGCTGGAAAAATTTTTATTTTTTCAATTCTGTTAGTTAGCTCAATAAAATTTTTAAAAACTATCAAAAATCATAAATTATTTGTTTTATCTACGTATTCAACCGATAAGATATAATAAATATATGCAATTAATACATAAGGTTAAGTTTCTTGCAAAAAAATCAGATTTTTCTAATTTTATAACTCCTAGTTTGGATGGAGAAGTTGTGGAATATATGAGCTAAAGATAAAATTGAAAAAAATAAGGTTTTCATAACCAACTAAACAATTGGTTCAAAGAGAAATGCTTCTGAAGAACTTCAGTTATTAATTGGGAAAGAAGCTGGAATCAGTTTNAAAGAGAAATGCTTCTGAAGAACTTCAGTTATTAATTGGGAAAGAAGCTGGAATCAGTTTTGAAAATTCCCTGTAAGGCTTTTGGCTCAGAATGTGTCAAATCTGAAGTAAATGTGCTTCATTTCAAGTGGCTTTTTTAAGTATAGTTCCAATAACAACTGTATCATAATATGAAGGCCCAAGTAGTTTATACGAAATAACGGAGCAAGAGCTTTTATTAGTAAAAGACACAGAGCTATTATTTGACGACTGGTCATGCAATGAGCCTTGTTTTATGGCTTGAGGTAAACTTTGAGCCATGTAAGAGATTTACTCGAAATACCATTTCTTCTTCCAAGACTTGCGCAACTATAAACTCTGAAAGAAGAATTGAAACATGACGACCACTATCTATATCTACTAGTATCGCCTTGGATTTCGTTTATTTAAATTATATTGTTTAAATATAGCTAAAAGAAAGTTGAGAATGTGAAACAAATTTTTAAGGTTTTCAGACCATTGTTTTTTTGCAGCCATTTTTTTCTGCAACAAGGTACACAGCCTCGACTTAACATGTGTTGCATAGTGCCATAACTTCCATCGTCAAAAAGAGTTTCATGACGACATCAATATTGATCTATTATTTCGTAATACAAAGCGAGAGATTGCATTCACAAGAGGATAGGGGTACCTTTATGTGAAGTACTTGGTCTTGATATATTGCGATTTACATCAACAGAGAACTCCTAAACATGAATTTAATCAACCTTTTATTAAATATCCATATGGATTAATAAGTTAAATTATTTATATTCTATTTACTTACTTGACCACAAATAATCTGCCTAAATCAAAGCCAATAATATTCCAGCAAAAGAGGCAAACATCCCACTAGAACGACCCATATAAACTCCACCAGCAGCATTTTCATGGCTTTCACTTCCAGAAACCGAAGCTGCACTCACACTCACATCCGCAGCAGTAACAGATGGAATACCTTTACCTGCAATTCGAGAATTATACCAAGGTAATTGAGACACCACACTATCCAATTGGGACATAACTACCGTATTTTGCACTAGGGTGGTATATGATTCATCGGTCATTTGTCCCATTACTTGTATTAGATTAAGGGGAATTGGGATTGTTCCTGTTTCGAAAAATTGGACATATTCATTTTGATTTGATCTGATGTCTGATGCTACTCTTGTGAGAAGTTCCATTTGATTGACAGTCGTTGCAGCATAAGCAACAATTGATGAGATTAGGAATATGAAGAAGGTAGATATATAGTGCATTGCTTTAATATTTGTGATTTGCGTTAAAAAGGTAAAAAGATATTGTTTAAAGAACTTCAGAGCAATTTTAAATGGAGGGGGATTTGTGGTGGTTTTTATAATCACACGTAGAACGGCACCGACGGTACAAGCGAAAAATATTGCAACCGTTTGTTTCGTCTCCTTTCGCAAATTTGGTATGAAAAAAAATAACTTCTAAATTTAAAAAGAGGCTGAGAATACTAAGACTAAGTGTTAATAATATGCGTCTTTTAATGGTCAAAATGGCGTCACCATACCGGGGCCATTGGAACGATCGAAGTTACGTCATCAACATCGATTCCACTTACACATTCTCAAATGCTCTCCCCTAACAAAATTATAAACGTTTAAAATATGCTTATTTTTTTTTAAAAATAACTTATATAATAACATGTATATACATATTCATATATATGACAATATATAATACATTTAAATAATAATAATAATAATACTTATAAATTGCTAAGAAAACCAAACCATCAACATAACCAAAACTTTGAAAACCATTAAATTTAAACAATACAAAAATATATCAAAAAATGAAATTCAATCAACCAATTATTATGCAAAATCAAATGAAAACCAGGATGTATTAGGGATGTACAAGTGTAAATAATAATAATAAAAACTCCTCTCTCTCTCTCTCTCTCTCTCTCCTCCTTTATCTGATAACCATCCACCTCCGTTAATTATTCTATGCCCAACAAAACAAAATGTATAATGAAAACAACAAAATGCAAAATTGATAAATTAGTAGAAGTCAAATAATCTCTCTCTAAAATAACAATCAAATTAAAAATAAAAACGACACAACAATAAAACCAAAACAACAGGAGTTTAAAAGGTAGAATATCCTTCACATCTCCCTACGTAAGTCTATTCTTCCTCTCATTGCGTGTCAAATGAATGTAATGTGTAAATATATATAAAAAAACCAATAAATAAAGGCCACCACTTCTATCAAAGAATGAAGTGAATCCTTTTTAATAATATGCAATATTAGTGTAAAATACCAAAATGAATTCACGGGCTTGTAGGCAACAATCAATAGGTATTTAAACATTTCTTCTAGAATTATAATAATAGTAAACAAAACAGTCCAATCATTCTCCACTACCACCACTAACACCATCAACATGCATAGCATTGTATTCATCACCAGCAAAAACAAAAAAAAAACAACTAAAACAAAAAAGTCATAAGTAAGTATATTGTACATCCCAAGGGTATTATTTGCACTCCCTTTTCCCTTAAACAACTCAAACAATAAAAAAAGATAGAATAAAAAAAACCAGTAATCATCCAAATAAACATAAAAAATCAATCAAATTGAATCTCAATCTTCGATACAATTTCTAATATCGATTAATTCCTTCATTTATTTTGAATTGCAGGTGATTCGATTCTCATCTTAGTTTGAGGATTAATGATTTCCAAAGGTTTCTTAATTCTGGGAGTATGTACTCTTGGTGATGTATTACTACCAACACTAACAGTAGTACTGTTAGTACTCTTTGGTGAAGTTTGATCTTGTGATGGAGAGAATGTGGTTGCAGTATAAGGATTAAATTTCTTTAATGATGGACTTGAATGGAAAGTATCAGGAATATCAGGGCAAAATTCCAAATCATCTTCCATATCAAATGATTTAGATAAATAATATCTTAATCTAGGAGTATGGAATGAATAACTTGATGAATTAGCACTAAGCATGTTACTATTCGCAAGCATGGAATTCGTACTACTTGGTTGACTAACACTCGATACTGAACTTGACAAACTATTGTTAGATGATCCAGGTGGTGAAAGGTAGGAGATATTGGCAGTTGGACTTGTGTTGGCAAGTGCAGATGCATGAGGTAAGTTAGGCGAATATTGTTGATAATTATTGTAAGTATATTGATTTGACATTATTGTGATTATTCTTTATTTTATATGTAAAAACTTATATTAACATGTAATCCGTTAAAAGGGTGTGAGATATGTTGATCTTTTACTTTTGTTAAAAAAAGGGTAGGTCTGGTTGGGTTGGGTATGATTGGGTATTTATTTGATTCTTTTGATGTGTGTGTGTAAAAATGAACAACAAATAATAAATAACAATAAATAAATAAATAATAATGGATTTTACGAGTAAACTTCTTATTATTTCAATACTTTATAAATTATATAACAATATGTTGTATGTTATAAGTAAGTGTTTGTATGAGGGGTTGTAACAGTTGTTATGAAAATAGGTGTTTTGATTAAAGGGTAATAAGAAAAATTGTTGAAAATAGGAGTTGTCCTTTTTTTTTGAATGATTAAAATGTGTTAAGGTTTTTTGGAATTTCTTTTTTTTTTCTTTGGTTTCTTTTTAAGTTTTTTGGTATGGAAAAAAAATGTGTAACTGATTTCCCTTTCCCTTTACAGGGAAATTAATAATATTTTTTGAACTTATTCACACGACTTTTTATGTCGAACCATTTTTAGTCACTTAAAAAAATAACACCCCAACAAATTTATCCGTGATTCCCAGATTCTTCTACAGTGATTGACAACATACACGACCAATTTGTAATTCTATTTATAACCTGGATTTACATTGTCCTACATTTGTCTGCGTATATATTATGATGATTACATTAAATTTGAAGTGTCAATCTCTGGACATTCTATAAATGTGAATGATTTAACCAGCTTCATAAAACAATAGATTTTATTCTATAAGATATGAAATTATTCTTTGGGATTTTTTTGCTGGTTAGATCTAATTAGAAATGTCGCAGCTGGAAATTGACATAAAAACTGCAAACTTTAATCATTGAAGTTTAAAGCTTCCAATTAAGATATCTGGCGACCATATTCGTCACAAGCTTCCGTCGAAACTTGTTTAATAGTTAAGCTAACCGGTGAATATTCATTTTTTGCTTCAATGATTTATCTTCTTATCTGAGGACTTCATAATTTTAGGCTCTTATTTCTTGAGCTCGACAAAGTCTCTTCCATAACCCAGCTCTAGTAAGAGGCATATGCTATATGATATCGATCAATGACATTACAATGGTGAGAAGCTACCAAGATTAAATATAAGTACAATGTTTCGAGACTGTACTAACAAAATAAATGCATGCAATATTGCATTAATCCTTGGGGTACGTACACTACAAGACTGAAAATCGGTCGCAGTAGTCCAAGACTTATACAAATAACGAGAGAATAAATTTAAACTTACTCTATGGTATTTTTACTCTCTAGCAATTGTAGTGGTAATAAGATGACCAACCGTAGTCTTTGGTACTAACTTAGGCAGAATGCGATACTCAGGTATGTTTTAAAAATGTAAGACAAGCTTCGAATTGAATTTTGGTATTGATAGGCTCCTGCATGTTTTCGCAAGTTTAAATATTCAATCTAAAAATGTATGGCACATAAATTTTGTATATTTCCATGTGCCTTATAGATTATCTTTTAGTTTTTGTTGCAAGGGTTGCAAAATTTGCCACAAAACGCTTATCAGCTGTCAAACCAAAAAAAATATTTCTTATTTGTAATCCATTATTGCGCTTTTCCCCATCATCCCTTTTTTCAGATAACCCTACGAAGCATATAAGCATGAGTCAAACTCTGGAACACCCGTTCAAAAATCTTTGCAGTCTTCCTGATGAATTGATAGCCAAGGTGCTTTCCTTCTTGGAGAAGCAATATTTGAAAGCAATTGTAGATGAGGCAGATAACAGGATTAAACAAATTGCGCGCTACATCTACTATGATAAAATCAAGATAAGATCGAATAGTGATTATGACATTGCTAAAGATCCAGAATTAACTTCCAAGGATTTTTATAATAATCTTTATCAAAGCAGTTTAATAATGTCAATAGACGAATTTATCCTGTTTCATGAAATGAATAGCAAGCATCCAATTGGTTTCCTCGAGCTTAGCGATGAAGAGTTATTGGAAATACATAAAAGGTATCCATCCAGCTTAAGACAAGTAGTATCAATCCACGTTCATTGCCTAAATGTTTCATGTATATCTCAATTGCCACAACTCCCTTACAATATCGAGAGGTTAGATTGTCCCCTGGTGGGTGCCTATCATTACGTTGATGACTTCGAGTATCCGAGAACAATAAAACATTTAAATATTTCTTATGGAAGATTCAAGGATCTACGCGCTTTTGTTAAAACGTTTCCTTATCTAGAGACTTTGGTAATGAGTGGGGTTGTTATTCCTTTGGATGGTTTGCTGGTCGATCTCCCTTGGCTCAATACATTGGGCACAAATTCTTCAAGTCTAAAAAAGTTTAATAACAAAGAAATTAAGCTTCCAGACCGGATAGGCGATTTTACAATTTTCTATAGTGAGTCAGCCGAAGAAGAAGAAGATATACCATTTCAAGAAGAAACCCCACTGTATTCAGATCATATCAGCTTTAACCTCGGTTCTTGTTCAAAATTAAAAGCGTTGACACTTTATGGAAATAAACAGGTAGAGTTAAATAATATTACGGTACCACCTTTTCTAGCCAAGTTGCTGCTTGTTGGCATAAGTTGTATCTACCATGGCGAGATACTCCAATCATTGGGAACTTTAAATGTGTTGGAAATAACTGGAAAACTTGAAACATGCTGTTATTATCAAATATTCAAGGTGTTCAAATTTCCAACAAGTCTACGAAAGTTGGTTATTAGGAATGCCCAATTTCGATCCGAGATTCAAAAAGGATTAGAAGATGCAAAACTTGAATTAAATGAATGTTTTAACAGTGACGGAAAATTTGAAATAGGAAGATCTGATTTGCAATTACCCCTTCAGCTAGAAGAACTACTATTTTCCGGGTTTCCATTCCTATGCTTCACCGAAGAATGGAAAATGCCTCCAAACTTACTTGGATTGAGGTTGAGCATTCTAGATGGTTTCGAACCATTTTCAAGTTGCTATCTCCCTCGTAGATTGAGAAGTCTCGAAGTGGAACGTGTTGGTCTCGGATTTTTAAAGGATATTCAATTTCCTGAAACATTGAATTATGTTTCCTTCGATCAGTGCAAAATATGTTATGTTGAAAATACTAATCTTTTTGAATTGAAAAATCTTAGGACGCTCGTCTTGAGAGATAATACCTCCCTGAGAACCCCATTCAGGATTGATCAGAATTTGATAGATTCATATGATTTGTCTCCAATGAAATCATTGATGTCTTTGGATTTATCTGGAATTAGGTTTGGAGATATCTGTGCTGTAAAATTTCCTTATTGGTTGGAAAAACTCAAGTTAAATGATTGCAAGTTTTGCAGATTTGGTAAACTTTTTGAGTTCCCCATTAATTTATTATATCTAGGATTGGCGAAGAACAATCTCTTGATTTTGGAAGTTTTGGAAAAGTTACCTCGACAGTTGAAACAGTTAAACATGTCTTGGATTACTACCACTAAGAATGAACCAATTAAGATCAGCCATAATGCTTTGGAGGAGTTATTTCTTGAGAGGGCAAAATTTGACCTGTTTGATTTTTCCCTATGCAACAATCTTAAGAAATTGAGCCTTAAGCGAACTTCACACGACCTATTACATTCGGCTCAATTTCCCATATCTCTTGAAGAATTGGACTTGAATTCTGCTACCGCAACTCGTTTAGTTTCGGATTTTCCACTCCCAAATGGTCTATATTCGAATTTTGCTAGATTGAGTAGGTTGAAAGGTTTAGACTTAAGAGAAAGCATCATACAAATGTTTGTTAGGAACCCACCGGAAGTTATGAATTTATCTAGAAGACTACAAGGAGAGACAAGCAACGGCACTCCTGTAGTATATGACTGGAGTAAAGGTGCATATTTTTATACAGAGGAAGAAGTCGATGAATTAACTAGCTAGCACAATACCGTTCAATGCGGCGACAAAATCATAGGCAGAGAAGATCGGGCCACAGTCGTTTTTTGCCCTCTGGTGAAAGCAACAATAAAGCTATTTATATCATTCTAGAATGTTTATTATAATTAGATAATGATTCAATTCCCTAAGAAATTACCGTACCCATTTATGTCATTCTTTCAGTAGAATTCTGTTGTCTTGCAGCAATTCAAGTATCCTTTTAAAAAACACAAAATGCTGCGAAAAAATCGACGCTACCATATGATTGTTACGTCCCGAAAGGGAAGTTTTAAACTTCCCTATGTGAACCAGTAATCAGTCCACGATTTATTCTTTCTTGAAACATCAAATCAAACATTTGTTTAAATATGAGAAATATTACTCTAAGAAACCTTATAGATGCCAATACTCAACCATTATGGAATACTTTCAAGCAAAAACAGTTACAACTCAATTCAAACGTCCCTTGTCGGATTTGAATAAGCTCTATAAGCATATCATTTTGAAGAATGGCTTATCAACCTTGCTTGTATCGGATCCGCTGCTCAAGGTTGCAGCCTGTTCAATGTGTGTCAAAAGTGGAAGTCATTGTGATCCTGATGAAGTACCAGGATTAGCCCATTTTTGTGAGCATATGGTTTTCATGGGTACTGCCGAGTATCCAGCCCCCAATGAATTGCTCAAGTGTATCAACGCTCTCGGTGGGAATGGTAATGCATTTACAACTGGTGATAGAACATGTTTCTTTTATGAGATACCTATAAATAAAGCTGAAATTAATAATGAGTTGGGATTCAACTATAGTTTAAAAGTTTTCAGCACGTTTTTCAATCTGCCATTGTTTAATGAAGCATATATGGATATGGAAATCAATTCAGTTAACCACGAGCATGAATTAAATCTAGTCAACAACAGCAAGATATTGTATCATGGATTCAGATTGTTGGCTGATAAGGATCATCCATTTCATAGGTTTGCAACAGGAACCAAAGAAACTCTAAAGTCATCAAAATATGTTAAAATAAAAACAGAAATTGTGAAATACTTCCAGATGAATTATTACGCTGAAAATATGACTTTAGTTTTGAAAGGCCCTCAATCACTAAATCAACTACAGAAGTTAGCAATTGCAAATTTTCTGAATATTCGACAATATGATCAGCTTGAAAGCAAGCTTATGATCTCCTCTATATTACCTGACAGAAACCAGGAAATATTCAAAAATACAAACAAGGTGTTATTCATTCAACAGAATCAAACGTCTAAGGTAAGGCTAATAATCCCCATATTTGGAGTCAGCAACAAATTTTTTGAAAGCGTGTGGTGTAATTTGTTAGGGGATGAATCCAAAGGTTCGGTCTGTCATTATTTAAAGGAGATAAAACAATATACGCTAAACATGTTTGTATTTACTCAAGAGCTCTCTTACACAAATAGAGTACTCGTCATCGATGCCAAATTAACAAGGAAAGGAGAATCAAATTTAGGCTTGATTATTGAGACTATTTTTGAATTCATCAATCAACTAATGGCCCATGATGTAGAAACTTTGACCACAGTATTGAGAGAATATTCAAGAATATTCAAATTCAATGCATATTTCCGCCAGAATGATTCAACTCCTATGGACGAAGCGTCGGAACTTTCCATTGATTTACATGACAGACAGAAAAGAATTGAAGACATTGTCTTAGGGGATGCGTATCATTTTGCTGGTGATGCCAGAAATTTCAAGCACGCCACTCGATATGTCTTTGACATAAAGAAATTGAATGTTATTGTAGTTGGAACCGAACCGAAGCTGGTCCAAACTATAACATTCCCGACAATGAGCAATCTCAAAAAGGACCCTTACTATCAGTTTTCCTACCAAATCTTTGATCTTAAATTTCAATTGAGAAATATTTTCCCATCATTTAGTCTTTTAGAAAGAAACGAATATCTTCATTTCACTCACGAGGAGCTAGATAAATATTTAGAGGAATCAATTCATAACAAGTCGTCATTTATAAATGCATATATTCCTCAAGATCTGATACCAAAATTACTTGATTACTCTAACTATCATGAAATTTGGATTGCTCAAACCCCCAAATGGCCTATTCGGATTATAACGTCCTTTCAGATTTGTTTTGCTTCAGTTGAATGCAATCCAATTAATGCCATTGGAATGGAAATTCTCACAGAGCTAATGGCAAATGAACTAACACCTGAATTTTATCATTCCGAATTGGCCATGGACTCCTGGGCTCTATGTCCAAATTATGGGATGGTTCCTTCCCTATCAGTGTATGTTTGCGGACCAAAGCATGGGTTTCGATACTTTATCGAAATGTTTCTCCAGAAGATAAAGATATTCTTGGAGGAGAAGATACATACCATTGGTTATAAAAAATTCACAGGCGCCAGGTTAAAGTTGTTGGACACTTATAACACCATGGAGCGCAAGGACTCAATTAAACAAGCGATAGCTATATCAATATTAATGTTAGAGGAAGGGATTGTTTCGCTTCAGGATAGAATCGAAGCACTTGAGTTGATTGACGCTGATGATATCGCCGATCTTGCTAACAAAATCTCCGAAGATACCAAAAAAGTAAAGATATTAATTTCTGGAAACATAGATGAAGAATTTGCCCTAGACATTAGTCGTTCAGTTAATCGTATCACTTCCCATTTAAAAATATACATGCAAAAAATTGAGTTTCAAGATTCAAATAGCATTATTTTAAGACCAGGACGAAACTATACAATCACCCAAGAGAATCCAAATGAAAAGGATACTTCCGATGTTGTTTACCATTACATTCAATTAGGTCTTAGAAAGGACGAAAAATCCAGGACAATTGCCAGTTTCCTTTCATTTCTTTTAAGCCAGGCTGCATCTTTCATTCTTAGAACCAAGAAACAACTAGGGTACATAGTCTTAAGCGGAATGAGATATAATAAACAAACATTGGGGGTTTATATCTGTGTGTCAAGTGGAAGCTTTGATTATTGCGAAGTGATGAAGGAAATTGAAAATTTGTTGTTTGAATGGGAGTTGCAGCTAATTAATATGAGCCAGGAAGAAATCAACAAACAGATCGATTCCTTCATTCAGGCACTTGACGAGAAAGAACCTGACCGAATTCCAGCGAATGTTCTTTATGCCATGCCTCCAGCTAGGAATAGTGATAATTTTTCTCAGGGTGACGAAGATTATACCCATCATCAAGATTTTTGGGAAAAGATTTTGACCAAAAACCATAGATTTACAGGACAAAAGGGAAATGAAAGCATAGACAGGAATATGCTCAGATCAACTACCACGGAAGAGATAGTATCATTCTTCAGAAAGTATATTTCAATCAAATCGACTGAAAAAAGTTCGCTAACAATATTTATATCCTCGCAACTGGGAAGAGAACATCGGAAAGTAGAAGAAGCCAAAGAAACAATACAAGAATTGCTTGATGAGAAGGGATATACCCTTACAGATATTCAAATCACGATGCTCCTAAAAGAATACGAGAATAATGTTAACATGGCTGTTAAACATTTACAGAAATGCGGATACAAAATTTCTGTCAAGCATGTGGGGAGGGTTTCAAAGCTAATAACAAAACTTGCAAGAGGATCCCAAATGGACAACACAAGAGAAATCCAGAAGCTTCAAGAAAAAAGTGTCAAAAAATATGGGAGAATTTACCAAGACAGCAGCCTTGCTGTGCCGTATTTGGAAGTTAGATCGAAAGAAGAGGTTCAAAATGAAGCTATTTTAATGCATTAATGCATACTTGATTACTTAGAAACCATAATATACGAAACATGAACTGTGTAGAAATCATCTGTTCTCGGTTCAATTCAAGTAAGAAGAAAACCTTTCTAATAAATTATCCAAGTTTATTCCGTTTTTGGAAAATATTACTCTTCGTCATCCTGCGCTTTCGTTGTTCTGTCCAGGGCAATTCAGTCCAGTTCGTTGTGAAGGTTGGCTGCAAAATGTTTTTTTTGCAATCGTTGATCTTTTTTATTTTGATCTTGGGATTCCGTAATTATGGACCCTCAGAATTTCTAAAAGATGTAGAAACTTAATCAGAATTAAAAATTTGGCTATTTATAAAATAACCAGAAATAGCGTCTTCTGATCTCTTGGAATAAAACCATCCAAACAACCTCATTTTTCTTTTAGAAATTGCCTTTATAGCACCTTTTTTTAAGAGATTTTTTTTGTTAATTTTGGATCCAAAAATCAATGCAACTTGATTTTGTGGTGTCATTCGAAATCTCTTTATAAAATCTCCAAGTATATAATTACCAATTGCCTACAGAATAGGACATCTTCATCTGATGTATGAAATTTGTGCTTTTTTTCATCTACAGTCTGCGAGGATCACACGATAACCAACTGAAAATATCACAAACTTTCTTTTGAAAGCTTGAAAACTATATCAATACACATTAAAACCATTATAGACCATTTTACAACTAAATTCGATCCAGTACTGCACCATGGTGACGTTTTAAAACGATTCTTTCAAAAAATCCAGTAACAAAAGTCACATGAAAATCACGCGTAAATCATGTGACTTTAATATAATTTAATGTTAATGAAAAAGTTTTTTGAAAAAAAGTGGCCTGGCTAGCTCAATGGCTAGAGCGTTTGACTTTTAAAACTGTGAAACTTTACACAAATTAAGAGGTATCAAAAGGTTGCGGGTTCGACCCCCGCGTCGGGCTTATTTTTTTCAACATTCTCAGGACTTGGATTAACTTTATAGTTTCCATATTAATTTTTTTTTTGGGGGAAAAACATCAATTAACCCAATTTCACTTCTTAGTATCCAGAATGCCTTCACAAGGTTCACCAGTTAGTGTATCTTTATGTGAATTAGAAAAGGGAATCGAAGACAAGAGGTTATCAGACGCGTTTGGTCCGAACTCCTTGGGAATTCTTGTTGTCGAGAATCTTCCAATTTGGTTTCAAGATTTAAGATTAAGAGTATTGAAAGCCGCTTCCATTTTGGCGAATTTACCTTCAGACATTTTGAAGAATCTTGAATGTGAAGAAGCAATGTGGGTAGTTGGTTGGTCGTGTGGGAAAGAGATTCTTGCAAATACTGGTGAGCCAGATTTCAACAAAGGTTCTTACTATATCAATTGTGCATTTCATGTCGATGAGAAACTTGAAGGACCCACAGAAGAGTTGATTAGACAATTCCCTGAGTGCAAATCTTATACCCTTCCTAACATGTGGCCTGCAGATGATATCAAGGGATTGGAGACTTTCAAAAGCGATTGCAAAAAGTTGTGCAATTTCATTATTGACGTAGCTGAGTCGGTAGCAGCCAATTGCGATCGATATATTAAGGATATACATCGAGAGTATGAAACAGGATACTTGCAAAGAATAGTGAAGAATTCTTCTTGCACCAAAGCACGGTTGTTACATTATTTCCCTAGCAAAGGAGGAAACATAGGGGAGGATGATTGGTGTGGAGAACATGTAGACCATTCCTGTTTGACGGGGTTGACGTCAGCCTTGTTTTTGGATGAATCTAAAGGCATAACTTCGTCTCTTTCCAAGTCTCCCGATCCTTCAGCAGGGTTGTATATACGGGATCGGAATAATGAGATTGTGAAAGTCGATATACCTAGCAATTCACTTGCATTTCAATCTGGGTCTGCTTTGGAAGAAATATCTAGAGGAAAGTTCAAAGCAGTACCTCATTTCGTAAAGGGAACTAACCTACCCTCAATTGCTAGAAATACCTTGGCTGTTTTCTGTCAACCCAATCTTGACGAAGCAATAAATGAAAAAGAAAATTTTGCAGTGTATGCCAATAGAATCTTGAAAGAAAATCACTAATTTCTAAGTTTATAAATATGTATGATACTTTACACAGTAACTCTGTTCAATTCTTTTGCAATTTTAATTGTCTTGTTTTTTTTTTCGCAGTTTATTTAAGAGCCCTGGGCCTAACGTAAGATGAGGTTAAAAAAATAACAATTAATTACCAAACTTTTCTTCCTCTACAGATTTTCAATGGATATCAGTGAAATACCAATTATAAACGATACTGACAAAGCAATCGATTTCCCATTAGCAGATGAAGGAGTTGAACAAGAATTGAGAAAGCATGGTGCGCCAATTCGAATTGAAGGCGAAGATGCTGATGCAAGAAGAGAGAGATTGAGAAATATACTAGAACCTAGTAATCACACATTTGACGATATAAACGAGGAACAAAGCGGAGAAGATGAAGATAAGGACCTTGAGGACGATGAAATATTCTATACCCCGGGTGATGCAAAGCTATATGACGCAAGAGTTGAGATCTTACACGATTCGATGAAAAGGTCTTCGCAGCGAATACACAAACTTAAAGAAAGGGCGAAAGAACAAGACTTCACCCGAGTTTTGAAGAATAGAAGACACATAAATTCCAAATTAGCATCTTATTCATTGTACGGATCTCAATTCATCCCAGGCATTACAAGAGCTATTTCTTCAATAAGGTTCTCAAAGAGAAGTGATCTCATTGCATGTGGCTCATGGGATGGATCTATTAATATTCTAGATTCATCCAGTTTAAATGATAAATACAAGTCCGGCCCAGGATTCCACACAGAAAAAGTAAGTGCTCTAGATTGGAATTTCGCCACAGAAGAGAATAGTTTAGTTTCCGGAGGTAATGAGGGAACGATTAATTTTTGGAGGCTCAATCAAGAAGAAGATAAGAAACTTAGTCCGACTGAAAGCATAAAAGATGCCCATAATATGAGAATAACAAAGACGTTGTTTCACCCTCGGGGTAATTATATTATTTCTACGTCTTTTGACCAGACTTGGAAACTATGGGATACGAACACTTCCACCTGCTTATTACAACAAGAGGGCCATTCCAAAGAAGTATTTTCTGGTAGTATACATCCCGACGGAAGTTTGTTCGCTTCAGGTGGGTTAGATGGGATGTGTTATATATGGGATTTACGTTCGGGAAGGTTTATTGCAGACTTAAGAAAACATGTTAAGGGAATTTATAGTGTTGATTGGTCTCCAAATGGTTATCACTTGGCTACTGCAAGTGGAGATTGTTCGGTTAAAATCTGGGATCTACGAAGAATAGATAGAACGAATGAGGAATTATTCTCTATACCTGCACATTCAAAATTAGTAAGCGAAGTTAGATTCTTTCACAGGCGAGAAAGTAACGATGCATTAACCAAAGATGTTGCACTTGATTCAAATGGGTCTTTCTTAGTGACATCTTCATATGATGGATTGATCAACGTGTGGTCTGCGGACAATTGGATTAAAGTTAATACCCTTAGGGGCCACAATGACAAGGTAATGGCTTGTGACATAAGCGGTGACGGTACTTGGATTGCCAGTAGTGGTTGGGATAGATCGGTAAAACTTTGGGGCATTTAATTTCCGTTTTCCTGTATATAAATGTAATTTACGAAATGACATCAACAGAAGTTTTTTGTAACCACCTTTTTTCTTCCTATTTATTCTTTTTCTGGTGCGGCAGAGAATCTGTCATTTTTATTATTATTATTATTATTTCAATAAACGTCACACTTTTCATTAAGAGTAAGCAACAAAGTTAGAAAACATAAGATGAATTTACTTAAGATATTAGATGGCACACCAGAGCCACCTATTATTGATTTAGATTTAGGAGAAATAAATTATAGTGGTGATTATCATTTGCCAACACCAATGTATGAATTTCAAAAGGAATTAACTGACCAGATTGTATCTTTGCATTATCCGGATATCTTGAAATATTGTGAAACAAATGATTCTCGCGATCTTATTGTTAAGTCTTTAGAAATCTGTATTGAAAATTGTATGTTGGTTGCGACACACCCTTACTTATTGATTAATCACTATATGCCCAAGAATCTTTCAATGAAAGACATGCCAAATAAGCTTGCAGACACAAGTGGGAAGTTTACTGTTTTGAAAGATTTGATGAATGTAATAATTCAGAATACAAAGCAGAGACCAAAACATATTGGAGTAGTAATGAAGAACAGTTTGAAATTTTTTGATTTGGTAGAAGCTTTATTGTTACGATGTACGGGAAATAAAATAATCAAAAGATATATTGGGAACAATGTTCAAAGAGAATCCAAGAAAAACAGCAAAAGCGGAACTCCGCTGGATCTTTCAGGGAGTCCAACTACAATTCATTTACTCCCCCATGACGGTCAATTTCAACGTGATGAAGAAGGTATACCCTCAATACGGTTTGACGCGCTTATTGTGTTTGACGGATATGTAGATACGGAGACAGAATTCTTCCAAAAGATACGGACTCAGAATCGTCGCTCCGAATGTATTATAATCCGACTTGTTCCAATGAAAACTATTGAACATTGCAAGCTTTTTTACAATAAGGAAACCGACAAAGAGGACTACCTTTATAAACTAATTTCATCAATTGTCTGTTTGCGGGACCATATTGGTACATTACCACCAGATGTGTTTCCCATATATAATCAAAAATTAACATATCTTTCCCACAAATTTTTTGATGAAGTATTTAAATCCAGTGTACGGACTGGTGATTTTCCCGGTTGGCCCTTACCTGCGTTGCCAAGAATCCCAAAGTTTACCGCAATAGACGTTGAACGTTCTCTTTTGACAGAAGTTCGTTTCCATTATACGCCTTACGACGCTATTGGAACAATTAGTGGAGATCAACTTAAATCGAAGCAAGAAGTTAAACCTACTTTTTATGAAACTAGGAGGCTCGAGCTGGAGTATATTACCAATCCTTTAAAGAATTCTTATACCAAGTTAACCGGGATTCATTCAGGTGAAGGTGAAGAACATCCAAGCACGGTAAACACAAGTATACTAACACATAAATTGATTCTTCAGTTGAATGATGCGTTTTTATGTATGGACAGAGCCGAGGCAGAAGATCAAAGCTATGTAAAATTTAATGAACATGAGATACAAGAAAAAGCAGGGCGTAGAGAGCGGGAGATGAGAATTGCCGTATCAAAGATCTTTAACGATATCGACCATGCTGAATCACGAGTGAACAGTGCTAATAAGTGGATCATCAAGAAGACCGAGCATATGGAAAAAACTAAAGAGAAATGTAAGGATCTAGAGTCCAAGATTGCCAACTTTTTAGAAGAAAACAAGATTGAAGATGAAAAGACTCAGCAGTATATTAAAAATCAAGTAGAGATTTGGGAATTGCAAACACAAACTAAAGATCTTATCAAGAAGATACAATCGAAGAACGAAGAAAGGAATTACGCAACTAAAGAGTATCAGAATTGCTTACGCTCTATCGCAATTTCCGAGACAGAAATTGAAGAATATAAAAATAGGATAAATGAATCAAAGAGAAAATATGCAGAATTGGAAGAATCCGAAGAGCAAGAAACCCGAGCATTCAACCAGAAGAAGCAAAAGCTCATAGACCAAATCGAGGAACAAAAGAGGCAAAATGAATCGTTGAGATCTAGATTGAACCATTCATTCAAGTTTTTACGAGATACATCTCATTTGAAAAAACGTAAAGGGAGAGGTGGAACTCCTAATAAATAGTTATATACATTTCTATTTATACTATAACAGGTAAATTGGCATCTCTGATTTAATAGAATCTAAAATTAGAACATTATTTATAGGACTTTCCTTTTTACTCAAGAATTGGATTACGTCTTGAGCCACTGCCCCCCCAATTACAGCTGCAATGGGAGTGAATTCTGCAAATGCTTGCCTGCTGAAGAGGTCAAGGTATTCATCCGTGACTGCAGTTGAAGGCACGTTAAAGCGTTCACATATATCCAATGCTTTCGTCTTTAGAAGGGAAATATCAATAATTGATTCAGGATCTTCTGGTCTTGGGATTTCAAACAAGGAAAATATCAATGGAAGAGCACCTGACAATCTCTTCAATTGCCTTTTGTTCAATTGGTTTGGAAGCTCTTTAGAATGGAAAATCTCTGATATTGGAGTGAAATGATCTGTAATAGTAACCAACTCTTTTTTTGATTTTTCATCAATACTAACCGAAGTTATAATTTTATTTCTAGATAACTGAGTACCCGACTTCCTTGATTGGTTCCCTGCTTCCATTTCGGTTGTGGAAATATGTTCTATCAAATCGGTTATGATATATGCAAACATTCCATGCATTCCTGAGACATAAAGCGGGATACTTAATTTTCTGGTAAGTTGATTAAGTTGCAATAACAAATCCTTCTCCACCTCAGTGGCAATTATCAAATCAAAAGATTTAAAATATTCTTCATCTTGTAAAGCTTCATTCAAAGTTTTCATATTTATAGAGAGATTCACTCTATTATTCAATTCCCGTATTCTACCAATAACTAATGGTAATTTCTTTTCACCAATAATCTTGTCATCATTAGGTAAAAAGAATTGACTTGCAAAATCTTCTTCCTTAACAGTAGAATTATCCAAGATTTCGATAGAATTCAATCCACCCAATACTAAGTTTTTGATTACCTCTGTACCTATTGCTCCTAAGTTTATAATCAATATTTTGGTTGACCTTAATCGTAATTGAGTTCCCATACCCCAAAGACGAATTTGTCTGTCATAAAGGGCGATTTCATCTTCATAAGAAAATTAGTAAACGCGTTTTTAATCAAACTATAGATCAAACAATATTACTTTTACATACCTGCCGAAAGTTCGTTAGAGTTTGTTGTCATATTTTCAATTGATATATGAAATCATTCAAACAAAGAGAGAGAAATTGAAATTGAAAAATTTGGAAATTTTATTTTTCTGTGTCAATTTATTGTAACTAATTACCAAGAGGATCTCAAACCTGACGAGTAGAGATTACTTTTCTAGTCAAGTCAATTGAAAGGATTAAAGTTGGACAATTAGGTAATCCAGATTCACATAAACGTTCATAATACAAGACATACATTGGCATATATCTATCAACAAATTGTTTTACTTCATTTTCAGTCATTCCAGTACCTTTTTGTTCAATTAAATTTTGTTCCTGTTGTAATCTCCAAGTATAAACATTTTCAATTGAATTTGTATGTAAAATTATGAAATCATCAAAATATTTCCAAATCTTACGATACTCTTTTAGAGCTCGATTAATCTCTTCAATATGATAATAAGGATTCATTTGTAAAATTCCATCAATTTTTGAAGTGAAATATGCAACTCTTAATTGATCAGGATCAAGCGACAAAAATCCATTGAACCAACCTTCAAAGATAATAACATCAGCAGGAATGTCAACAATTTGCCATTGTGATTTATCTGCTCTCTCACCTAAACCATTATAAGCAGATTTATCATACACCGGAATTTCAACTGGTTTCCAATGTGATTTATCAGAATAATTTCCAATCAACTGTTCAAATACTCGGAGAATCAATAGCAAATCATGAGTACCTGGTAACCCTCTACCTTGCAACAATTTATTTTCGGTTCTTATAGCTTCTTCAGTAATTTTCTGTTGATGATATCTTGTAAAATAAAGGTCATCCATCAGGAATTGAATGATATTTAAGCTGGGGAACTTGTCTTTAAGGTTAGTTGGTAATTTATCGGCCAAATAAGACTTTCCTGAACCTTGTGGACCACTAACACCAACAATTAAGGGTTTGGACGCTTTTTCGAAATCGATAGAAGCAATTCGTTTACAAATGAACTCCAGAGAATATTCGATAGTTGTCATCTTTGGTTAAAAAGGGAATGAGTTGAGTTTGTAGAAGAAAGAGGAAGAAAAAGAATATGTGGGGAAGAAGACCACCATTTTACTCACGGGGCAACGCTACTTAAATTATTTTTTTGTTTACTGAGAATTACAAATTGGTGAAAATTATATAGTTAAGATTAAATTATGTACATTAAATAGCCTTTAATTCTTTGAGCTTTTCAACCAATTGATCAACGGTTTCAACCTTAATACCAGCACTTCTAGCTGGTGGTTCTTCAACTTTCAAAGTTTCCAATCTACTTTCTATTTCCACACCCAAGTCTGATGATTTCAATGTTTCTAAAGGCTTCTTCTTAGCCTTCATAATGTTTGGTAATGAGGCATATCTTGGCTCATTCAATCTTAAATCAGTAGTTATAATCATTGGCAATTGTGCCTTTAAGGTATCAGCACCTCCATCAACTTCACGAGTAACTGAAACAGAATCACCTTCAATAACAACCTTGGATGCATTTGTAGCTTGTGGCCAATTTAATAATCCAGCTAACATTTGACCAGTTTGATTTGAATCATCATCAATGGCTTGTTTACCTAAAATGACCAAATTTGAATTTTCCTTTTCTACAACTTGTTTCAACATTTTGGCAACTTGTAAAGGTTCAACTTCTTGGTCCCCAACATCAATTAAAGTACTAGAATCAGCACCTTTTGCCAATGCAACACGTAAGACATCCTTAGCCTTTGCTGAACCGATTGAAACAGCATGAATTTTCTCTACACTGTTTGGATCTTTTTCTTTGATCCTAATAGATTCTTCTAATGCGATATCGCAAAAGGGATTTATACTGAATTTAACACCCTTGGTTTCAACGCCAGTTTGAGCTTTGTTAATTCTTGGCTTAATGGCAAAGTCAATAACTCTCTTGACAGGAACAAGGATTCTTAATTTGGATGACATTTGTGGGGATTCTATATCTTGTGAAACAGCCTTTCAAAGTGAAATTTTTCATTCTTCTTGGGACTGTTTTTTTTCATTGCCAATGAAGACTCATTCCGAAAACGGAACCTTCTTCACGTGCCTAATTTTTTTGCCCGGGATTTTGGAATCTTTCAATTTGCATCCATGTAGAATTTAAACAGCTAAAGCATAAACTATTAGCCTATTTATTAATTGGGATATACATAAGGCATATACGTCCCAAAACTTCACCTATAGATAAAATCACTCTATAAACTGTAATATATAAAATAGCAAACTTATCAAATTGCAATATCGGGAGTTAAGTGTATGTACCAGCTATACATTCAAGGAGCTATTCCTAGTTCTAGCTTTCATTCTTTGAATACGAGCCCTTAATTGATCAGTAACATCGGCCGCCTTTTTCCAATCACTAGAGATATCAATTTCCATTGAATCAGCCGAAATCATACCAGAATTAAAAATAGCATTTGATGATCTTGAAGTATGGATTCCAAGATGGCTAGGTGGTGTAGGTTCAATGGATAATCGTTTAACTCCCGAACTTATTTCACTTGACGTGACTCTCATTGGAGAATCCACTATTGATCCTGGTCGATATGGACTTCTATTGAGGGTATTATTTCTAGTCTTAAGGCTCTCATTTTCTTGTTCTAATTGGGCAATTCTTTCTCGCGATTTATTAAATTCAGCACGTAATTGACTAAATTGGGTATCCTTGTGTTTAAGAGAAATCGTCGATTCTCTTTCATAGTTCTCCAATCGAGATTTTAAAGATTCACATTCTTGTTGTAATCGAGTATTCAATTCCCGTAACTCACTCATACTTTGTTGATCTTTTTGTTGTTGCAATTGATACTTCTTAATTTCAGCTTTTAAGGAATTAATTTCATCTTGGTTTCTAGTTGCTTGCATATCAGAATGCCCCAAAGAAGGAGAAGAAGAAAGTTGATTTCCCGGAAGTGGCTTCGCCAAGGAGAGACTAGTGAGGCCCCTACCATAGTTACCCACCTTCCCATCATCTCTTTTTGCTGGAGAAGTTGCAGTTCTCTTAGCCGGTATTGATGATAAATTTGTCATTCTGGTTGAAGGTTTTAATGTATTAGCAGGACTAGGATGTAATGGTTTTTTGTTCATCACAGCAGTACGAGCGGGAGCTGGTGCAACAGCAGGACTGGATGCTTTAGCACTTGCACGAGACGGTGGTTTCGAAGCAACAGATTTACATTTCACTTCAACGGTTTCGGAATATTGAACAATCTTGGTCTTTCTATTCTCTTGCACACTTTCAAGGAATGTGTTTAATTCTCTTGGTCCAGTAATTTTCATTAAAGTTCCTATCATTTCAGTGGCTGCTTGTCTAATTGGTTCTTGTGATTCTCCAAGTAATTTTGTACCAATTTCCATGATGGAATCAATTTCCGCAGATTTCGGAGGTACAGTAGTAGCAGCAAGACATCTTTGGACATAATTTGCTCCTGCTATTTTATTTTGTGGAGTTTTCAATTTCATTCCAGCAACTGCTTCTTCAAGAATTCCACTAAGACCAGAAATATTGAAAATAGCATCCAACACACCATCCAATGCGGTTACGACAGAAGGCTTCTTTTCTTTAGTTCTTTCGATTACTGGTCGCAAAACATATGATTGATATTTTTGGAAACCAGGACCTAAACCTTGAGCAATCATTCGAATACAACTGGCAGCCAACTCAACAACTTGAATATTGGCATCTTTCATGCATTTTGCAAAAATTCTCAAGAGAGGAGAATAGTCATCCTTAGATACAAGCTTTGGAGCCTTTTCAAATATTGGAACAATCTCATCCAAGACTTCTTTTCTATCTTTCCATTTAGCAGATGATATTCTTGCATTAAAATCATCTGGAAGCTTTGATAATACTTCTACTGGATCTACAAATTCAAGAGGGTCAAAAAATTCTTCTGCTTCATTTGATGCATCTGACATCTCAATATCTTGATCACCAGCATCTTCACCAGCGTTGGATTGTTGATTGGCTCTTTCGAATTCTTCTTTTTGAGTCCGGGTTAATCTTTTTTGTTCTACCGCAGATCCTTTAACTGCTTCAAAGGCAGTAGTCAATTCTTTTTGTTGGACTGGTTTTAAATCAGGAAATAAAATAGTTGATAAAGAATCACCCATCCATTTATATAATTCAAGTGTAAGTGACTTTGTTTCCGCTCTAACATTTTTGTCTGCATGACCATATAATTTGCCTAATGATGGAATAATATTCTTTGGCAGAACAATTTTACAACCAAAATTCTCAATGATATTTGCCAAAGCAGCAACACAACCAGCCACAAGTTTAGGAAGTCTATTTCCTAAATAAGGAACTATATCTTCAATAATTGTATTAGGATCTTTAGATATTTCAATTAATAACAACAATGATTCAATAGCATATTCTTTTGTACTCTTCCTTGCACTAGTTAAACCTTTTTCACAAATTGCTCCAACAATTCCTACATTTTTCAATCTATTGACAACTGCTGGAGTGCCTCCATATTTCAAATATTGGATAAATGCATTATATGCCGATTCTTGAGCGGCAACATTCAGATCAAGCAATGCCCCCTTAAGTATTTCCGGTCTAATGTCAAAACATGGATCTTGATCATTTCTGGAAGCTTGAAATTGTTTGCCAAGTTCATCATACGCGCCAAGTCTGACCTTCCATACTTTATGTACTAATCTCTCATCTAAAGGCAAGCTAGAATAGTCTTCTTCTTTCTCAGACATGTTGTTTTTGACTTGAGTTGTTATGATTCTTGTTTACTTTGTGGTGGTAAATCTTTTTACAACACTATTCTCAAATTGTTTGTTTACTTTTTTTTTTATTGAGTTTTGAATTGATCTCTCGTTATGATTTGTTTTCTTTGTTTTACATATGGGGGCGCGCCATATTCGTAGTAAGGGGTTTCAAAGTGACGTGGAACGAGATATCGTTTTACTACAATACTAACACTAAGTAGGGAAGCCCCAATGTTTCTCCAGAGGCCACGTCTCAAACTTTATCTCTCAATGCAAAAATTGTTATTTAATAATATATATTTAAAAAACTTTAGATGAAAAAAAAAACTAGAACCTTTACCTATTTGGTGTAATATCATACAAAAGATCAATCGTTGAAATAAATACATTGTGGTTTACGCTGAATCTCAAGCTCTATCAGCTTATTTTCTTCATTTTCAAAAAAATGAAAATGCCCCTTATTCTTACGAAGTCAATTATTCAATGTGAGTGGCGTATTTAGCCCTGATTTCATCAAGAGGTTTCAATTTAAAACCCCAAGCTTCTTCTCCAGGTCTATCAACGTAGTATCTGTTAAGGTCAACACCGTGGTATGGATGATAAGCAAAGTTGAACCAAGGTATGAAAGCCAACAAAGTAAAGGCGTATTGAGAATTTCTATTGGCAACATCCTTAGTTCTATCATCTAAACGAGATAAATTTTCATGATAAGGTAATCTACCTTCTGATAATGCCTTCTTAATTTCATATCTATCCATCTTAACTTCTCTTGCGTTTTCAGTCCAACCCAAGAATCTCTTTGATGATCTAATATAAGCTGTAAAGAAACCACCAATGACACCTAATGCAAGAGATTGTCTAAGTAATGATCCTGGAAGCTTCATTGGAGCTTTATTAATACCTTGAACAGGTTCTAACCTTTCCCAGACATATAAACCTGCTGGGAAGAATGCTATTGATGCAGCCCAAACCCCATAATCAGATGGTCTAAAATAACCAACAACCCTAAAGAAATGAGGATCAACATCAATTAATTCATAGTCACTGTATGGCGCTGGACTTCTGATTGGTATATTATTAGCATTATACGACATCCTTTATATAATTCCCTATCTCTTTGTAAACTGGCTACACAGTAAGCTACACTCAATCAATCCCAATTCAAAGTTTTTTTTTTCAATTCTGCTTACTTTTTTTCGCTGGTAATAATTTCTCAAACTTTGATTGGGAAACAGAAAAACTGAAAAAAAAGACCATGAAGGGAGGGTAGTGTACTTAGGTTCAAATTTCATTTATCCCAATAATACCATACTATTTCCCACTATTGGCTGCAAATCAATACTCAACCTCGACGCAGACAATAGACTCTACGTGATGTGTAAATACAACAATCTTCTCATTTCTTGGACCTCAACAATTATAACCTTAGCTTCTAATGTCCCTAAAGGTAACTGGGATTTAAATGAGGCAAAAGCAAGCTCATGAATGAAGAATGAGACGGCATTGACCTACACTCAACCCTACAGAGCACCATGTAATGCTATACACACATGCTGAATGAGAAACAATATTGTAACCTCTTTCAGTGTACATTTCAAAACCTTGAAGTTTTATTATGAGTCACGTGCAACAATTTCCGTTTTCGGAAAAACTATTTTGGGAAATCAAATTGAAGTGCCACCATAATTTTGTAGCGATAACAACTTCTTTCTAGCAAGCCATTCTACAAACAATGCCGCTACAACTAAATGATCCACAAGGTACAAGTCCGCCTATACGACATCCATTCACCAGGTTGATAAATTGCGTCAGATGTTATAATATCCCCATATTAAATTTCATAATCATTGCCATTCTCGGGTCGTTTTTATTTAAATTAACCACGAAATACACGGGGTTATATATGAAAAGTTCTTTGATTACAATCATAGTAACGAATTTGGTTCTTTATGGAATATCTGAAACAATGGCCCAATCAATTCTAAGTTATAATAGAAATCAACCACGTATAGCATTTCAATTCAATGAATCAAGACCTCGAAATGGTGGGCTTTCTTTTAATTCTCAAGATATTTCATTGCCTACTGAACTTGAACCCTATAGTGACGAAGAAACTGAAAGTAATGCCGAGACTATGAGTATTGATGAAGAAGGGTTGGATAGGTTTATTGATTTTTTAAGACAAGACAATGAGTCGGTGGTTAATGATCGGAGTGAAGAGGAACAGGTTGCTATAGGCATGACTAATATGCCAATTGAATTATCGTATTATCAGTTTAGTCGATTAGCTGGATTTATGTGTTGGGGTTTTATTATGGCATTTGTACAATGTTGGTGGTATAAATTCTTACAAATCTATTCCAAAGATCCAAAATTTATAGAAGTGTTACGGAAAGTACTTACAGATCAATTTTGCTTTTCACCAATATCATTATTTTGTTTCTTTACGTATGGTACTATAATATTAGAGAGTGGGACTTGGGAAGATACTAAACGAAAATTAAACAAGATTTATCTTAAAACATTAATGACGAATTATTCAGTTTGGTTCCCGGTACAATTCATTAACTTTTTATTAATACCGCGAAATTTTCAAGTTCCTTTTAGTTCATCAGTTTCGGTTCTTTGGAATTGTTTCTTATCTATGAGAAATTCCAGAAGTTAATTAGTTAATATATCGTTTTGTATATAGAAATCTTCTGTTAAATCTATATATACATCCCGGAATTAGAGTATCCATTAAATTTTCTAACACTTGAACTTACTCTAGTCATGTATTCCTTATCATCTATATTCAATATATTACCAATAACGAAACAAGCATCAATGATTGCATCATTATCCGACTTTTCGAATCCTGGTTGACCTTCCGAATTTAAAACCAACCCAACCACTCTAGATTCATTCATGATATTCAATTGAGAAATAATAGCTGCGGAAATACCAGTAATAGTATGTGGAGGTTTCAAAATCGGAATAGATTCAACGAGCGGAGGCAAATATATTTGTTCGACTCCTTGACCAATCACTAATCTATTTATGGATTGATTATTATTCATACTACATGGAGATAAAACAATCCATGTCTGATTTGGTTTAAATTTCTTAACCAATGCCCTTGCTAATATATTATAAGTGATTGTATTGACAAAATGAGGAATTGTCAATGAAATAGTAGTTCCATTTGCTAGTATTGGAATCCCAGTCACTGGATATCTAGTCTTTAGTCTCTGGGCAGCAATTGCATTATATAACTGTACGTCCTCATCATATTCTTCTTCTTCTTTTTCAATTGATTCTTCAGTAGTCAAAGGTTGATATAATTCAGGATAATCTATTTTAACAGATCCTATCGGTTTCATATCGGGTAATTGATCTTGTAATATACTTAACGTTTTTGGAATGATGATCATATTGTCAATAGTATCAATTGTTAAGTCAATAGAAATAATTGGAATGGGATGAGGTTTTGCATCTTCAACATCTTCATCTTCAAGCATATGACGAGGATTTCTTATGTCCACAATTGGTTTAATCTAAATGCAATTTTGTTAGTAAGAGTGATGCATTAATGATTTTGAGGATCATTGGAATACATACCAACATGATTGTCTAAGATTGTAGTATGATGGGGGTGATGGAATTGGGTTTGGTTGCATTGCCACTGAGATCGTTGATCTGAAAAATACAAATCTAGAAGCCCGAGCGAGGAGCAACTGTAAACGACAGCCATTTGAAAAAAAAAATAGAATAAAAATGAGACCACTAATTTCATTACCGAGGTGTGTTTCCTAGAGGTACAAGCAATGTTCAAGCAATTTAGACTTACGAAACCAATACAACGAACTCTTACTAGATTCTATCATTCTTCGGATCATATAGGATCTAATCTTATAGTTAATCCAAATGCAATAGAATCAAAAGTATTATCTAAAGCACTTGAGTATGTTCCAAAATATGGGTTTACTCAAGTTTGTATAACTGAAGCTATTAGAGGTTTGCAATACCCTGACTCATTACAGTCTGTGATTACTTCTAACCCAAGAGGCAATTCAGCCGAGTTTGAATTGGTTTTACATTGGTTGAAATGTAAAAGACAAGAATTGGAACAATATGTGATTAATCCAAGTAGTGAAGATTTCCATAAGATTGGAAATGAATATGAAAGAGCAAGTCATTTGATCAAGAAAAGATTATTGGCAAATGAACCTATAATTGAAAAATTACAAAGTGGATTATCACAACTTGTTGTCCCTGGGAATATACCTCAATCAATGGAGGAATTACATAATCTTAGTGATGATATTGCATTTTATGCCGGTGATAAATCCAATGATTTTGCCTGGTATTCCAAGAGAATGGGATTATCTACAGTCTATGTAAGTTCAGAATTGTTTATGTTACAAGATACTAGTGAAGGATTCCAAAGAACACAAGATTTTGTTGATGAAAAAGTGGCAGGACTTAAAGGATTAGGATCAGCTTATACCAATATAGAAGAATGGTCTGTTTTCAATGCTATTAGTCTTGTTAACCTTATAAAATCCCAATTATTACGTGGATAAGCTTTTAGATTATTATGTAAATAGAATTATGAATGAAAGAAATGGCACTTCTTATTTAATATACAAATTGGAAGAAATATATGCAAAAAATATTAACAACGATGGATATCTATTAGCTGTAGTTGTCTATTGACCCATTTGAGCTTTAATTGCCATCAACTGAGTTCTAGTAGCTTCCATTTTCTTTTCTTCTTCAGTAATTTTGGTTTCAACACGATTAATTTCCAGTTCAATAAAATCAATTCTTTTACTTACATTTAATTTAGCTTCAGTATAATCTTGAGGTAATAGCACTGGACCAGTTAACTTATAGATTTTTGAATCTTCATTTAAATTATCAAATTCTGTAAGAACAATTTTATTTTCTTGATATTGAGTTTCTAATTGAGAACGAGCAGTCATTAAATCATTTATCGTATTTTGTTGATTGGAGAATTCTAAAGAGAGTTTCTCAAATTGGTTACTTGACTCGCTTGACATGGTTGTTGTAATGTTAATATGTGGTGATATCTAAGAATGTTGGTTGTCAAGAACTGGGTTGGATAGAAGAGCTACAATCTAAAGATCAACATTTTTTTTCACTCCCAGAGAAACATCGAGACAGCTATACAAAATATAATGAGCCAAGGTGAGGTTCAATACGATATGCAATTTATTATTATATAAGACACTAAAACTAAACACAAATAAAGTAGACAAGTCTAAACAATATCTGATCCCAAAGTAAACCCAAATGAGCATAAACCAAACTTAAAAACATTCAAAAATTATGTACATAACAGAAAAACCCACATATTGAACAGTAGAGTCAATTTAATGTGGAAAAATGTCACTATCCTTTTCATTAATGACAATCTCAGTGACTTTTACCCTATACCTTCTATTTGTAACATCTCCATGATAGCCACGCATTTCTTGATAGTCATCCTCTTCATCCTCATCGTCGTCATATTCATCATATTCATTAGCAATTATCAGATCTTCATTATCTTCATCTATACGCGACGGCTCTTCTCTTGTATCCATATTCACGTCATTCATATAGTCTTCGTCATCTTCCATAGAATCGTCTATTGCGCTACTATCTAGTATACCTGTTGATGAAACAAACGACGGCCTACGGGGGTGATAACTGGTATGTCTTCTCTGCATCAGTTGACTCTGGGGTACCTCATCATCATCACAACCACCACGTTGTTGTCTTTCTGGTGTAATCGATTTTGAGGAATGTGAACCTGATCTATTTTTATTAGCCGAAAAACTGGCACGATACTTTCGTTCAATTGCTAATGATCTCAGTTGTTGATAAGGCGTAGCAAATAAATCTTGATTGAATATGAAACCTTGGCATTCTTTTAGAGAAATGATATTATAACTTGAAGTATCTGAATAATAACTTGGAGCTTCATAAACACTAAAATTCTCATTCTGAATCATGGATGGGGATAAGAATGAATTTCGTCTAAACCATGGTGATGAACTATTTGCAAATGACGAGTTTCTTCTTTTGATCATTGTTGGTTCAGGACGTGGAGATACTGGTTTAGAATTCAATTTAGTTGATTTACGTTTTATCCGACGTGATCCTGGTGACATATTATAAGACTCTGTTTCTGCCATGGGTGATGAGTAAATTATATAAAAAAGTAGCGTGTGGCTTTCTCTCTTTCAGTTTCTTTTTAATTATAATGTACTGTGGAGAAATTGTTGGAGGGGGGGATTTGTATGGGGGGAGGTAAGGAGATGAAATATTTTGTAAAAGAAGCTGAAGTTGAATATGATCTTTAAAATTTAGTAATATCTCCTTGATTGTTCTCCTTTAGACAATCTGTAATTATATGTTATAAAATGTAATAAGAAGAACAAGAAGAACAAGTAGGAAAAATTAAGAAAACTAAGATCAAAGTTTATCTGTAATTTCATTAACACATTGTTCCATGAAATTTAAAGTTTAGTATGACTATTCTTAATTATTTTTTCTGGTGGTACGACTGACACTGACACTGACACTACGGGTTACTACGGATTGCTAGTTACATTGCGACCTAAAACTAAAAACTGTGGCAGATAATTTACAATCTTTTAGTCTCGTGAGTGACTCATCGTTTCAAGCTAGTTTTACACTGGTCATGGCTATCTTCGTCCGGGGATCGCAACATATTCTAGCCTGGTAACATCTTTTCATTTAAGCCGACCTTCCTTAATAGAATGGTCATTCATCAACGCTCCTTAGTTTGTCTCAAACATGACGTGTCCGAACCCCGGAGGGATTCTGCTCCAAGGCTGCGCAACCAATTTCGGTACCAAAAAAACTAAACCCGGACTATAGTTTTGCTGAGAGTCCTCTGACCTAGTCGGCGTAAAACTTGAGTTCTTGAGAACAGAGGGGTTGGTTAAGAGAACTATAAATCTACATTGCCACGCAGCAATCAAGAAGCAATACCAAATTAAGTTAAGAGTCTCTACATTGAAACTCGCAGCCCTGACACTATTGTAATTCGCAACCTCGGCCGAATAGGAAATATATCTCCTGCCAGTAATATTTCAAGTAAATTTATAGAAACTCCTTTAAAATTTATTCATATATATACAAATAGATAACATCAGATGAAACAATAAAAAACGCAAACTTCTCCTTCTTATAAGGCAAAAACTATACAACACAGGAGAATACCAAAAATTTCATAAATTCGTTAAAAACGCAAACAGCTAAACGAAGAAACAACGACAACAAAGCACATACCCAATATTTACAAAATCCTTTTGTTGCCTAAAAACCTCTTCAATTTAGATATCAACCTAAAATCAAAATAAATAAAGCCGTAAAACTACCGACCATGTTAAAAAGAACTCCTTTTCTTTTAGTTCAATTCATGTTTTTCATGAAACCCATTTCTGATTCTATGCTTCATGTTATTCATGACGTATTGTAATCCTTCTCTAGAATTTCTAATGTTGGATGCAAACCGATTATGACTCCAAGTTTCAATTCTTTGTTTAAATCCAATCAAATTAGATGAAAATTTAACCTTTGATTCTACAATAGTATCATTTCCGTCTTTAGTATATTTCAAATATTCTTCCACCCTGAGTAATTTCCGATGATCAATATTACTTGAATATGTCAATAATGTATGAGTCTTTGGATTAATAATTGATTTTTCAATTATCCAAGAATTCAAATTTGATCCAAGTAAAGGTTTAATAAATTGTGGTAATCGACCAGTTTTCACCACGACTCGTGTAGTACAAAGTCTCCCTTCGGAATCTATATAGGATTCTAATGTGTCACTAGATAATACATGTTTGGCATATGGATTGGGATATCGGTTCAAATATGCCAAACTGGCGGTTTGGAAATCAAAATTATATGTATGTTTATTTTCGAAATAAAGAACCATTGCTTCTTAATCTTCCAGATACGATGTATTGCGTTTATGTATGTATGATCTAGCCGATGTTACCTCCGTTGATGAGACTCGTGCTTGGTGATGAGGAAAAGGGTTCGTCGGAGTTGCCAGTAAATATTGAAAGTGAAAAAAAAAATTTCTAAGATATTCCAAGGGGCTCTGGAATTGTCAATGCCAAAAAAAAATTAAAGTATTTTGGGGGAAAGGGAGACGATGAAGTGGTACGATTCAAAAAAAGGTTTTTGATTTTACAAGCAATTTCTTGTAGAGAGTTGGGGCGATGGTATAAATCTTATATATAGATATAGAGCAGCTTCCAATTGGATTACAAATCGTTGAACTACAGTCTAGTGGCGATCATAGTGGCAACGGAACATTTGACCGTAACATTCGATTTCCACCAATATTGTGCCAGCAATTACTAAAAAATAATCCGATGAGACATCAGAAAGTCGTGTACACTTGACCAATAATGTCTTTCAATATCCCCGGATTTTTATTTCTTTTCAAAGATTATAAACTTTTTTTGACACCAAATTTAACCGTCAATGTCATAATGTATAAGAAGAATTTATACATAAGTTAATAGAGAATTATAACTCCATTCATTAAAATTATTAGCAATTCTGTTTTAAAGTATTTGCTTTTATTTTATTTGAGGGTGATGAGTTTTTTTAAAGATTGACCATCAATTGATTCACTTTGAGCTAAATGGATTCGTCCTAGAAAAAGATTCCATATGATCTTTAAGTATCCCTCTAGTTATTGCTTCGTTTAGTTGGGGAGTATATTAACTCAATTAAAGCAAAGAAAAACTAGAGGGATGCTTAAAGATCATGTTGCATGGAATGGTACCGTAGTGTGACAGGGAACTCTTTTGGTACACAGTGAGTACTGTCAGGTATTTCCAAAAGCGGCCCGTTTTCTCGGAATATCAAGAACCAAAATTTCGTAAAACATGCACTCTTTGTGGCTATAGAGCGATTCCATTCTTGGTACAAGGAACATTCGTATTCCCCGTTGTTTAAGATGCTTTACATTAGGATATATTGATCATCTAAACTGGAAGAACAACAATGACTAGAAGATAGGGTGCTGTTACAGCGATTCGAATTAACAACTTTGGAGGAGTTGGAGCGGTATATGATGCTAATTTAATCAGGGACTGATAAAGCGCTTTGTTGTTCAGCATGTTGTTGTCGACGTTGATTGTACGAATTGATATGTGCAATGAACATACCTTTTAGATGTATTATTCTCAATTATGATTGACTTCATCTCATTTCCAAATTGCCAGACTGGGAGGGCCAATGTTCCTACCAACCACCCTAGCAAAATAGAAGTAAACCAAATGTCTCGGAAATTTCAAAAGACATTCAAAACCCGATCGGACAAGGGGCAAATAGTCCCAAACCGACATCGACTTTAACAGGACATTATTTGCTTTATCAGAACTACAATACGAGTCTTTAGCCTCCAATGACCAAAGTTCTTCGCTTCTGGTGACTATGATGTCAACCTGAAATATGCAAGTATCAGCTAATCCGATAAGTCCTTAGCATTGTTGATAGAAAGGTTACAACCCTATCTTAGGCATGGAAGCCCTAATGTAAGGAATCCATTGTTTCAAAAAGCATGACCCTTTTAGATATAGCCGCCAATTGATTACAGTAAGCTGATTGGAGCAATAATTGAGGACAGAGATTGGAAGTGACGGCCCTCTAAACCACAAGAAACCTACCAGAAGGCATTTTTTTGTTAAATCCGGAAGAGCTAAAGTCCTCCCCTTTTCTCTGCCCCGCCGACTGCCCCACTTTGCTTCTGCCCTGCCATCTGTGCCATTATTTCACACCCTTCGGAGCGGAGGATCTAAAAGGTAGCGGAAATCTATAAAATATTAGACTAAGCAAAAAAAAGGAAAAACAATAAATGGCAATTTGCAGCACAAAATTTTATAACGAACAATGAAACAATAGGAAAATTAAGGTTTTCTTTTTTCTCTTGTTTTATAATCTGAAACTTTAATTTTCTTTTCTCTTCGGCGTTCTTTAATGAACTAATTTTACACATATCTTATTGGATTATTGTTTGATTGATAGTGGTAAGGTTATGTACTTTGCTTGCACTAGATAAGCATGAGTTGATAAGAGTAATTCCCGTCTTAATTGTAATGCAATAAACTAAACAGATAACAAATCCAAAAAAAAGTTGCCAATTGTGTCTGATTAGTCTTTGCTGCGTTTATTTGATCTACGATGTTGGGAGGGTAACTGAAAAACCTTAGATTCATAGTTCCTCAATGTTGAGATATTACAAAGGCAACTGCGATTGGGGAGGACCCCACAACCAACACTCGAGGGTCCGATGTGGGGTGAATACTCTTGCATTTTGTATGTTCAATGTTGCCTTTGGGGCGATACAAAAATGCCGCTACAAATTAAATGCCCTGGTGAAATTATTTTCTGTGGATTTTACGCACCACCGTTTTTTAATAGTGGTTAAAAAATAATTAATTACGTATTGTTTGAAGATCTTTTTGACATGAATTTCTTTCCAGAGTAAAGGCAAGCGAAGCGAGGATTGAACTCATGTGTCCTAGTGCAAGATTCTTCAAACGGCAAACGCTAGAGATCCTATCATAAAACAAAGACTGTAATTATGCATGAAATCCCTCATTCTATAACAATGCTGGTTGTCACAGATTCCGGGAAGGTCCAAAGAGATGTGTAGACGATATAATACGCATGAGGGGCAACTAAAGACTCAATGCGCTAAATCTCCTTATGCTAGTTGAATTATAAGGTACCTCAAGCATTTGCTGCAAACTGCCTCTGGTGCTTTTCATGTCTCAATTATTTAATTGCGATGCACAAACTTTAATTTCTTTTTTATTTTTTCTTTTTTGCAATCAGAAAATTAAAAAATAATCTTCGTCAGTTTGCCGCATCGATTTTTTATTTTTTATCTTTTTATCACACATTAAACACCAATACAATTGCAAAAAGGAATGCTCCACTTACACAAACCCTAAAATCCCATTCTTATAAGTCCGAAATATCTAAACCTATGTTTTTCAATGCAAATATAAATACTTTGTAATATTTCCCCAGTTTTTTATTTATTCTATTTTTTTATTTATTTATTTGATATGCAAAGATAAGGAATTCAATAAAACTATTCCATTCCACATCTCATTCATATATTTATTTATTTATTATACTAATTGCATCCTTTAATACCATTACTACTAGCATTACATACATATAAATAATAAGTTAAAGCAATAATGTCAAACGAAAAGACTAAATTCGAAGTATCATCTTCAAAAGGTGATGCAGAAAACATGTTTCAAGAATTATCAGCCGACTCAAGATCAACCACTTCTATCTCCTCCACTTCAGACTCTAAAATCGGTTCCTTTATCGATTCATTTAGACGTGCTCCTGAAGGTAAATCAGAAGATTTAAAAAGTAAGGCAATTACCAAGAATGAATTACGTCTTATGTCACTTTCAACAGGGTTAGGTACTGGTCTTTTAGTTGCAGCCGGTCTGAAATTAAGAACTGCTGGTCCTGCTGGTATGCTTATAGCGTATGCTATTACAGGTCTTGTCATGCTTGCACCTACTATCAACTCAGTCTCAGAATTATCTATTGCATATAGTGGATTACCAGGTGGGTTCCAATCATATTATGCCAAGTTTATTGATGAAAGTTTGGGGTTCTCTTTAGGTTGGAATTATGCCTTTCAATGGATGTGTGTCATCTCATTAGAATTGGTTACTGCATCTATGACTATTAAGTTTTGGAATACTTCTATAAATCCAAATGTGTTTGTGGCGATCTTTTTGGTGTTGGTTATCTTTATTAATGTCTGTGGTGCTAAAGGTTATGCCCATTCAGAAATGATTATGAATTCTATCAAAGTTATGATGTTGGTTGGGTTCGTTTTGTTTGGTTTGATTGTTGATTTAGGTGGAGGTCCACAAGGATTTGTTGGAGGTAGATACTACAGAGACCCAGGTGCATTCACTGATTTCAAAGGTATTGCTTCTGTTTTCGTCACTGGTGCTTTCTCCCTTGGTGGTTCTGAATTCATCTCACTTTCTGCTTCTGAAACTAGACATCCTCGTCAAGCTATCCGTGCTGCATCCAAATTAGTTTATGTTAAGGTTATTGTATTATTCTTGGGTTCATTAACCTTTGTTGGTTTATTAGTTCCATACACATCTGATAGATTAATGGGATCCGGTGATGCCGCTACTCATGCTTCTCCATATGTCATTGCTGCTGAAATGCACGGTGTTCTTGCATTAAGTCACATTATCAATGCCGTTATTTTAGTTTCCGTTACTTCTGTTGCTGTTGCAGCTATGTACTCATCGCAAAGATTAATTCAATCCTTAGCTGAACAAGGTCTTGGTCCAAAATGGTTAGATTACATTGACAGAAAGGGACGTCCAGGTCGTGCTTTCATCATCACTATTTTATCTTCATTTTTTGCTTTCATTGCTGCTTATGACCAAGAAGAAACTATTTTCACTTGGTTATTATCTATTTCCGCTTTGAGTTTTATTTTCTGTTGGTTATTCATTTGTGTTTGTCATCTTAGATTTAGAGCTGCATTGAAACATAGAGGTATCTCATTAGACTCATTGGCTTATGTTTCTCCTACCGGTGTATGGGGTTCTTATGTCTCCATTGTCGTTAACATTTTGATTCTTGTTGCTCAATTCTGGGTTGCTTTATGGCCAATTGGAGGTGATGGAAGTCCTAATGTTGTTTCATTCTTTGAAAATTATTTGGGTGCCATTGTTTTCATTCTCTGTTATGTTGTTCATAAAGTCTGGACTAAAAATTGGAAATTGTTCAAACGTGTCGATGAAATTGATATTGATACCGATAGAGTTATTTACGATAAAGAGATTTTAGATTTAGAAAACTTAGAAGACAAAGAAAGATACGAAAGAGCTCCATTCTGGAAGAAGGCTTTAATCACTTGTTTTGATTAGAGGGTTGTTTTTATGTATAACAGTATTTTACTATTTTGTATACGTTCTTTTGTATTATGATGATGCCTGATATTTTTGGTGGGTTTTAGTATTTATGTTTATATAAATTTGAATGGATAGAATCTATTTCAATCAATTTGTAATTATATTTGTAAATGTCTTCTTAACTTTTTGTAATGCTCTTACTTGTGAGTCTAGAACAAGACATGTGAAATGGATGGAATAGTTTTGTGTCGAGTACTCTATTTTTAGTCCAAATTCGTTGAAATTTGCTAGAAATTTAATCAAAATTTCAAAGAAAAATTTGAGATGCAATGAAGGTTCACTAGTATCATAGGCAAGCAGCCTAATAAATTATTGAAGCAACTTCAAGTCTTTTTTTTTGATATTCTAAGATTTATGAGATCTAAGTTTGATATCTTAGCATTGTAAATTCCTACTTTTTTTGACCACTTTTAAGATCTGCTGCTCAATTCGCACATTGAGAGAATTTTTGCAGCCATTTAAAAATCTTTCTCTTACTATTTTTATGGCGTCAAATCCACAAGCACTTGCCTTTCTTTTATTAACTTGCTTTCTTATCGTGCTAGATATATTAAACTCTCTCATTCAAATGTCTGATAGCTTATCCAATAACATTATGAATCAACAAAACTCCTTATCCAATGTACCTCAATCTGAAATTGAATCAGACCAATCACAATCAAATGAACAACCACAAAAGAATCCTCCCGATTTATTAACTCCAAATCACTTGAAAGCTTATCCTTTGGTCAATACTACAAAATCAGCCCTTGGTTATGTTCCACTCTCCAAAACTATGTTTTCAATTTGTAATTCTTCATTCCAATTTGCCAGAAGTTATCAACCGATCAAGTTTGTTGTTGGGATCAGTGATAGATATGCTAATCGTGCACTTGAAGAAATGGATAGATGGTTACCTAGTTTACAAACTGTCGAAGTACAAGATATTACTACCCCAATTACCAAGCCGGTTACTGCTACTATTGATTCTGTCCTGAATAGAATTACAACCATAAATGGAACTGTCCTGAAAACTATTGTTGAACCAACACGAGGAGCTATTGAAACTGTAAAGGAAGAATTCCATTCCAAAGTTTATGATTCTGATGGAAAGAGTATAATTTCAAGTCAAGCTGATCCAGTGGTTGCTCCATTTAATAATACTTTAGAACATTTTGTGGGCAATCATTTCCCTGATAGAAAAGTCCCCCAAGAAGGTCATTCAAGTGAGATATCTCGTACTTTCAAGATTATGGGTAGTATGATTAGAGGTGACAAGGATAAATCAAAAGTTGCTGCAAAGTAAGAAGCAGGTGATTTTGAGGTTGAATTCTATTGCTACCACTTCCGTGTTTAGGATTTACACCCCCTTCTTTTTATATGCTAGAAATGATGATGTTCTCTACAAATAGATAAAACTTTAATTAGCTTATTTCTAATACAAATTTTTTTAAAAATGCCTTTAAATACAATATAACAAAAACGAATAGTTTACAATAGAAGAATGCAAATGGATATAGTACTTCATTTGCTTACATATACAAAAATTAATTATGAAACTAAGAAACGAGATAGATTTAGTCCTTAGGCTTCTTCTTCTTCTTCTTTGGTGATTCATCATCATCAGCCTTTCTCTTCTTATCCTTCTTTTCTTTCTTTTCCTTCTTCTCCTTCTTCTCCTTCTTCTCCTTCTTTTCTTTCTTTTCCTTCTTCTCTTTCTTTTCCTTCTTTTCTTTCTTTTCTTCAACTTCTTCCTTCATTTCAACATCACCATCAGCAATATCTGCACCACTTAAAGCTAAAGCTTCCTTGATAGCATCAGTATTCTTCATTGGAGCAGCACCAGTGTCATAGAAGTTCAATCTTTGTTCAACTTGTTTCTTTAATATTTCACCAAAAGCAGTAGTTGGTTCATCAGAATAATTATCAATTCTAGAAGCAATAGAACATTTGTTAGCTAAATATCTAGAAATTCTACCCTTATTCTTAGCACTGGCCTTACCAATGAATGAAGAGTGGTAGATTAAACCATACTTTGGAGTATTACCTTTAGTCTTTAAGGCTCTGAATAAAGCCTTTTCAGCACCTAAAATTTGAACAGTTGATGCAGCTTGTTTAGATAAGTTAGTTAAAGAACCAGCATGGGAGATTAATCTGGCACCAACAACTTCACCGATTAAAGTAGATAAGTTAGGAGCAACGGTGTGCATCTTATCAGTTAAGTATTTGTACAATTGTTGTCTATATTCAGTAATGTTAACTACTCTTTGAGCAAAGGTAATAACATTATCCATATCTTGTTCACTAATATCTTGACCCATGGAGATTCTAGCATTATCAATAACTCTTTGAGCAATACCTGAATCTTCATTAAGTAAAGCGGCAAGATCATGTAAAGATTCATCATTTAAAGAAGCCTTATCTTTGATGAATAAAACTAATTTGGCAAAGGAATAATTATCTGGAACAATCTTGGCCAATTCTGGGAAATGCCATCCATACCATTCTTTAACTCTCATAGAAAAGGTGTTGATATCTTTATCTAATTGATCTAATAAAGCGATAGCTTGAATAATATGGTTGTCATTCTTTTGAACTGAAAACTTAACTTTAGCTCTTGAGAAAGCATGCCCTAAACCTAATTGAGCTCTTTCAATATCACCTTCTTGTAAATCTTTGAATAATTTAGAACCATGAACTCTGATACCTCTTAAGAAATCTTGAGCAATTTCACTAGATATACAATCAACATATGGGAAAATTTCTTTAATTGATGGACCTAAATTTTTATCAGAAACACCTAAAGAAATCTTCTTCTTTGAAGAAGTCTTTGGTAAGTTTAATTCCAAAATAGATTTCAAGTAATCAGAAACTAAACCTTCAGAAATATCATTGGCATTTTCTAAAGCTTGAGCAGCACCTTTAAAAGGTGCAAATGAAATTAATTCAACCATCTTAGAAAATTTGGATAAATCATTTGAAGCTTCTTGAACTTCTTTAGATCTTGAAGCAATGTCATCTTGTTGAATTAATACTTTAAAGACAGCATACCCGGTAGCTTCTTCGAAAAGGAGATAATCTAAACCTGCCATCGTTAATTATGTATATTCTTCTAAATTAAAAAAGCTTTTTTAAGGAGTATTTCAATTTTAAAGTGAAGTTTTTTCAGAGTTCATCTCAAAGGTCTTCGCAAACAAAATATTGAGAAGAGCGAAAAAAAAATTCATCCTTCCTTCCTTCCTCATCTCCAAAAAAAAAAGTTGGGTTTGTGTAACGTTTTTTATGGTCATGTGACCTGTATAATGGAGTCACGTGAATATACCTGTCACAACTATGAGGAAATATTCAAATCTGTGACAATATTGCAAAATCCAATACGGTATAGATACTCCATCTGAGAGGCAAGAGTTCCCTTGAAAGTCCATTGAATAGCTGAAACAGATCTCTCCCTGGACTCAAAACAATCGTGTGCTAGGTTGGTTCATAAATCCTCTCCTTCCGATTGGGTCCAATACATTCCATTTTGAGCTGCAGAGAAATACAGTTCACTACAAAGCTTGTTTAAACAAAATGAAAATAAATAACAATTACATACAACCAGAAAACTACCTTCTACTCTAAGTCTTTATATAATCCATCATAGTACAGATATCGTCACATCACATATATATCACCTCATGCAAAATTAAGATCCCAATTCAAATCATTCAAGATTTGATGCCAATCAACCACCATATTCCCAGCAGGATTCAGTTCCCATATCTTTTCAAGCACAAATCTTACTCTACTAACATTCCAAATCCCATATAATTTCATAAATTCACCAATTCTATACCTCATTACATCCTGATCATGTTTGGTTACACAATGAATACCTGACATAAATATTGGAAACACGAGTGATGCTTGCACCGAAGTACCTACTAAGATGTCTAAACATTTGATTAAATCGTTGTTCAATACTTGTGATTCCAACATTGATGGATTACATTTCATGATTGACTGACGGAGGAATAATTTAGCACTGATTTGGAAGGCTTCGAAAAGAGTTAATTGAAGTTCTAATTCTTGATCAGTCAAATACATCAAGTCTTCCTTTTCAGGTTTGGAGGAATCGATTTCGAATTCTAAGGTCTTTACTTTTTCAATAACTGATTGAAGTAAGCGACTTGCCTTTCCATGATCACTGATTTCTGAAGCATCCCCGAATAATGGTGATCCAATAAAATCATCTTGATCTTCCATGTTTTCATCTTCATCTTCTTGGATAAGTGGTTGTGAAACGGGAATGGTTGGACTTGAAAATTCACGATTATAAAATTCACTTAGAATTTTCTTACTTTCATAAACCAATGTTGAGATATCTCCAATAAGTTTAAACAATTTCTTGGAAACACCAAGTAATGGATTTAAACTGGCTTTAGAAAATCCTTCTTTATCCATAAATATCATATCATATTCCTCAGATGGGAAATACGTCCCTCGTTCGGTTGTAGAAGAAGCCAATAAATCATGATAGGCAAAATTTGAAATTAACCAATGTTCTTCTTTCAGTTTATTAAAATTTAAAATCCCACCATTTCCAGCCAACAATTTCCAACCCCAATTTAAAAATACTGACCAATTTTTAACATCTCCTTTACATATTTCTGCTCCACATAAAATCATTAAAGTGGCTAATTTATTCACAATAGTTTGTCGATCTTCTTGAGTCATACCTTTTCGATTAATTATTTTGCCCATATGCTTGACCGCATAATCCGCATATTTCATTCCTTCCTCTTCCCAACGTCCACCTAAGAAATACCCCGACCATGCTAGGATACTATAGAATACCCCTTTGTCTTTGTGTGCCAATGGTAGGAAAATTTTCTGATAAGAATTTGATTCATTTTGGGATATAGGTGCAATCGAAACTTTTTTGGAAACAACTTCTACATAATAGTTATATAAATATGAACATGTTGGATCCGCAAGTTCGGGGATATAACTTGGACTTGGTGGGATCGGAGTCAAAAATGAATTCAAATTAGATATTAGGTTTTGATTGTAGTCACGCTGGGCAGGAGATAATGTGGTCAACGCACTATTTCCGTCATAGTCATGATATGGCTCTTCAAGTGAGTGGATTAAGGATGTGAATTCATTGGAAGACATTATATCTCGAACATCCATATGTGAATTGTTGTTATTATTAATTGTTTGATCATTATTTTCAAGGTCTTCAATTTTGTTTGAGGATTCATGGGGAATATGTCCACTTAACTCTCGCAAAAATGATAAGAATGCGCCTGGGGAATTTTGTTCTTTGTAATCGAATAAAGGAGCCATTTCCTGGGGATTTGTAGTTGGTGGATTTGGAGCATTGGAATCCAAGATTGGATTCATTAAACTCAGAAGTGTTGGAGATGGAGGCCCATTTGGTGACGCGTCAGGCTCTGTTGAATGGCTTTCAGTTTGAGTGGAGCGTAGGTTGGAATTATAACCGAATATTTTAAGAGGGTCTCCTCCCGAATCAGAAAGAAAGGAAGACACTTTGTAGAGTCCATTTGTTTCATTATTAACAGTATTAGGTTCATGGATGATCTTGTCTGCTTCATCGTCGTTTTGTTTTATGCCATTATCGTTCTCGTTGGTATTGTCGTTGTTGTCCCCATCAATATCAGCTTTGTCAGTTTCAGATTTCAATCGTTTTGCTTTTGATTTCCGCTTACGTAGCTTTTGTTTACTTTCCTCCTTCTCTACTGCTTGTTTTAATTTCTTAATTTCTAACTCTGTCATGGAATCATAGTCTGCCCAAGTACATTTCTTCTTTAGTCTTTTACAATCGGAACAAATGGGTCTAGTTTCGTCACACTTCTTCTTTCGAATTTTACATGTTAGACATCCATTCTTTGATCGACTTGTTTCTTTGAATTTATAGAAATCTTTTGAACTTTGTATTATTTTAACTGATCCCTTTTTGGATCCAATCAGGGTGGTTGTGCTTGAGGGTGTATCTGGGTTTGTTATTTTATGTGTCTCCAACTCTGGTGGGGTGGACATAATCGGCAGTGAGGGTCTAGCACTGATGGCTTTCAAACTTTTCGTTTTATCTCTAGCTCTCGAGTTAAATGTGACCAACATTATTGCCTTGAATTATAAGAAGATTCTACTTGGAAGAAAAGAAGATATTTTGCAAAACTTTGTCAAGTTTGGCTTTGATGAAAAATTTTAGGTTTGTTCTCTTTAGGTTTTGTTCTCTTTAAGTTTGTCCGCCCCATTGTAAAAGTGGGGGTCGCTTTTTTATTTTTTTTTGTTGCTATTTCGAGGAGTTCGCTACCCTCAACCCAAAAAATTTTTAAATACATGAGAGATAACTACAAATCAATTCCAATTTAGTAATTTTCTTCTTCTTAAGTGTTGAAGATCAAAGTCGGGCATTCATTGTCAGAAGAAAACGTAACTTACACATGAACTCCTTTATCGTATTATTCTAAGGAAAACATACAAGAAAAAAACAGTCTCAGATCGGATCTATGGATCTTGTATGGCGGATATGCCATTGGTAGTTTGCGAGATCTTTGTCAGTAGAATCAACACATTCATAACGCACTGTCCTATATGATAGAAGAGTAACAGATACATCAGTTGGGCATCTCCGATGGGCCTTGCACTAGGCTGAACATCTTAAGTCCGGAGATTGGCCCTATAGTTAGATTGGTACCGTACACGGTTAGACTAAGAAAGATCTAACGCAGTTAATTTGACAATAATTCTCCATTTGTTTTCTTTTATAGAACATTTGAATTCGACTTAGAATCAAGTCTCCAAAAATCTTTTCATTTCAACGTCAAGGCTTTTCTATTATCCCGTTTGTTCATTCATATTGTTCCCCCAAGTCTTTGGCATGGCATTCCCTTTTAAATTTTACTAGGACTTATATTATTTTAACAACCCATGGAGATGCTTCCCAAACTGGAAACCAAATGTGGGATAAATTGAGTATTTCGACACGACCAAAGTTAATTATATTGAGTCATCTATGATTTGATCTTTTTTGAGGGGTGGGGCGGTTAAAAACTATAAGAGCGGCAGGCAAACAACCTACAAAATCCCACTTGGGCAAGATTGTCACTCACTGCTTCATAATTATATACATCAGCTATCTTTCCAAAGGGCACTGTATTGAAACATATTGGGAAAAATGTCGTATGGAATTTCTGCTATCTTCCATGAGATTCTCGAGACATCAAGAAAGCCCGTAAAATATTGGATCAGCACGACATTATTCCTTTTTCAGGGATTTCTTTTTCTATTTTCTTTTTTTGATCAATTTTACACGCAAAAAAAACTTTACCATTAAACTTTCAAATTAAAAACCACTCAATGATTTTTTTTGATTCTTTTTTTCTTCTTTTTCTTTTTAGTTAAAAGATTTTATAAATCATCAACACACTTAGCATATATTTAAAACAATCATGTCATTAAAACGTATTAACAAAGAGTTATCAGATTTAGGAAGGTATGTTTTTGCTGTTTTTACGAATCAGAAATAGGGTGTAAAGAAGAAGGGGAATAAAGTACACGCGCATAACGACGCCATAACGTCCACGTCAATAGTCTCCATATAGATCAATCCAGATCCCTACGAAAGCATAGAGAGGAAGCCGTGTAATATCACACAAATCTACAGATCTCGTTAGTAGTAACTATACTAGCATCCATTTCCGTGCTTTTATTTCGATAATTGGATTTAAAAGATCAACTGATTGTTTTTTATCAAAAGAGATTCGTCAGTGGCGGATGAAGTTTTTTTTTTCTCCTATGGAAACGTAAACAGGATTTGTCATGTGACTCAAATCATAGTCCGCCACCCAGTGGAAAGAGAGATATTTACTAATCCTTGAAACCGTGGTGTCATCTCCTCCTTACATTCTATTGTTTGATTTGCTAAAGAAAAGATTGAATCATTTTTTACTAACATTCTATTTTTAGAGATCCACCATCTTCATGTTCCGCTGGTCCAATTGGTGACGATTTATATCACTGGCAAGCATCTATTATGGGTCCACCAGATTCTCCATATGCTGGGGGTGTATTCTTTTTAAATATTCATTTCCCAACTGATTATCCTTTCAAACCTCCAAAGATTGCTTTCACTACTAAAATTTATCACCCGAATATTAATGGTAATGGTAATATCTGTTTAGATATTTTAAAAGATCAATGGTCACCAGCTTTAACTATATCTAAAGTATTATTATCTATCTGTTCCTTATTAACAGACGCAAATCCAGATGATCCTTTGGTTCCTGAAATTGCCCATATTTATAAACAAGATAGAAAGAAGTATGAAGCCACTGCAAGAGAATGGACTAAGAAGTATGCTGTTTAGAAGAGAATAATAAAGTGAGCATGCAATTGTATGTCCTTTTTCTTAAATTTAATGTGAATAATGATCAAATGGTGCTAATTTGTTATTAAGTTTTTTGTTGATTGAAAATAGAAGAATAATCATAGATTTTCATTTTCATAATATAATAATTTTAAAAATCTTTTTAGTTCCTTACCTTCTTAATAAACATGCAGTCATAGTTTTGACTCTTTCTTTGTAATTATCATTTATTTGACTAGACTTTTTTGTAGTTTTACCGAGGAAACACTATTGAGAGATAGAAGCCAAAACAAATGGAAGGCTCAGTTTACTTCCTCGGCTTTTCTTTGAATCACTACTTGGGATTGCCATTCACTAGCATTACTTTGATCTCTTTTTCTCAAATTCCCTATTCACGTAGTATGATGAATATAGGTATTTACATATTTTACAGCGTTCACTGGTTGCGACAGAGGAAAATTGTTGAGACAGAAAACTGTCAAAGAAAAAAAAAACAAGACTCACAGAATTTTTTAGCTTTCAAAAACATAAAAAGTTCAACTTGGAAACTTGCAACCACTTTTCAATCAGATTCCTATTTAATCAATCAAATTAAATTCAAATATTAGAAATAGATTCATACTATTCAACCAAGATAATATTAGAGATCACCTGACAATTTATATCTTTGACAAGGATTTCTCCGTTTTGAAATTTTATTGGATGAATAATCTCACATAACCATTTTATAGACAATTCATTTACCCCATTGATAAAGACATAAGAAAGAGAGAAAGTATGGAGAAACTAGCCTCATTCCAATCTAACGATCCAAAGAAACTATTTGTATTAGCTCAAAAACTCAATGAAAGAAAATTCTTTGAATTATTTTTGAATGAATCACAATTTAAAATTATCGATTACATAATAAAATTAAATAATTTTGAAGTATGGACAAATTTCTTAGAAGGAAACTGTTATATATCCTATATCGATGATATTAAAAATGTCACTACAGATCCAACCAGTCATAATATCGACTCCAATAGTTCAGAACAATCAGAAGAGGGAAAGGGGGACGACAGTTCTAATATGATTGTTGAAACACAAGAAGAAATCGCGTTTGACGAAGGAATCAAGATGAGCAAAATGTTGGCATTACACATTCGATATTTATTATGGGAAAAGGCAATTGATTTCTATTATAGTTCTAAAGAATTAGATTCTTCTCAAGAATATGTCGAAGAAGTAACTGACGACTTTGAATTGATTGATTCACTAGACACTCTTGATGACAATGATGACAAGCAAGATCAACCAGAAGGAGGCCGCAAAGACGTTATTGAAAAGCCAGTGATACGAGAAGTCGAGGATGATTATGATGACGACGACGATGACGACGAAGAGGAAGAGGAGAAGGAGAATAAAGACGAATCCATTTCGAAAGAAGTACCAGACTCAGATGACATGCTCAACTACAATTTCGAAAAGCAACTAGTACTAGAGATACCAAAATCAATCTTTATAGGTAATCAAGATAACACAGAAGCAACCGAGCAGTCAATAAATACAACCACAGCAACAACCACAACATCATCGACAGTGACAAAATCATCTTCACCTGCAGCTACTTCTTCAGATGACAACTTGAATTCAAATGAAGATCAAGATAAACTTGTACGAGAATTTAATAAAGTCTATCACAATTTTGAATATGACAGAGATACTTTACTTAAAAGGCGAAAATTGGAAAAATCTGATTTGCAATTACAAGAACCAAAAGAAAATGGCCATTTAGAACATCGTCATAAACAAAAAGATTCTACTTCTCATATGGATATCAATTTAGGTGCCGCCTCGACTTCATTACAACATTTATTGAGTACTATTCAACAAAAGCGTGATCAGGTTCCATTAAATGATCATGACTTGAGAAATCTTTTTATGGATGTCCGTAAGAATCGTGGGAAATGGGCTAATGATGATAGAGTCGGACAAGAAGAATTATATGAAGCATGTGAGAAAGTAGTTACTGAATTAAGAGGATATACTGAACATTCAACTCCATTTTTGAATAAAGTATCAAAACGAGAAGCGCCAAATTATGGGTTGATAATTAAAAAACCAATGGATTTAAATACTGTTTTGAAAAAGTTAAAAGGATTATCATATAATTCGAAACAAGAGTTTGTGGATGATTTAATGTTGATTTGGAATAATTGCTTGACATACAACGCTGATCCACGACATTTCCTTAGAGCCCATGCTCTAGCTATGCAAAAGAAGACTTTGAAATTAGTGCCGACAATCCCAGATATTACTATTAGAAGTAGAGCGGATGTGGAAAAGGAAGAAGAAGCCGAAAATTATGAAAAGAAGGATGAGAAATTTCATGGTGGGAAATCAATGAAAAAAGGTCGGAAAAGATCTCGTCAAGATCAAATCAAAGCAGAAATCGAAGCTGCTAGAACCCCATCCGTACCAGGTACGCCAATGTCAGTATGTGATTCACTTGATGAAAGAGGTTCAGAAACTCCCGGGCCCGAGAATGGAAATATGTCCGGTCTTGAAGACGAGGATGAAGACGAAGAGGAGAATGACAATATGAATGGAGCAAATGGCGCCCTCTCTGGAGAAGAAGAAGACGAATTTGATCCGGAATTACAAGCATGGAGAGGTTTTACGGCTAAATCAAGAGCGAACTATTGTTCAGCCAGGGCGGATTTGTTTGATGAACAGGGACATCTTAGACCAGATGCATATGCTATTATTAGACAATCGAATGAAATGGCAAATTTTAATCAATATCTTGCAAATAGGGAAGTTATTTCCAAAGCCACAAGTTTGCTAGAGACTGATGAACCTTATTTACTCGAATATGACGTGACTGGTGGTGTGCCTGGATTTAGTTATAAAGGAATTGATAAGGAAGAAGAAGATAGACGAGAAGAGAATTTGGTAGATGTGTATTTACAGCAGACAGGAGGTGATGCATCAAAGATGAAGTCTGGATTTGTATTGGCGAATGATCGAGGATTGAATGGGCTTTATTATGAGAATATTTGTGAGATCCAAGAAATTAAAAAGGTATGTTTTAAGATATCTTTAATAAGACAAATGCAACAAAATCAATTTGTTCATCATACACAAATGAAACAACCCGAGATTGAAAAATTGAAAGAGGTTGATGTTGATGCTGCATCGAAATTGCCCAGTCGTGATCCAAATGCTAAAGACGTCCAATTTTCGGTGTTGAGAAGAAACGTGGCCAAGATTGCCATGCAAACTGGATTTGAAAGTACAGAACCATTTGCTATCAATACTCTTACCCAGATTGCAGAAAAATATATTGGGAATTTGGTTAAATCTATCAAATTGCATTCAGAGACTAATTCAAAGAATAAATTAAACCCCAAAGAGATTATATTGTTGTCTCTTTTGGAGAATGGGGTAGATAAACCTGATGATTTGTATACCTTCATCCAAGAAAGGATCATCAAGCAACAAGATAAATTGAAGGATCTTAGAGTAAAATTATCAAACTTCTTAAAAGATTTACTTCGACCAGGATTGGAGAATTTTAATGAAAAGAGTTTTGATGATAATAGTGAGCAGTTCATGACTGGTGATTTTTCCAATGATTTGGGTGATGATTTCTTTGGGTTTAAAGAATTGGGGTTGGATAAAGAATTCAATATGCTTAGTTCTTCGATTCCTATCTATTTACTTCATTCTCGTTTGCATAATCAATTTGCTAGTGCTTCTGGTGTAAGTTTACGGAATAAATATGAAGATTTGAACGAATATGTTCCAGCAAATCTTACAGTTGCCGATGTCAAGAATCAAGTTGGTGTTTTGATACCTTTCTATACTAAACTCAGCGACAAATCCAAGGCGCATTTTATCAAACTACAAAAGAAGAAAGGAGAACCGACAGATTTACCGGAAGATCATTTATTACTTCTTATTGATGACGAAGAATTACCTCAAAAACAAAGAAATATTAGACCAAGAATGCCACCAACAGGTAAAATCACCACCATTAAGAAGAAAATCATCGCTAATTCGTTCTTCCTTCCAGAAGAAGAGACATTACTAGCCCAACAAGCCAATGCCTCACAAGTCACTCTGTCGAATGATGTTATTGTACAAGATGATTTCATTGATCCTACTTTAGGCACTCCTAAGAAAGGGAAAAGTGATTCTGGTTTCAGTTCCCCACTAAATATCAAATCAGAGGCATGAATTGATAGACAATTTATTATTTTTTAGTATTCTGTAAAAGATCTTGCAAGAGTATATAGTTATTTAATGTTGTATTAATAAGCATTTAGATGTGTATTTAAATTCTGGGGGGTTTAAGGGTTTTAAGGATAGTTGTTTAACTATGGCCCACGTTGAGTCGGTCGAAGTGGGAGAAACGTTTTGTGTGCCGTGCTAAGTTTCTGTGTGTCGGTGCGTAGTCGCGTCGTTCTGTCACACAGTTTGATAAGAAACTTGACAGAGAACAATGGAAAGAAAGTAAAAAAAAAACCGTTGGGGAAAGAAAATTCCATCGTTGTTCAATTTTTACAACCATTTACTAAAAGCAATTTAGATTCAACTTGTTTATACTGCCCCCATTTCCCCCCTAATACTATCAATAGAAAATACAGATGTGTTAAAACACAAATCATGAACATTAATGAAACTCAATCAGTTAACTTCTCAACCCTTACCAAAGACGAATTATTGAAAAGAGATGTGTTTGGTCGAACATTACTCCATATTACACTCCTAGTGAATAAATATGACTCATTACGTAACCTTACAAAGAATCCTAACTTCAAATGTATATTATTATCAAATGATTATGAGAATGGCTGGAACTGTATGCATTATGTTATATTTTATAATAGATTAGCATGTCTTCGTGTATTGTTAGATTATTTGAAACAAAATTCCATTCAGAATAATTTATTTGGATTAAATTCCCCTTTAATAGAGTTATTAAGGTGTAAGGATAGATGTGGATTTACACCCCTTCAATTGTTGAATAACGATTTTAAAGATTTAGTTTGGATACCCGAATATATTAATGAAAAGAATCAATTTCACTTGCTTTATAGATTTGCAGATAATAGAAAAATCGACAAGAAAGATGAAGAAACCGAAAAGGAAGTCAAGGAGCAACAGACGAAGCGAGTATCTATAAGGTCTCCTCAGGTTCCGTGGAGTGAAAGAAGAGGAGGATCAGACATTTATGTGCTTGGTTGCAACAGTAATAATCAACTAGGTGTAGGTGATGCCACTGATAGATCTGTGCCATCCAAAGTATCACATGACACATTCAAAATAGCGCTGGAGAATGAAGCAATGACTGAAGTTTTGAAGAAACCAAGATACAAACAGATTTCAATTTCTAAAAATCATGCTTTGGCAGTTACTCATACAGGTGATGTCTTTTCATGTGGGATAGGATCCAGAGGAAGATTAGGACATGGTATGGATGATTTAAATAATTATTTCCGATTTAAAAGAATTGCACACTTTGCCGATGAAGAGGACAGAAAGATAATAAAAGAAGTTGCTATTTCAAGTAACCATTCCTTAGCTTTAACTCTGGAAAATCAAGTTTATTCCTGGGGATTGAATAGTTATAACCAATTAGGATACGAAACTGCCCCAGTAACCAAGAGGTCTCATTCAAAAGAGTATTTGGACAAATTTCAGGCGACACCATTATTAGTGACGGGAGATTTAAGAAAGAATTACGAAACTGTGTTGGGAGTATGCGTTTCAAAAGTTCACTCAATGGCATATAGTAAGAATTCTTTGTTCTTTTGGGGGCTTAATGTTGGTCAAATGGGTATATCATGCGTCACGGGTGATATTGAAGTCAAGTTGCAAGATGAATCTTTCCAAGGTGAAGTACAAAAGAGTCCAAAAATGGTCAGCCTCAGAGATGAAATTAAATCTGTCAGTACCAGTGAATTAACTACTTGTGTTGTTACCACACTTAATGATATCCATGTGTATTATAATTATCAACACTTTAAATTACCTAAGGTCCCACTGAACACTTCAGGAGATAAACAGTTTGATATTTTTAAACCCAATGTTCTCACAAAGGCAGCAGTCATCAGCAAGATCGTAACTCGAGGTCCTGAAAATTCAATGATATTGTTAAATAACGGAAGTGTGTTAAGTTTTTCCTTAAATCCCAGTGATATAAAAAACACCAAGTATTCTCATGTTTGGAAACCTTACGATTATGAAATGATGGTTATAGACATTGACATATCAGCAGATGGGTCAGTTGTTCTATGTACAAGAAATGGATCTGTGTTTCTCAAGTCCGTGCAATCTACTGGTGGTCAAAGAAAAAATTCGATGAGTGGAACGGTACTCCCTATCCCATTAGCTAAAAACAAATTCAAGAAGATAGAATCAATAAATAATGTTGTGAAGGTTACTTGTGATGCGAAGTTTTTGTCATTTGGATTCATTAGAGATGATATTGATCTTCTTCCTTTGAAGCTACAAAAGAATGATTTTTTCAAGGATATTGAATCGTTGTCCCCTGCATTTGATGTAGATTTATACAGGAAACAAGACCAATTGTTGAAGATCGACCACGAGTTTAATACTTATATATCAAGTTTCTTCTATCCGGAAGTCACGGAAAGTATAGACGATGATGAATTACATTTGACGCAAAATAGGGCTACAAGCAATTCTATAGAAGATCAACTTGCAACTAGATACAACAACAACTTTGATCCGCTGAAAACCAAACGTGTTGTTATCCATAAGACTTATGAAACCTATACGCAAGATGAAATAGATACTATAAATGAGAATTTCAAATCTGATGCTGAATATTTTAAATATAAATTCGCAGATGATAGTCCAGATTTTGGAAAATCCTTTAATTGTCACGTGGTATTTAAGAGCAATCCTGGGATTAAGGTTGGTTTTCATAGAGAAATTTTTATGAGTAGATCTGATACATTCAAAAAGCTTGTTAATTTAAATGATCCTGAAGAGCACATCATAGGGGAAAAATTCAAAGCTAATTTCATTCCCGATGAATCAGTATTGATGGTTTCATCGGATACCCATTTGCTTTCGATGCTTCTTTCGATTCATACCGTTTATTCTGGAAGGAGAATTGATATTTGGCAATCATACGGTTCAAGACATTCTTATCCTGCTAACATGAGGCTCATTTACGACGAATACGAATCCCTTTTAACATTATTCAAGTTAGATGACAAGAGGCAGCACAAATCCAATTATTTAAAATCATTTAGAGATTTATTAGACAGTGATACTGGTGATGTTGTTTTGAAATTGAAAGATGGTGAACTAAATGCACATTCGTACATCTTAAGTTCGAGATCAGCATTCTTTGAGACTGTATTATCCACACGTTGGGATAATGACTCGGAATTTAAAGTACTAGATTTTAGTGGGTTGAGCAAGTTTCAAATGTCTATTGTATTGAGGCATATTTATGGAGTTAACAACGCGGAGATATTAGATCATTTTGATTGTGCTTTTAACGAATCAGACTCTTTTATTAACCAAGTATTGGAATTGATTGAGATTTCAGATGAATTGTTGTTGTTTCAATTGAAGGCTATTTGTCAATCGGCAATTTCCGATTTAATATCATTGGAAAATGTTTTGCTTTTATTAATCCATGCTGATTATCTTTCTGCTGATAAATTATTTTTGAACTGTTGCTGGTATATCTTTAATAACCTAGAGGTATTAATGTTTGATCCAGCATTTATGACGATTCCTTTCGAAATCATGAGCAAATTGGAACAACAAATCATATTTTTACATAGTTGTCGCCACGTTGATTTTACAGATGGTCACGGGAAAATGAGTGAAAAGAAAGAATGGTTTGATAAGTCATTTGCATTGTTGTCAACTTTTGTAAAGAACATACACAACTTCAATGACAATTTTATGAGTGATAGAAAGGGATTCAGTTCATTTGAACCGTTAGTTGACTCCAAGTACATTGTTAAGAAACCAAAAGAAGATGTAAAGAAGAAGAAACCTAGAAAGAGTTCTACCACTAATGCGGATTTAGCTGAGTTCAGGAAAGCTCATACTGTTACTCCACCACAAGCTCAAAATATTAGCGCGATTGAAGATTCAGAAGGTTCCAACTTTGGATTTAGAGTTGTTCAAAAGAAATCAAAACTAACTACAAAGAGTAAGAGCCCATCACCTGTCCCACAGACGTCAAATGATTCTTCCAAGAAACCCGGGCCAGTTAATATACCGACACTGGCGCCTTGGTCAAACCAAGTTACAAACTCTAAATCATCAATATCACCCCAACCCCAAGCAAACATTAGTATAAGTGGCCTAAGTCCTCATTCCAACTGGGCTTCAAAATCCAATGCTTCGCCCATACTTGGCGATCAGCCTCAACTGGTAGTCAAAGTCGAAACAATTGGGTCTTCAGGTTGGAAGCCTAAGCCAGCAAAAGTTAAGATTGGTCCAGTTGTTAAGATGTCACAAAAAGAAAGAAAGAGACTCGCAGCAGCAGCAGCTGCAACAGCACCAACATCAACGTCTCCGCCCCAGAGTTCCAGAAAACCAAGTTCTTCGAGTAGTGTAGCACCTTGGTCCGCTATGGCCAATGATAAAGAAAATATATCTCCAATTGATGCTGTAAGTAGCCTACCGGTATTAGGAGCCACAGTGTCAAATAAGAAGAAGCCAAGTTTTTCGAAGGCAAACAAGGTTGCGACACAACCTTCCATAGCTTCACAGAGGAGTGGTTCATTTGGTTCATCCTCATCAGCAACCGGACAGAGTTTCGCTAGTGCGGTATCTATGAGTGCGGATTCGTCATTCAATAGTGTATATTCAACACCTTCTTTAACTGAAGTCATGATTCAAGAATCACTTAAAGTGGAACAAGCAAAACTAGAAGAAGCTCAACAGAAGTCGTTATTGGAAATTCAGCAAGAACAGGAATTTGCAAAATGGTGGGCGGAAGAATCTAAGAGGGTACAGAAGGAAATGGAACCCTCCAAACAAGAGAATGTGAAGAAGAAACAAGGTAAGAAACCATCAAAGGACAACAAGAAAGCCACCAACGATGATAGGAAAGGAAATAAATCTGCTAGACCATCAAAACCGGGTGCAAGTAGTTCAGACAAACCAAAGAACAAGAGAAAAAGTGCCGATAATAAAGCAAACAGACCGAAGGAAGCTTCAAGTGGCGACTCGCGTCACAACAAGACACTGTATCATAATAAAAACATTCCAAAAGAGGAAGAAATCAAATGTTAGTCATGTATTATTGTAAATGTATTTAAAATTATATAAAATAATTAATTAATAGACATTATAAATATCAAGTAAGCATCAGAATTCTACTTCTTCAGGAAACCAGCCATATTCGTCTAGATCTACAATTAGAGCATCCAGTACATGTACATCTTCTTCTCGTAATTTATCAGCTTGAATATATTGTCCCTTGGAGCTTTCTCTTGGCGAGATTTTTCCTGAGCTCAGAAGTACACGCCACCAAGGTAATGTAGACCGATCTATATACATCTCAGATTCTGTATCCAATTCAGCATTCAATGTGTTTATTATCATATCACTATGCTTCAAAGAAGAGCCAACTTGACGCGAATTCTGAGGTTTGTTTAGTAAGTACGCGATATGTCCTAAATTGATAAAGTTAGTATATTCCAAAATATTAATCAAATCTAGATAAGGTACATTCCATAGCTTGTTACTTTTCCATAGGGGATTTCAGCTACAATTGAGTAAACTCCATAATGGAACAGTTTGCTTTCGTCAGTCAATTTCATTTTGTAAAAATTGAAGAGAAAAATCAGAAGGAAGATTGAAAAATTGATTTCAAAAAAATCTTTACAAATTTAACAAAATAATTTAAGATTTCCAATTATAAAGATGGTATCAGATTAAGCACAATAAATATTTATCTAAAAAATTATGTAAATTTATATACTTAATTGATTCACTTATAAAGCCAATAAAGCACCAGCAAATAAAGCAACGGCACCAGCAGCCAATGGCTTAACGGCACCAGCTTCGTAAGTAGAAACGTTTTGGGTGGAATTGGAAGTTGAAACTGTGGCATTGGAGATTGAAGTTGGGACAGCTGGGACAGATTCAGTTTGGTGTAAAGGACAAGCAGTACCTAAGGCTTCACATGAGGAGTCAATGACGGAGACAACGGTGGTGGATTCGTTGGTGGCAGTGACAACGACGGTATCAGCGGAAACAACGGCGGCGGCAGCAGCGATTAAAGCGACGGTGGAGAATTGCATTGTGAATATATTTAACGATAGACTAAAGTGAGAAAGTTGTATTGAAGAAGAAGAAAAAGTGTTTTTAAAAGAGTATTCACAATCTTGGAAAATTGCCCAAATATTTATACGGTTGATTAAATCAAAACTTTCGTTTTGTAATTAATCGCAAGCAGAATGCAAAATTGCACACTAAAATAACAATAACTGCAATTTTTGTGAAGTATTTCGTCTGAAAAAGTTTTTCCTTTATGTGGTGTTTTTTCAATTGTCTCGTTATAAAAAATCAAAACATTAGAGGGGCTGGTGGAAAAATTAAAATAATTAATTTGCCACAATGGAAAAAATACATTCTACCTAAAAAATATTTTATGACACGACCTAATTAGGAAAGATTTTGTTACTCTCGAGTCCCATTAACAAAAGTTTTTTTATTTACTTTCATCTCTATAGCAAACAACCTACACGAGACCAATGGCAGCATTTTTTTTTGAGACAGAACAAGGAGGCTTTTATTGGGATAATCGGATTGCAATTTTTTAGGGCTATGCTTACAAATGCAGCCATTCACTTCTTTACTCCCAGATCTGTAGGGGGGCATTGGTAATAGATTATGTGCATGGCCATTTATTTGCAAAATGCTACAAGTTTCACAGTCACTGATAACATCTGAGTGATTCTAATTATAGAAAGCAAGGCTTCTAGATCATCATCAGTAACAAAACCAATAACTTCATTTTACAACTCGCGTCGCAATGTTACACAAAATAGCGATACTCGTTCTGTCAGAGAAAGAATTATGCGCTAACACTTTCCGCAATTGGGGGTACAATTGATAAAGTTTTTTTGATCTGCAACGCACAGATCGACAGTTGCTTTCGTAAAAAATTCCACCGCCTTTAAATCCATATAATAGAACCATGTGTTTGTCTAAATAATAATTACATACAACGGAGAAAAATCGCGCTCGACAAATTTAATTCGATTGTTTCTCAACCTAGAAAAAAAACCAAAACAAAACTTCTAAAATAATATTCACGACAAGTACATACATTTACACTTAATCTATAGAAATGACATATTTGGTAAGGAGTTTTTCGATGATTGGTAGAGCGGTGTGGTGCTCCATACGCGTACCTGAATTTGTACCTTTTTTTACTCTTGATTGACTTCTTCCTGTGGTGGAGCATCGCGCTCATCATCGTCAGCCGACTCATCCACTTCTTCTGGAACCTTCAAAAGTTCTCGAGATAATTCTTGTAATTTAGTTTGCATTTGAGATACGAATTCATCTGGACACTTCTTTTGCAGTGCGACTAATTCTCTAAAGGTGGAATCCATTAATTTTATGAGTTTTAGATATTCCACTAAGAACCGGTATTTTCTTTCAGCTTTTAGTGTAGTGGAAATAGCAGGGTTGTTAAGATTATCCAAATCTTTAAACAAAAATTCAACATTGTCAAATCGTATCTCCATCATAAGTGGCAGAACATTGGCCATACAAAAGCATGTATTACCAAATTCGGATAGAAATTTGGTCCAGAATTCGAAAGCTTTCATGTCGAGTGCTTCAAGTTCTCCACTTCTCCATTGTTGTAGATGAACGTCTATTCTTTGTTGCAATGCCGGGACAAGTGTCATAACACACAATAAAGCATCCTTAAATAAGTGTTCCAAGTTCTGTAAAAACCAATTCCGTTCACCTAGTATCAATTGGTAATCTCGAGTTCTTTCAACTCCCAACCTTACAAAAAAGTCAACGACCAACTCGCCCCAACCAATTATCAATCCTACAATTGATACCCTCCTAAGCACTTCTGCTTCCCTTTCAAGTTCTCGTTCGATTTGATCAAATTCAGGATCGGGAAACCAATGTCTTTGAAGTCTGTTTCTACCAGTGAAAAACACGATATACAAACTATACCCAACAAATAGCACCAAGGCATATATTTGCCAATATTTGCTTAAATGTTTAGAAGGTTTGATTCCCATCATATATAATGCAATCGCCATCTTTATCGAAAATGAAAGAACTTGTTTCCAGCCTTCAATTAATCGAACAAAGACACTATCAGCGATTTGAGGTTCTTCGGGTTGTGGTTCTAATGGAGCATGCATACCTTCTTCCTCGTCTTCTTCGGGATGGACAATTTGTGCAGGTGGAGGACCCTGGACAACATGTTCGAGTTGAGTTGGAGTAGGGATGGGATTCGTATTTGACTTATTGTATCTCTCAATCAAAACTTTTTGAAGAATATTTCCATCAGGAAGTCCGGATTTCAATCTAGCAAGACCGGACGAGTTAAGTAATAAATAAGGATGATGTTCGCCATTATCGACAATTATACATTGTGAAGAATTTAAGCATATTGTCTTTACTTGTGCATCTATCAGTATGTCAATCTCGTATGTTGTATCTGATAAGTCATCCATTTTGGCCAATTGTTGACGTCCAGAACTTTCTTCCTTCAAGGTTTCATAATGGTCTCCTGTTAGTCTCCATACTTCACCGTCTTGTGTCACAATTTTAAATGGTTCTATTGCGGTAATATCTGGGGGATTTTGCGTGGTCTGAACAGTTTCAATTGCAGATTCCAATAAATGGGAGGAACCTTGTTCAATTGCTTCATTAGGGAGTGATGCTGCCGTGGTTGGTAAACTATTTGCAGAATTTGTTGAAGCTGAATGCAAATCTGTTGAATTAGGTAAGAACTCAAAATTTCCTTGTGTAATTTCTCTCCAAAATTCTCTACTTAAAATCCCACCAATCCCATTTATATGTGGAGAAACTGTCAATTTAATACGAATAATATCATTGGCTTGTTCTAATTGTTCATTCGATATATTCAATGCTGAAAGTATCGTACGATTATTTATGTCAGGATTATTGGCCAATTTTTCATTATTATATGATAAACCAATCTGATCGAAAAATGTTCTCGTTACTCTTCCATGGTCTATTCGAGCAATGAGTAAATGTTTAAGGTCATGGATTTTGGTATTATTGTCCACCTCAACCATTCTCCGTTCATTCTGTAACGCAGGTTCCTCTGATTCGATAAAAACACGAAATCTCCGTCTAGTACTAGTTGATAAAAGTTCAGCTTTAAATTCGACTGTGTCCAACGGCACCACATCTAATTTAAGAACTTCTGATAATGGCGAATCGTCATTTGGTATTAATGTGTAACTAGGCATTAATCGTAAGGAGATTCTATTTCTAGTAATAGTAGTTTGAAGACGTCTTTGTACTTCTTCAACAAGATAATCCTTCATGGTACGTATTGTACATTTCAAATTCTCCCTTAGGAAGAACTCATGAGTCTGATTTTTGTCATCTTTCCAAATTGTAATAATATCAAATAATGGATCTGGCGGATGAATTCTCGTTGACGATTCTATATCTTGGTAGTTGATAACGAGGGTAAGGTCATTCTTTAAGGATGTTTCAGGGGGTTGTTGAAGTTGCAATCCCAGAGACAACGTTTCAGAATCCAGTATCGGTACTCCTTTGTATTCAATTTGTAAACGGGATGGTTGTAACAAGTAATCTGGGGATTTCAACCATATTGCTTCTTTAATATCAGCAATTGTATGGTTTAAAGTCAAATTGATTGAATATTCTGTAAGGTTCAATGGATCTGTAGATTCATCAATGTTAATTTCTTTAACATTCAATTCCAATGTAAACGGAACATTCATTTCTTATTATTGCTGTTTAAAAGGAATAAAGGATCAATTGATAAATAGAAAAGATCTTGACAGCTTGTACAGTTGCGCTCTTATAAATTATCACCAGAAAAAAGAGGAAATCCCCCTAACAAAATAAATAAGTAACCTTCAAAAATGTTAAACTTTTATCATTTAAACTATGTACAAGTGTTAATATGTAAAAGAAAGAAGAAGAAGAGTATAAAGTGTAAACTATATATATGTAGATACCATATAAGTTGATCTTCTAAACTTTAATTGCATGGTATCTCTTACCTCTAAAGGCAAAGAGTTGATTATTGGCATTAATAACTTCAGTTGGATTAACATCAACAATATCTAATTTAGTACTTGGAAATAAATTATCACATTTATTCATTAAAATATCCATTTCATCATATAATGGATGTTTCTTTAACCAATCTATTTCTCTTTGAATATCTTCACTATGATATCCTGAAACAAAAAGTGCACATTTAGATTCCAAGAATCCTTTCAAAGATTTATCCCAATGAATTTGATCAGCAGTTTGGAATCCAGGATGGAAAAGGAAGAAAACATCTAAATATGGATCAAATGGGAACAAATCTCCCGTGTCATATAATTCATGGAAATATTGAGTATGATAATGTAATGAAATTTGATGATCTACCTTCTCAACTAATGCACGACCATGAGGTACATTAGTTGGGCCAAAACTTCTGGTTTCTCTGTCAAAATAAGCTTGTGGACCAATCATATGAATTTCAAACTTCATTTGGGGGAACAAATACCCCATTTGTTTCCAAACATATCCTGGTAACATAGATTCTTGTCTAGCACCAACAATAAAAATTCTCATGGCTCTATCTCTATAAGCTGGAGTGTCAGTAACAAATTGAGTATATGGTGGGTACAATGTGTATCTTAATGCAGAAAGTGATTTCAATCCTTCTAAAGTAAGTGGTCCCTTTGGTTCTACTTTATATGGAGAAAATTTGTGCAAGATGGATGCAATTGTTATTGGATAAGTAAGAACCTTGGTAGCAACTGCCAAATTAAATTCATCATTCATAGGAGCAAAATCTCTAGTATAAAAGAACGTATCCCAATTAGAAAGATTAACTTGATAATCTCTATCTTGTTCACCTGGGAAAGCAAATTCTCCAAATTTACGTCCTGATCTAATATCATGTTCATAAAGATTCACTTGTTTCAATAATTCATATTTTTTTTGGGCATGATATTCAGTATCATTTTTCCATGCTTCTTCAGAATGATGGGTTGGAATACCTGAATATGGACAAACAAAATTCACTGGTTTATGAGTAACTGGACAAAGTGCTTTAGCTCTAATGAAAGCGGCACGAGTTCTGATATCTTCATAAGGAGATTCATCCCATTTGTATAATGTACGTTCACTTTCCTTGGTTGTTGGATCATCCATCTTCAAGAGTTTCCAGAAAAAAGACAGATGCCTCTTTTGGATTATACCTTGGGATCTCCGTAACATCGAGGGAATTGTATTGGAAACGATTGACATGGTATGTGTTTCGATTATTGGAGGTTCTTTTTTTTTTGTTTATTTTTCTTCTTTAGCAAGGGTTTGACAGGGTTATGGATTCAATTTAACTCTCCCTATAGTATTTATTCAATTGACAAAAATCTAGCCAACTAGTTCCTTGTGTGTTTTGATGCTCTTGCGTTTAATGTTGGACTTGAAGAATTGCGTTTCCCGGCTTTTGATATTTGAAATAATTTTTTTTCTTCTATTGTTTCGAGGGATAAATTTAAAATTCGTTTGTAAGCTGATGATTAATTATACGATTTACTTAGGGATGAGATTTACGCCGAGATGAATACAAATTGAAATCTGTGAAGTATATTACAGTACGGTTAACTCTCTATTTAATGGTAAACTACAACTCGTCATGATTCACTTGTTCGTTTACATCGGACTTCACGCTCTCCTCGGATTTGATAGAGACGTCTGCTTCAGAAGTATTTTCACTATCGAGAATGGTGTCGGTTTCCGATTGAAGAGTTTGTTGTCGGTCCCGAGCCAAGTGTTCGCCGATGGTACTCATAATCGCATCTAAAAGATCAAAGTCTTTACCTGCCCTGTTCGCTTCATGGAGTTCCTCTATAACCTCATCAAGGAGTTCAAGTTCATTAGCTGGTATGCCGTCTCTTCTATCTAGAATAGCTTGTTGAACCATATCATTGAATTGACGCCTACGGTCTGCCGCTTCATCGTCGGACACCTTATGTTCGGAGTCGGGGGTGGGAACAGCCTGTGTCGCTTCTGGGTGTTGTAGTACTTGTTGCTCGGTGCCTTTATTCTTAAATCCATCATTCCCCATGTCTTGCTTCATGTCGGTTACAGTAACAGTTGCAGTGACAGTTTCCTTTATCTTTGAACTATTTGATTTAGCAGCATCATCTTTGGGATCTTTCAGATCAGTCACAGTCACAGCAGCGGTCTTAATATCTTTGCTTTTGGATTTACTTGATTTCTTCTTATTCTTATGCCCTTTTTTGGGAGCTTTTCCAGGTTCAAGTCTTTCAAACTCTACAAAATTCCAATTATATTCAGTAAATCTGTTTGCCAAAATTTCATGAAGACCATGCTCGTGTTCTTTTCCTTCTAGATCCTTCCATGTCTTAGTATCAACTAAATCTACCAGGATCTTGCGGCGGTTTCTTTCGGATCCATCTCTAGACACTTTCAACAAGGCAATAAAATCACCTTTGTAATCATAAAGCTCATACCAAGCCACAAATGCATCTGTCGATTGTAATGCAGATGCAGTATTTGATGTGAAATATATTGGTGACGGTATCTTTGACTCTAATGCTTTATAGTATGTTGTTCCAAAATCTTTCTCGAGAGTGGTGAGATTCTCAGCTGTACCACTATAGAGGAAAATATGTCTTTGATCCCAATATAAGTCTCCCGAATTTATATGCTTATATCCCAAAAAGAACCCATTTCCTATTGGATAGAAAGTGTATTCATTCACGTTTATTTTAACTCCTGGTTGAGGAAAGTCAGGTTCTTTACTTGGGATCTTGTCAAGGTACTGGAAAAAGTCTTCGTATTTAACGTCAGCACTTGCCAAATTAGTTTCATCGATATTTTTACATTGAATATCAACTATATTCTCCGTAGTATTGCTTGACTTGAATTCATCTAATGCACATAAACCAGGAACATTGATAATCATTTGATATTCACATGTTTTAATTTCATGGATTTCAAGTATATTAACTCCTCTTTGGAATTGGTCACATTTATAAACAATATCAATGGTTCTAGGTTTTCTTGTAACATCACAGATTTCCCCACTAAATAAAGTATGTTTTATAAGTTTCCGGAATTTAGCTTCAGACTCTGGTTCTGAATTACTAAAAAAACTAAATGGACCTTCAAATACAATAAAATCATTAGGATCTAGATGAACATCATGACCTTTTGTTTGATGTTCGGGTAAAACACGTTTATTCAATTTCTCAGTTCCTTCAAATCTTCCGAGTGTATAAATATGCTTAGGTAAATGAGGTTTATGATCACCACTGACAAAACTTTGTAAATCTTCATGGAATTGAATTACTTTATCACCAAAGCAATAGCCAATTGTCCAATATCCAGCATGTAAATTGTACGAAAATGTACAATTCTGGTTAATAAATGAATTATAAATGATTTGAATTGCTTTATTCTTTAATTCATCGGGAGGAATTTTAGATTCTGGAATTGTAATATTCACTTGCTGGTTATGTGGTAAGTGACATAAATAAGATCCTTTCTGCTGTTCATTGTTTATGTTTAGTATTTCGAATTGACCTTTATGTTTAATCTCTTGATTCAACCCCATAAATGATTGGGCAATATTTATTGGAATTTTTGCATTTTCAAATATTATTTGACTTTTGGGTCTTTGTATAGATTGTGTTGCTATTGCCAACGTTATATGAACCAATAGTAGTTGTAATGACCAATACATAATTAGACTCTATTTCTATTTCAATTGAAACTAAGGGGGGAGGAGTCAAAAGGTGGTTGTAAAAAGTTGCCAGCCTGTCGCACTAAAATGTACATAAACTAGCGTGAACAAAATCTTGATAGGGACATCAGAAACCATTTCGATTGTCACTTTTAAGATCCACTTTATATCTCCTAAACACTCTGCTTTAACGAAACACAACCAATATGTCAATGAGCTCAATGGAAACACCACCTCCTGAACCAGGACTTGTCACACCACATATAAATAATGATAAATTACATGAAGCTGATCAAAGTATGGATCAAACAATGACTTCAATACAAGAAAAGAAACCTTCGGTTTTCGATATTGCACAATCTATGTCAGAAAAGTTAAAGAGTCTATCTGATGCTTTGGATAAACATGATAGAGAAATGAATCAGATGATCGATGACGTACTGAAGAAAGTTCGTAATCTTGAAGAAAAGCAACGACAATCATGAATAATCAGTGTAGTTTATTTATAGCCCCAATATAAAAGTTTAATAATGTATAGATTTAGTTAATTTCAGTTTATGTAGAAATTCAGATATATTTTGCAGTTTTTGTATATTCGAACAGTTAATCCATTTCCATCAACAAAACCAATCGATTGTACAATTATAAATATTGATTGTGTAAAAAAAGATCAACTTTGCGAAATCTCATCTCAATTAATCAATTGCTCTTTTTCTAATGTTCAAAAATTAAGTAGAATGGCCAATACGAAAAGATCCAAGAATCAATTAAGACGAGAGAAGGCCAAACAAAGGAAGGTCGAAAAAGTCGTACCAGAACCTGCGAAGCCAATTGAGAAAGAGGAAGTATCCAAACAGCTTGATGACAAAGTACCGAATTCAGATGACATGTCCATAGTGACTTCAGAAATAGATGACAATTTATTTGAACAATATCAGAACATCTTTAATCGATTCACCTCTCATAAAGATGAAGAAGAGTCTCAAAGTAGTGAGAAAACATTAAATAAGAATGAAACTGTCTACTATAGCGATGATGAGGATGATCAAGATCTAGAAAATTCCAGTTCGGAAGAAGAAGAAGATTCCAAAAGTTTATCAAAACGTCAATTACGATTACAGAATAAAGTACCATTAGCATTACTCAAAGCTTCTACAAAGAGACCTCAGAATGTGGAATGGAATGATGTGGATTCACGAGATCCATATCTTCTAGTTCAATTGAAATCACTCCCAAACACAATCCCAGTTCCATCTCATTGGAGTGCCAAACGAGAATATCTATCATCCAAGCGAGGAATTGAGAAGCTACCGTTTGAACTTCCAAAATTTATTCGCGATACTGGTATTGGAGAAATGAGGGCCACTGATGAACGAACAATACGACAACAACAACGAGAGAAAGTGCAGCCTAGAATGGGTAGATTGGATATCGATTATGAAAAATTATATAATGCATTTTTCAAATATCAAACAAAACCGAGAATCTTCCCCTTTGGTGACGTTTATGAAGAAGGCAAAGAATCAGTTGAAGAATTGCAATCACAAATTTCTAGAATGAAACCAGGTGTGATATCATTGGCATTAAGAGATGCCTTGGGGATGCCACAAGATGATGTCAGTATTGCTCCTCCTTGGATTACTATCATGAAAGGGATAGGTAAGCCTCCGTCATATAAGGATCTAGTAATACCTGGACTAGATATCGAATATTCTAACACTGGATATAAAGATAAATCAAGTATAGATAATACGTCTCAGAAGATGGAACGCTGGGGAATGCTACTGTCTTTGGTAGAGTCTTCAGAAGGAGAAAGTGAAGAAGAGAATGAGGCCGAAGAAGATGAAAGTGACGCTTCCGGCTCCGAAGAAGAGGAAGATATATCAATGTCTGAGCGAAATATTCCGCCAAGTACCAAAACAGCAAATGTGGAGAATACAGAAATTGAAGACGAGGCTTCAAAATTCCTATATAAAGTACTCAAAGAAAAGACTTCAAATACACATGGGTCGCTAACAGGATTCACGTACGATTTAGGTACAAACGGTGACACGCAGAAGGTTCAACAAGAAGAGGTGCATGCGAAAGCTTCCGAGAAAGATGACGAATTCAAATTTTAATATCTTATATAAATATATATTTTATAGAAGCACTAATGTAAACCAGTAGAACTACCTGGCACGTCCCATAAATTTCCAGTATTTAATGGCAAGAAATCCATAGATGAGTCTGTATCTTTCAAAAAATCGATTATCTCCATATCAAACTCTTGGAGCAAGCGTTCTATTGTCTTTTCATAAGATGAAGAATCCAGTTCACCTAGTCGCACACTTTGGGAAATAGTACTCTCCAGAGATGGTAGTATCAGCTGACTTTTTAGCTCTATATTAGGTAACCGTCTCGACGGAGCATCTAGAAGAGTTTTGGGAACTTCCAAAGTTTCAATCTCTTTTCCTTTGTTCATGGCAATTATGTTAGCTAAATCGTTCAATGATCCATCAGTAGAAGTCGCATATAGCTTTGATAGTTTCATCCATTTCTCTATCTTTGCTAGCAAACTCACCATTTGAGTACATACAAGGGAACCATGCTCTGTTATGTTATTATTTATTATGGTTGATATCTTGTCAAAATATGATTCTATATCAATTTCAAGAACGGACTTGTCAAGATTGACAAAATTATGAGATTTCAATGATATCCTTAATCTGATCAAAAGTATTAACGCATGGAACGGTTTATAATATAGTGTAGTTGGGTAATTGACATTTTCAGCTTGATTCAATTTTGTAAAGTCAGCTAGGAGCTCTTCCCAGATGGTAATGAGTTTATTTATATTCCCAAGACAGCTAGCTTCTACATTGGAATCCAATATCATATCCTTTGCTTTAGAATTAATGATGCTCAATGCACTATTTATAAGACTTTCATAAATCGTAATTATCAAATAATGATGTTGCATTCGAAAAACACATTCTTCTTTATTGTTGCTCTTTCCCGCGTGATCAAACCCACTTTCTTTCATAATAGTGGCTAATCCTAACTCATAGCTGTCCGTTTTCTCTCTCATTCGACTCAATGAAACTGTTCCTTTCCCTTGCCCCTTCTCAGTTTCATTGCTTAACGACTGAATAAACTCCAAAATATCTTGGCCCGTAGACATCAATCGCGATACATAGCATATATATCTATCTTCCAACGTAGGTAAGCCATCTCCTGGTCTCATGAGTAATTCAATTGCTCTCTCATGACTCTTAGTCCAAGATACAATTTTAAATCTCCTAAGTGACATCTCCAAAGATCCGCAAGTACAATATACACTCAACATTGCTCTTAAGTTATTCCTTATCTCACTCGAATCTGTCAACAAGGTATTTGACTCACATTTGGGAACCTCATTTAACCCAATACACATCGAGATATTGAATGCTGTTAATGTATTTAATTGATTTCTGAAATGTCCGAATTTGTTAGGTGGTAAACACCATAACGATACAATCAAGCATGCATATATCAATTGAACCTCAAAATTATTGCATTTGATATAGACATGGTATGCAATTGACTCATATAGATAATGAGCCATCATATTGTATAATTTCGAATTTGGAATCGATTCTGAAATCAATGATGGTTGGAAATTATTGAGAGCGGTGACAGAAATACATGCTGCTAATAATAAGGGATGCTTCTCAAGCACGGTATCAAAATCTTTCAAGTCGTTTGAGAAGGAAATAATTGGATAATAGGGAACGATATTATTTATGAAGTAATGGAATCTCCTTCGTATACCTTCTATTGTGAAGCTCTTATCGAGTTCAATTACCTGTTTAACTAAATTTTCTGAGTATGATATGGTTGGGTATTCATCACTCTTTAGAACAGATGTGGACAGTTCTAACCTTGATACTATATCTTTACAACTTTTGATAATTCCTTGGACCTGATCATAGGGTAGCTCAGATAAAGCAGTTTTGTTGTTTAAATATGTCAATGCTCGCTTCGATGCGCTTTCAAATTCTGCCAAGGCCAGATTTGACTTAGTGTCAAGTTTAGGAGAAGCTTTCTTGCGCTTTCGTCTTGAAAGCAAGGCACTTGGATCTTCATCAATGGAGCATTTAAACCCAGCAGTTGAACAACGACTACAAGATTCAAACCGTGGATCTTCAAAGAAACATTTCATTTTGAGTCTACGACATCGAGCACATGCTCGCACTTGTCGCCATTTTGATGCAAATGAATCTGGTTCCGGGCTAACTGGTGTCATTATGGTTGTTCGAAATAATTGGAATCCGTCACAATACGTTTCTATAGCATTGTATCTAATACTAACTATGTGTAAATAGTAGTGTATCAGTTGGTTGTAAATAATCTCATCTCCTAATCATTTATTTTATTGCGCAATCGATCACGTCTTTTGATGCGCATTTCTCGATGTAACGTTGCAATTATTACTATCTAATTTAACAAATACAAATGTAATAATTACGTATAAACTAAAATAACAAATAATAATAATAATAATAAAAACTAACTATGCCTAATAAACAAAGAAGGGGTGGGGTGGTTATGGATTGTATGATATGAAACCAAAAAGATTTTCATATCAAAACGAATAAATATACTGTACGGGGGGTTGAAGGTAACTTTTTTTATTGTATGTTCATTTGATGATAGGGGAAACCTAAACCAACAACGGAAACAACATTAAACTAATGTATGTATGCAAGAATGAAAGAAATGAATGATAAAAAAAAACATTATACTAAAACAAGAAAAATCGGGGGATCATTAGATTCTTCTTTTAAAAGTTAATATCTGGTTTATCATCAGTAATCTTATCGACCTTAGCACCGAAGGCAGAAATACATCTAGCCATTGTTGGAGAAGATCTGGAAATAACATCAGTAAAGTAGAAGTTATCAATTGGATTCTTTAAAGGTTCTCCAAAGATCTTGGCTGATTTATTCTTATTCACTAATTCAGTGAAACCAATCTTGGCGATTTCTGAAGAAACAGGTTCAATAACATCATGTCTTACCAAATGTGGAGCAATTTCACCTAATCTGGTTCTTACGGCAACAATATCATCATATGGTAAAGTTTCATTCATGTATTCGGATAAGGCTCTGATAATCTTCCAATCTTCACGAGCAACAGCTGGAGGATTAGTAGCAGCTCTTGTTACTTGTGTTCTACCTTCAGTATTTACATAAGTACCTGATTTTTCAGTATATGCGGAACCTGGTAAGATGACATCAGCAAAAGAAGCACCCAAGTCACCATGGTGACCTTGATAGACTACGAAAGCATCCTTTGGAATATCTTTGTTTTTGATTTCATCGGCACCTAATAAATAGACGAATTTTGGCTTAGTGGTGTCTTCAGTCAAAGTGTTGAAACCAATATCTAAAGCCGCAACTCTAGAAGCTTCGCGATGTAATAAGTTGACTCCATTCCATTCAGCAGTGTTGAAGTTGGTATTCTTGGTAGCAAAATCACCAACTAATTTATAAATAGCTTCAGCATCTTGGGAATCAGCAACACCTGAACCAATGACAATCAATGGTTTCTTAGCTCCAGCTAATCTTTGACCAACCTTACCGCTAAGAGCAGCTTCTAAAGCCTTGACATCAGAACCTAATTTTTCAACATCAAAAGTGGAGTCAAATTCTTGACCAACGGAAGCGATTTCCAAGTCGGATCTTAACCAAACTTTTCTGATTCTGGTGTTTAAGACAGCAGCTTCGTGTCTTGGGTTAGTACCAACCAAAAGGATTTGGTCCGCATCTTCAATCCCATCAATGGTAGAGTTAAAGATATAATTAGATCTGATGTCAAAACCATGGGCATTGACAGCTTGTTTAACATCGGTGGTTACATTTTCGGAACCTAATTTGTTAGTTAAATCTTTCAAGGAAACTAAAGATTCGGCGTCTACTAAAGCACCAGCAATTGCTTTGAATTCGTTACCTTGTGGTTTAATCTTAGCGTAAGCGGCGGCAATGGTGGATAATGCTTCATCCCAAGTGGCAGTTTCAAATCTGTCACCGTTTCTAACTAATGGGGTAGTTAAACGTTGGTTCTTTAACCCATCATAGGCAAATCTTGATTTGTCAGAGATCCATTCTTCATTGACTTCATCATTTAATCTTGGTAAAACTCTCATCACTTCAATACCTCTACAGTCAACTCTAATATTAGAACCGACAGCATCCATAACATCAATAGTTTCAGTTCTCTTCAATTCCCAAGGTCTAGCTCTGAATGCATATGGTTTAGAGGTTAAGGCACCAACTGGACATAAATCGATGATATTACCTGACATTTCTGAGTTGATATTTCTTTCGATATAAGTACCAATTTGCATATCGTTACCTCTACCAGCAGTACCGAATTCTGGGGCACCGGCAACATCATTCATGAATCTAACACATCTAGTACAATGAATACATCTGTTCATAGAAGTCTTCACTAATGGACCAATGGCCTTGTTTTCAACGGCTCTTTTACCAACCAATTCTTTAAATCTACCACGGTCAGAACCATATCTTTGAGTCTGTTCTTGTAAATCACATTCCCCACCTTGATCACAAACAGGACAATCCAAAGGATGATTTTCCAATAACATTTCGGTAACACCTTCCCTGGCTTTTTGAATTCTTTCAGAATTAGTGTAAACAACCATACCTTGTTGGACAGGCATAGCACAAGATGCAATTAATTTTGGCATTCTTTCCACGTCAACTAAACACATACGACAATTACCAGCTACTGCTAATTTTTCATGATAACAATAACGAGGAATTGTGACACCTGCCAATTCAGCTGCTTGAATAATTGTAGCTCCTGCTTCAATGGAAACTTTTCTTCCATCGACCGTGACCTCGACATCCGCCAATCTTCTTGCAGATGCGGATATAAAACGTTTAGATGATCTTAATATATGTGATCTAACTGAATGCATTGTAAGAGTGTATATATTTATATGTATGTTTCTCCTTCTCAAACTAAATTGAACTATTCTTAATTTCTATATATCTTCTTAAAATTGAAGTGGGAATTTCAAAGTCTCTTGAAGTAAAACAAACCCTTTATTCGTCAAAGTACAATCACACAGTTAAAGTAGTCTGGTATCCTAAACTAGTTCAATTTCTATATTTTCAAAATTTTCGCTTTTTTTCTATTGGGTTTTTCTGTTGCTTAGTTTTCTTCAACTAGGAGTATAAAATTTGTTAACAAATCCCATTTATATGCAGTCCATTACATTTCAATTTCTCTGATTCGTTAAAAATTATAAGCGACATTTATTACATATATTTTTATAAAATTAATTTTATAAACTAACTATACGACATTTACGTTTGGCAATAGGTAGACGACATTTGGTCATGTGATTTCACTTCTTTGGTTCATCTTTACTAAACATTAAGAATAAGATTAATGGAGGAACAATATACATCCAATTCTTTTGAATCCATGATCTATCATCAACTTCTACCTCTACTTCTTGTTCAATCTCTTTTTCTATTTCATTGCCATTTTCATCTTTGACTTTGATTATTTTCTTTTGAATGACTTTTTCAACTCTTTGTTGTCCTGCCAGAGATTCTTTCTTTTGCTTACCCTTTAAGGATTCCGGATTTAAATTAGGTGATGGTGCTAATTCGAATGGATGTATTATCACTTGTGGACCATCATTATCGTTAGTTTCAGAATCATAATTCACGGAAATATGTTGAATTTGTGATGCTTGGTCAAGAAATACATGGAATTGGACCGATTTCAATGACTTGATGCCTTTTGTGTATGAGAAGCATTCATGGTTGGGCAAATCATTAGTTCCAAAGCAATATCCTAATTGTGGATCCAATACCATTGGGTTATAGTGATAGATTCCTTTGTCTTCGAGTATTCCTATTTCTTGGATTGATTCATCTTCAATTGATTTAATAAACAAGCTAACTTGTTGGTTGGCAGAAACTAACGCACATATAAGGAGTAGAATAAGCGAGATAACATGCATTGTTGTCTTATCAGATGGCAGATGATACTGAGAGATCTTTTCTTAGTCCGTTTCGGATTAATTATTTTTTTTTTGTCTGTCTGTCTGAGATTCAGATCATCTGGATCAACCAGCTGTTGCCAAAATTCTATGCTATTATCACTTCATCGGAGAATACCATCCTCAATACGCTGGGGTCGAATCTTTATACAGACAGTACGACATAATTCATCGTTAACTTCTTCGCAGATACAAAATATACAGCAATTTCTAGAATATGCTGCCAAAAATGGTCTAGATTCAAAATCTACAGTATTTAATGGAACCATTTATGAACTATATGTTAAGCAATTCCTTGAAAAGGGATTTCATTGTACCGAAATGATTAAAGTTGGTGGTAAGGGAGATGAAGGAGTTGATTTAATTGGGAAATGGGACTTAAGTTATTTCCATAAAAAGTCAATTGAATTATTTCCTGGTCTGAAACCTGGTGACGAATCAATTTTAAATAGAGTAACTCCTACTAATGAAAGCAATTCAGATTTGAGTGATATCAATGTTTTAGTTCAATGTAAGAATCTGAAATCAAAACTTAAACCTAACTTGATTAAAGAATTGACAGGTATATTTTATTTTCATAGACATGACCCAAAGAATACATTTATGTTTATAGTTAGCCCTCACTTATTAACAACGGCTGCCTTAAGACTGTTTGAAGCTACAGATTGCCCTATGATACATATCCAAGTGTCTTCTTTATATAATCACACTGATGATGTTTATGACTTGACAAAATATCATGGTGGTATCTTTTCTGGATTATATTTAAATACTCTGGCAAGGAAATTATTATCAGGTATCAGAATTCAAGATCTACTTGGAGATAAAATGTTTCATGGAAAAGATAAACTAAGAGCAAGTCTTTTGAGTTAGAGAGAAATTGATTTATAAAAAGTACGTAACCAATATATTTATTGTATTATATAATATTATGTTATATCAGGGGTATAAAGTATAGAAATCATAAAACCGAATTGTAAAATAAACCGAATTGTAAAATAAAACCAACAAAGAACTAAACATCAATCAACCAAAGATCATCATCAAAAACCTCTCTTAGATTCCAGTGGGTCTCCCGTAAATAGTACTCAAGATATATCTTGTAGTCCCTATAGTATATCTTGTGACAAGTGTTGTTGATGTAAAGCTTGCAGTTACTTCTTCAACATAAACTGCCTGAGAGGTTGTGCTTGTGCTAGATCTTGTGCTGGTGGTTGGACTAGTAGATGAGCTGGTGGTGGTGGATTCTGTCGATGAAGATGGGCTAGTCAGCGATGGGGTACTTGAAGTAGAGGTGGTTGACGATGTTGACCTAGTGGTTGGCGATGTTGACCTAGTGGTTAGCGATGTTGACCTAGCGGTTGATGAGGAGGTTGGGGTTGGGGTTGAGCTGGAGGAGGAAGTCGTTGATGAGCTAGTAGTAGAAGTGGTGGAACTAGAAGTTATGGTGGTGGAACTTCTGGTTGTAGTGGAGGAACTTCTAATTGTAGTGGGGGAACTACTAGTTGAAGTGGTGGAACTACTGGTTGTAGTGGTGGAACTACTAGTTGTAGTGGTGGAACTTCTAGTTGTAGTGGTGGAACTGCTACTGGAGGAACTGCTACTGGAGGAACTGCTACTGGAGGAACTGCTAGAACTGACACTGGAGGAACTGGTAGTAGAGGAACTGCTCCTAGATTGTGATTCAACTTCCGGTTTAGGTCCAGTAACAGCATTCTCAACTATAAGCTTCATATTGTCAACGAAATTACCATTGGAGAATTGGTTGGCGTACCCTGAGGAAGCATCCCACATTGAAATACCACCGAAATAATAATTATCTAAAATATCCGAAGTTAAAAGTTTAGCAACTACATCAGGAGGATTATATCCACCAGCAGGAGCAGCTCCGACAGCAGCTGGGACACCAACATATAATTTGACATTGGGGTTAGGACTAACGTTTTCAGCATAATTCAACCAATCAGTTGCAAAATTGAAAGATGTTGTTCCAAGGTTACAATAATTATTGTAGAATTGAATAAAGACAAAATCAATGAAAGCTTCTTGTAATAAAGGACCAACACTGGCATCTGGATATGGACATTGTGGTGCGGCACCGAGATAGTATGTTTTGGAATCATCTTGGGCAAAGAGTTCTCTTAAAGTATTTGCTACGGCGGTCCAACCGGTTGGGTTATTATCTTCAATATCGAAATCGAACCCATCCACAACTGCATCAAAAAATGGACGTTGATTTGTAGGTAAGTTATTACTATTACCAACCAAGTCCCATAATGCATTAGCAAATTGGACACCGGCAGCATCATCAGCTAAAGTATAGGCACCAGCAGCACCACCTAAAGAAAGCAAAATCAATTTACCTTGTGATTGACAATATTTTATATCGTCGGCAATATTTTGACATTGTAACATTCCACCGGTGTTGTATTCATTTACGACATAAGTACCTTCACAAGCATTAGCAAAATTAAAATTTATTGGATTTGGAAGTATATTCATGAACGAAAGTATAACAATATCAATGGAATCAGAATCACAGTAGTATGACAACCTTTGTTGTCCAGTAGAACCTGAATTCTGTCCCCAGTAAACAGCTACATTTGAATTGCTGGTTGGATCGAAAGTGAAAACTGGAATCAAAAGAGTTAGGTATAATAATAAGGAATTCAACATGTTTGGAATATTGAAAATTGGAAATTGGATAAATTCTTAAAAAAGGATTTTGAAATTGCAAAAATTATGAACTTTGGGAAGAATCAATTGTCAAATATATACTAATCAAGTTTCTGACAAAGTGAAGTGGTCTAAGGTTTAAATAATCGGATTATGTCAAAAAGTAAATGACAGTTGACAAGAATTTGCAGTAATTTTTTCTTGTTAAACCAAGGCGGGAATTAAATCTAGTATAGATTTCTTGTAGGTTATATGATGATGACCCAATATTTCTTGGATCTTTCTGGGGGGGAATTGGCATTTATATATACACCTTCAAAGGGGGCGATACTGGCATGGGCTATGGAGAGAATGGAACATCTGATTTGATGAATTTGAATAAATATTATTTTTTAGAAATATTTTTTTCGGCATCATGCATAAGAGTACATGCAGTAAACATATTTTTTAGAAATTTGCAACAAAAAATATTTGTGACCAAAAAAAAATAAGATCTATTCGTTCAATTAACTTTCAACCTCCTTTCAAATCACTTAAACGTTCCATAACGAAGGAAACATACGATTCAGAACAAAGCTTAATTGGAAAAATTAGAAATATGGTCTGATCTTCTCTTATTTGTATCTAAACTTTAAAGGCAATTGTGACATCTAATTAAAAAAATAGACTTTTAAGTTCTAAGAAAATAGAAAATTAAGAGAAAAAAACAACGTTGAAAAAAAAAAAGCTTTTTCTTAAAATGCTCATTTACATGACATTTTTACTAGCCCCCACAGCCAGCAAAAAGCTTACTTTTCTAATTTGTGGATCAGCATAAGTGACATATACATTCACGTGCATGACGGTGGTTAGCAGCCCGTGGCATTCAACGTTGAAAGTGAATTGTAACCTGATGGTAATTTCGGATTTCTATCCATATTGGTCTAGGTTTCTGAATCTGTGGAGAGTTAAATGGGAATAATTTTATGAAAATGGGTTCATTTCTGTCGGGAAACGTGATCTATGGAATGCCGAATAACCTTCTTTCCGAACTTCATAGTCATTTATTTACAATCTTCGTCTCCTCCTTCAAATGGACAACTGGAGAGATCTTGAGTTTATTATTATTTCTTATTTTTTTTGGCAACTAGTGTCTGGTGAGTGAAATAAAAAATAAAAAAATATTTTCGTATTTTTTCTGATGCCAGCCTTTCTAAAAAAATAATTTTAATTGTTGATTTGTAGAGCCAGCGTTTTTTTTTCTTTGACCATAATGGCTGCCACAATCGCATAGGCATTTTGCAATCCTCTAATTATTCTATGCAAGATTGCCTTATGTCAATCGCATGATGTATGCATAGTTACTCCGTTCCAGAATGTGGAATTTAGTTGAAAATGTTGTAGAAAATAATCCAAAGGTATCAGAAATTTTGAGGCATTGCAGGCAAACGCAGGAAAACGTCATGAAATCTAAACAGCGTAATTTAGATATACAAAATGAGATTGATTATATAATTAATGGGCTAACAGAGACTACTCGTCGCATCATGATTGACCAAGAATAGAATATGACGAGAAAATTTGTTCGAGAAAACGGAAGGTGAGTATTACAAACCAGTCTGATTCTGATTGAGATGAAGTCATACATCGCAAGATATTAATGAGAAGAGGTGAACTTCTATCTAAAGGAGTACGAAAACTGTGTATTAATGTTCGCAAAGGTAAACAGACCTCAGGCAGCAAGCCTGAGAAATGCAAATCTGGTGTAGAGTTTCTCTTCACAATAAAGCCTCTCTACGCAAGCAATCGGCTAAAATATCAGAAACTTGCAACCACCATAAGTAACAATGATGTAATTAATATTATCGTCGAAGAAGCGATTATCAATTAATAATGAGGGATCAATGCCTCTATTATTACACTCATCTCCACTAATGAGTAGACCCCAGATTGCCAAACCAACAAACATGCCAGCCACTTCACACAACAAAAAAATAATAATTAACCAGCAAGGGTTCTTTGTGTCAGATCTAAAACAAGTGGCTTAGACACAAAAATATGAAACAATCCATTTGTTTTAGCACTATTGTTCTCGTAATTGTGCTGCTTGCGCTATTAACAATGGATTCATGGATAGATTGAATTGTTTCTATGCACCAGCATTCTCGCTTTGTGTGTTGTGTTGCTCAGTCTATTGCATGGCATTACAAAACCTTCTGAGGAGTGTTCTTTGCATATCGAACAATTCCCACATTCCATCAGTGATTGAAGATTTTAATGTATCGAAGAATTAAACTACAAGCTTATTGTCATGAACCTTGATTTAGTCTTATTTTTTTTTGAGACAAACAAAGTTTTGGGATAAGGTTAGTGTTTTAATGAAGGTTTTTAAAATAATTCATAAGGTTCTTTCTAGAATATGTCTATATTTGGGATAGAAAATTGGTAATTTAGTTTAAAAAAACATCGTCTATTTAAATAGTGTATTGTTAGAGTATCAAGAGAGAACTGCTTTGAAGTGGTGCTGGTAACTGTGGTCAGATTGTTGGACGTTGAGCCTTCTTGGGAATTGTTTGAATTTAACTCTTTCCAAGCCTTTGCTAAGGATATCTGCCAACATATACTTACTGATTTCATGTTGGCAGTTATCGTTCCTAAAGGGTTGGAAAGAGTCAAATTCAAGCCATTCCCAGAAGTAGCGACTTGCTTAGAACTCATAATTTGTGGTCTTGTGAATGGGTGCATTGCTATCAGTATTATTTAGGACATTCTGAACAGTAGGAAAGAAAGGCAGCCTTGGTGTTTAGATGGATAGCTCTTCTTCTGGTCACGAATGTTTATTTTTCCTGTAGCAATTAGGAAGCTCTTGATTCAATTGTTTATAATTAACTTATAACCATGTATCCTCCCTGAGATTTTTCTACTTCTTGCGGAACTTTAAGTCAACACTAAACAGATATTCACATTGTTTAATCAAGATAGTACATTTTCCTCTTCACACAACGAACCCGACTGAAAGGAGGCTTCTACAATTGCCAGAGATGGGACAAGAATTCCTTCTTATTTGGATTACACATACGAAGTTTGCAGTACTTTGCAACTCGATATTTTTGAATGATGATATCTTGTTTCTCTTTATATAACTTACACTCTTGTGGATTAAGGTGATGTCAATTTTTGATAAATTTGCAGCAATAAAAGTATTTTTTAGTTTTCTTCTAGAACTGTTGCCAATTTTTTTTTCAACCAAGACAAATAAGAAAATTATAAAATTGTAAAAATTCTTAGGACAAGAAATCAATTTAAAGAGCGTCATCAGGCAAGATAAATTACATACATAAGAATCTATATTTTAAGGAGTAATGTCCAAAAAATAGAACATCCCTGATGACCACTATTTGATTATGATGTAACATTTTAGATCATAAAATGACAGATAATCTAAAATTATGTGGAGAATTCCTGCAGATAATAGATCTGCCCAATCACTCTCATGATGGAGTACAGTAAGAGTAAAAAAAAACAATCACGTAACTTCTGTGGTATCGGATCTTATCTCTGAGATCCTTTTCCGATATAGAACAGAAAATGTATCCAATCATACTTCCCATGGTCATTTAATTGGGGTTACATAGTTGTGATATCATGATTACATGGTCCAACGTCAATTAATCAACAATCTCAACGTAGCTTCTACGTTTGGAAGTATACTTTTCATAATAGAAAACTATATCCTGGTAGTGTTATGACTTGTCGGGGGGAATTATTCGGGATAATTAAGCTAGGAAACAAATTGCAACTATGCTAAATGACGTATTGACACGAACATCCGTCTACATGAAAATCAAACAAACTTGACAATAAACTCATTGTCAAAAAGGGGTGTGGGTGTTTGGACCAATTTACTAGATTCCAAGATATTATTATTGTTGAAAGAAATTACGTCATTATGTATGTTCTGAGAATACGTAAATGTGGTCCAAAGAAAAAAGCGAATCTTAATTTCTCAATTTAAAGTTTTCAAGGATTTAAACACGTAAACCACATGTACTGAATGTTACTTTGACGAAATAGGTCTATGAATTTACTTGATCAACTTTGTGTCTTAGATTGACGATCTTAGTCTAAAATTAGAAAAAGACATAAAATAGACCTTCCGCAGGAATTGACTTCTTTATTGGTAAAAATAAAACAGCTCCTATTGTTATTTAATGTTGTCCAATAAAAAGACGAGTAGAACAATGAGAGAAAAAAATAACTGACACGTGAAACTTGAGAATCCAGAATTATTTTTTCCCAATCCGCCGAAATTTCGGCGAGATTTACAGGTTATAGGTTATGAATCCACATTTTTTTACAGTTTAATTGAGAATCCCAACAAAATCCGGCGAAGTTATGTCGATTTGTGAATTTTTTAAATAATAAATAATCCCTCAGACAAAATTTTCTTTAATACACATAGAAACACAGACCCCTATTTTTTTTAAGATTTCTGGGAGTATAAATAATCCCATGATTCCCTTTTTCTTCTTTTGCTGAAAATTTTTAAATCTTCTCTTTCCTTTCTTTTCTTCTTTTCCTCTATAGACCATTCAATTCGAAATCATGTCATCAATCGACTTTAGATCTAACAAGACCGTCACTAAGGACGACCATTTATACACTAAATTCACTTATGAAAACTCTGTTGTTGAAAAAGATGCTGAAGGTAAATTACACGTCACTCCAACTGCTGAAGAATATGAATTTAAATTAGATTTAACCGTTCCAAAAGTTGGTTTATTATTAGTTGGTATTGGTGGTAACAATGGTACTACTCTTTGTGGTTCTATTTTAGCTAACAAACACAACATTTCTTTTGAAAACAAGGAAGGTGTTGTTAAGCCAAATTATTATGGATCTGTTACTCAATCTTCCACTATTAAATTAGGTATTGATAAAGAAACTGGTAATGATGTTTATGCTCCATTCAATTCTATTGTTCCATTTGTTAATCCAAATGATTTAATTGTTGATGGTTGGGATATTTCTGGTTTAACTTTAGACCAAGCCATGAAGAGAGCACAAGTTTTAGATGTTGATTTACAAAAACAATTATATCCATACTTACAAGAAAAGAAACCAATGGAATCTATTTATTATCCAGATTTCATTGCTTTGAATCAAAAAGAACGTGCTGATAATGTTTTTAACAAGACTGCTAGTGGTGAAATTAACACTGGTGATAAATGGGCTGATGTTGAAAAAGTTAGAAAAGATATTAGAGATTTCAAAGAAAAGAATCAATTAGATAAGATTATTATCTTATGGACTGCTAATACTGAAAGATATGCTGATGTTTTAACTAATGTTAATGATACTGCTGACAATTTGATTGCTTCTATTAAGAGTTCTCATGAAGAAATTGCTCCATCTACTATTTTCGCCGTTGCTGCTATTTTAGAAAAGATTCCATATATTAATGGTTCTCCACAAAATACCTTTGTTCCAGGTGTTATTGAATTAGCTGAAAAGTATGGTTCTTTTATTGGTGGTGATGATTTCAAATCAGGTCAAACTAAATTGAAATCTGTTTTAGCTCAATTTTTAGTTGATGCTGGTATTAAACCATTAAGTATTGCTTCTTATAACCATTTAGGTAACAATGATGGTTACAACTTATCTGCACCAAAGCAATTCAGATCCAAGGAAATTTCCAAACAATCTGTTGTTGATGATATGATTGAATCTAATGAAATCTTATATAATAAAGAATCCGGTGATCATGTTGATCATTGTATTGTTATTAAATATTTACCAGCTGTTGGTGATTCCAAGGTCGCTATGGATGAATATTACAGTGAATTAATGTTGGGTGGTCACAACAAAATTTCTATCCACAATGTTTGTGAAGATTCCCTTTTAGCTACTCCATTAATTCTTGATTTAGTTATTGTTGCTGAATTCTTAGAAAGAGTTCAATATAGAAAGGTTGGTGAAGAAAAATACCATGATTTCTATAGTGTTTTAACTTTATTGAGTTATTGGTTAAAGGCTCCATTATCCAGACCAGGATTCAAGCCAATTAATGGTTTAAATAAACAAAGACAAGCTTTAGAAAACTTGTTGAGATTATTAGTTGGATTACCAATTAATAATGAATTAAGATTTGAAGAAAGATTATTAGTTTAAGATTTCTGGGGGGTTAATAGTTTGTAATAAAGATGCAGCGCATCTGGCTTTAAATAAAGTATATAAAATATTTTGCTTTAATATTTAATGATAATAAAATAATAATAATAGTCATAAGATACTTTGTAGACAATTGTACAATTGATTTGTCGTGATAACTTTAATGGATGTAGATTAGAAAGATTAATTACCCCACGCAAATTTCCGTATTAGATTATAGAATGTAGAATCATAAATATCTAAATCATAAACCATCTTTGCAACCATCTGCAAGATGCGAGAGTAAGAATAAAGTTTTCTAAGCTTTTACTGATAAAACATGACTAGAAGTTTTCTCTCTTGAATTGTTTCTATTATACAATCTCAGATGCGGAGTGAAGCTAAAGATCACTGTATGGTATTAATTCGTCGTGGTAACTTGGTCATACGGTGGCTAAAGGCATTTGTAATGGTTGCTAATCGCAAAAATATAAAGATCAAGAGATTTTAATCTGATTTTGTAATAAAATAGGTTGTTCTAGAATAATTGATAACCCAACCTTTTGCAAAAAGCAGAAAGAGAAAAGAAAAAGGAAGAAAATAGAAAGTAAAGAAAAAAGGGAGAAGGTTTTAAAGTTTATGTGAAAATACGGAGAAGATTTCAGGGCTATTAATACTTTTGTATTTTTTTGCAACTTATAATTTTCTTGGTAAAAAGGCGAAAACTAAAAACACATAGAAGAAAGTGAGAAAGTGAATTCTACATAATATAAGTCTGGATGGATGGAGGGGACAGGGGCAAAGATTGATTCGTTTACGGCGGGAAATGTAAACATTGAAAATGGAGGGATTGGAAATACATATTGACGTAATAATTTTGATTAGTCGATACATATTACATTACATAGTCGTGCATAATGTGATATGTTTCGTAAATTTGTAAGGTGAGATACTGTATCTTACAGAACCATACAAACAGCCAAAAAAAAAACCAAATCATGAAACTTTCACCTTTAAAGAAAACTGTAAAAAATGCTCATAATTTCATTTTCAATGCCTTTTAACCATTTCGAAAACTGAGTGATATCTTTGATTCTATGAGATCGAATGGCATGTGTATATTTTAATTGCAACCTAATTTATTATTTAATTACGTTATGTAAGTTTCGGGTTTTAGAATTTTAGATTTTTGTTGGGTATTATTTAACTATGTAAAGACAGGGTCATGTGATACTTTATTTGCCACCATATGATTTACCATTGATTGTTCTACCATTTTTAGATATGCATGGAATGATGATGATCTTTTAGATTATAAAATAATTAATTCAATTAGAAAAACCCTTAATACAGTTATTTAATTGTTAATGTTTATTTATACAATTCAATTGTAATTCATTAATAATTTACTTAATATCTGTTTTATTGTTGTTAAAAAGATGATTTGAATATTTCGACATTTATTAAACCGCCATATTATTAAAAATCAAAATCTTTGACGATTCTTAATTTTTTTTTTAAATTAAAGTTTTATTTTTATTTTTTTAATCAAGACTTTTTTTTTTCTAAATGGTTTGCAACATCAATAAGTTACTGTAGATTTACTTAATCTCTCTTGTAACTCCTTGTTTGATTAGAATATTTGAATGACCATCTTAATCTCATTAAAAGAAAGTAATTTGCAAATGAAAATAATCTCTAAATCTCTAAATCTTAATTATGCCTCGGGATTAACGCCAATTGGTACCTAATTACCTCGGTAAACTTTTCTAAGCCGTACAATACAATACAATGCAAATTAATATTGGTAAATTAATACCGATCCCAGAAAAAAAAAATAGTGTCAAACATATTGCAATTTTATTACAAGTTTCATACGGCTGTTTTTGTTTAAGATGTGGTAGTTACATGTACATGTACATGAAATTAATTAATAGCTTGCAGCAGTTGAAACCTTTTATCTGAAATAGGAAGTATTCAATTTGGGTCCAATCGTAAGATATCGGTGTTTTATGATTTAGAAAATTTATTTTATTTTAGGGGGGAGTGGGGTGGGGGGAATGATTCGAGGGATGCTGCGGGAATGTTGTTGTTACTCTGGAATGAGAGAAGTGGGTTAGAAAAATGGTTTAATATTTTTCTTAGCATGGTTTGGTAGCAGCAGGTGCAGATCGTATCTACTATATCAATTGGGATAACATTCCGTAGACAACTGTGAAAACAGTGGCGGTTGTAAGGGTGTACATTATGGTGCTTCCTAATTAGGAAATCCAATACAAATTATTAGACTTATTTTTTTAGAGTTACATATGTATGTATTCTTATTTTTTATGTTTCTCAACAATTTAAGCTTTTCTTTCTTTTTTTTTTATGCAAAGTTGTTGGTTTTACAGTTTTTTCTATATAAATGTTTGATATTTTCCCTCCTAAAAAAATCAAAGTAACAATTTTTTATAATTTCTCCTTCTTTTTATATTTCCAACTTTTGTCTGTCTGTCTTGCCTAAATCAATTAATTGACTGTCAGAAAAAGAATCAATTGTTGTTGCAAAAAACTAATAACCATAAACTACAGACTAATCAAACTACGATGGCACCATTAACAGTTGCAGTTGGTGAAGCAAAACCAGGTGAAACAGCACCAAGAAGAAAACTTGCTCAAAAAGATGGTCCAGTTACAAGACCAAATGATTCCAAAGCAAACACAATGGCTGAATTCATTGATGAATGTTTTGAAAGAAATGGTAATGCTGATGCTTTTTGTTATCGTGATTTAGTTGAAATTCATACTGAAAATAAAAAAGTTACCAAAATCATTGATGGTGAACCAAAAGAAGTTGATAAAGAATGGATTTATTATGAAATGTCTCCATATAAATCAATCAAATATCCTGAATTAATGAAGATTATCAAAACTTATTCCAAAGGGTTAATTGAATTGGGATTAAAACCAAATCAAGAATCTAAATTGATGATTTTTGCTGGAACTTCTCATAAATGGATGCAATCCTTTTTAGCTTCATTATTTCAAAATATTCCAATTGTTACTGCTTATGACACATTAGGTGAACGTGGTTTAACTCATTCTTTAGCTCAAACTGAATCAGATGCAATCTTTACTGAAAATCAATTATTATCCGCATTAATTAAACCATTAACAAAATGTCCTTCTGTTAAATATATCATTCATACAGAAGCAATTGATCCAAATGACAAGAGACATGGGGGGAAATTATATGAACAAGCTAAAAATGCCAAAGAAAAAATTCAAGAATTAAGACCAGATATTCAATTCATTTCTTATGATGAAGTTATTGCCATGGGTGAAGATTCTAAAGTTGAATTACATTATCCTCAAGCTGATGATTTATGTTGTATTATGTATACTTCTGGTTCTACTGGTGATCCAAAGGGGGTTGTATTAACTAATCGTAATTTATTAGCTGCATGTGGTGGATTATCTGAAGTCGCTGGTAGATGGTTAGTTAAAAATAATGATCGAGTAATTGCTTTCTTACCATTAGCCCATATTTTCGAAATGTTATTTGAATGTATGGCAATTTGGTGGGGGGTTCCTTTAGGTTATGCAAATGTTAAAACTTTAACTGATGCAAGTTGTAAGAATTGTAAAGCTGATTTAGTTGAATTTAAACCAACTGTCATGGTTGGTGTTGCGGCAGTTTGGGAATCAGTTAGAAAAGGGGTTTTAACTAAAGTTAAAGCTGCATCTCCAATTCAACAAAAGATTTTCTGGGGAGCATTTAGAGCTAAGAATGCATTTAAACATTATCATATCCCGGGTGCGGGGATGTTTGATGCTGTTTTCAAAAAAGTTAAACAAGCTACTGGTGGTCATTTAAGAATTATCTTAAATGGGGGGTCCCCAATTTCTACAGATGCTCAAGTTTTCATAAGTACTTTAATTGCTCCAATGTTGTTGGGTTATGGTTTGACTGAAACTTGTGCTAATGCTACTGTTGTTGAAATGGAACATTTTGATTATGGATATTTAGGTACATTAACTGGAGCAATTACTTGTAAATTAATCGATGTTGCTGACGCTGGATATTATGCCAAGAATAATCAAGGTGAAATTTTATTAAAAGGGGATTGTATAACCAAGGAATATTTCAAGAATGAACTGGAAACCTCGGAAGCTTTTACTGAAGATGGTTGGTTTAGAACTGGTGATATTGGTGAATGGACCGAAAATGGGGGATTAAAGATTATTGATCGTAAAAAGAATTTAGTTAAGACTTTGAATGGTGAATATATTGCTTTGGAAAAATTAGAATCAGTATATAGATCATCTCCATTGGTTCTTAATATTTGTGTTTATGCTGATGAAACTAAAGTTAAACCAATTGGTATTGTATTACCAATTGAAAATAATTTAAAAACTTTTATTGTGGAAGAAAAAATATATACTAAAGAAGAAGTTGAATCAAAATCTTTAGCTGAATTATGTCATGATAAAAAAGTTGTCGCCATGGTTAATAATTCTTTGATTAGTACTGGTAAACGTCAAGGATTAAGAGGTATTGAATTATTACAAAATGTGGTTTTATCAGATGAAGAATGGACTCCACAAAATGGTTTTGTTACAAGTGCTCAAAAATTACAACGTAAAAAGATTTTAGCTCATAATAAAGAACAAATTGATGCTGCTTATGGTTCTTCTTCTTAGGTGGATTTTTAGAAAGATTAGATGAAAAAAATTTGTCGAAGATGATGTTTGTGTTTTGTTTTGTTTTCTACTTCTTGATTAGTTTACTCTATAGGGGTGAACATAATTTGTTTAGTTTTATAGGTTATATTATTTTTTTGTTTTTAATGTTATAAGTTAAATTTAGTAATATCTACATACAAATATCTGCCGAATTCAGATTATAAGATTGTTATCTGAATTGGTATCGCAAGAATGCTACGCATTTGTTTAACGTTTTAAGACAACAATTCATTAATATCTACATACATACTCTAATGTTTTCTGGATTGATATCTGTAGGGATAATGCCTCCGCCTTCGACAGAGGTTGATCCTTCATATCTACACCCCCTTAAACACCCTCTTTATCTCATCCAACCCGTACCCTTCATTCAAACACAATTGTAACAACAACCTACACTTCTGAGGATTCAAATATCCTCCCGCAATCGCATTCTTCAAAACCCCAACCTCTCCATTCTTGGCTTTCACTTTTGGTAATGCACCAATGGGGACCATACCGTCCATAGACCGTTTACTATACACAATGGGGAAGTTCGGTGGAAGGTTTAGATCGGCGAGATATTGGTTGGTTTTTTCTGACATAGATCCAGCTCCCATGGTAGCAAGCACGAGTCCCTGGGCGCCTAAGCTCTCGATGGAGACTTTGATGAGATTGTTATTGAATCCCTGATGGGCATAGAGGATGGGTATTTCGGGGAATTGGGGATTAGGGGAAATATGGAAATAAGTCAAACCTTGAGGTTTTGCCGCGGGGAAGAAATACCGAATTTCATTATTGATGAAATTCCCAATATATCCCTGACCGATTGATTTGAAGGTGTCCAAACTATTGGCATTTGATTTCGTTATATAGAACCCACTTCCGATTCTATCATTCAACGCGATCAAGACGCCTCGGTTTTTCGATTGGCGATGAGCCGCGATCACGATGGCTTGATAGAGATTCATGGGTCCATCGGATGAGATTGCCGTGGAGGGGCGCATTGATCCACAGAAGACGATTGGTTTTTTGGTATTGATTGTGGATTGGATGAAGAAAGCCGTTTCTTCCATAGTATCGGTTCCATGAGTGATGACAATCCCATCATATTTGAGTAAGTCGAGTTGGATCTTTTGATAGAGGGTGAGGATTTCGGTGTGGGTTATTTCTTTGGAATCGATGTTCATCACTTGTTCATATTCGAGTTGACATGTGGTGGATAAGTCCGGGATTGCGTTTATTAATTCTTCGATTGTGAGGTCGACTTCATATCCTGCTGTTTGATGGGATGTTAAACCTTTGGAAGCGATGGTTCCTCCTGTGCCTAGGACTTTGATGGTGGGTAAACCGGTGGGAGTTTCGTAGTCGGATAAATTGGATGAGATTGAGTTTGAACGGTTATAACGAAGTTTAAATGAGGGGTGGTCGAGGTTCAGGGCATCACTTTCGATATCGACGATTGATGTGAAACTTTGTGATTCGGTGATAGGGGATAATGGGGTGGCACTGATTGCTGTGACAGATAATACCGAGTGGACTGGTTCTGAATTGGTCATATTGACTGGAGTAGTGTTATTTGAGAAGGAGAGTAGAAGAAAGAGAATAGAATATTAATTGAAGGAGTATTTATAAATAAATAAATTCGCGAAGATCATCTTCATCAAAAATAAATCTTAAAACGGTTAAAAAATAATTTTATACGGCATCTTACTTACAAACAATACAGTATTGTATAAACCATTAGGCAATGAATTTCATCTTTAAGCCTTGTATATATTGAATAGTATGAGAACTACCATTCTACTCCTATATTTAACACTTCTGATTCAAGTCAGAGATTTGAATTACACAATATGAGTGGCATTCTTTTTATAAATTAGGATTTTTTTAAGATTTTGTGGGGGAGGGGTGAGGAAGAGGAGGGGAGATTTTATTTTACTTTGTAACCCATAAGAAATATGATATAAAAAATCTTAATGTTGTATTTATTCTATCAATTTTATACAAAACACCTTATTTATTAATTCTTTAAATGTTTATTATCAAAAGATCTATTATAAGAATGATTATACTAATGATTAATAATGAATAGGATTAACCTATTACCAGTGACTTCTACTATATATGTATGTTATGGTTCTTAACCATATGGATACACCCCAATCTATAATTTTTATTAAGATTTATATTTCTATCTATAATAACAAGGTCTATTAGTTTGAAATTGGTAGAAAGAGTTCAACACACTTGTCCTTCAATTCAGTTTTAGACTATCTTTACACCGTCCATTCAAATGCAAATACATTGTGAGATTGTGAAACTCGAACGGATAATAATCTATTATTCCTGGCGTAGCTCTTTACTTTTGATATCCCATTAGTTAAACATATCTAATTAGCAGTAATGTTCAACTTTCTATATTGAAGGCACTGAACCAAAAACGAAGTACTCCTAGGATGTTATTAAGGACCAGCCCGGGGCTTTCAGCTCTGGATTATTCCAGTTATTCTGACGACGGTGTACTTACTTCTTCATTCTTATCACTTTGATCATCATCTGACAGGTCTTCTTCCTCTTCTTCTTCTTCTTCTGGTCCACTTGATTCAAAAGAATGAAATAATTTATAAATGTCCGCTAAATAGTTAAGTTTGATCAATTTCACAGCTAATTCATCTAATCGTTTAATTTGATATAAGCATAAGATATGTCTATAAATAAAGATAATGAAATTATCTTCTTGTTGTTGTTTATCTTGTAATAAGAAATTAATAATTCTATCTCTTGAATTATTAACACTTTCATTTGCTTGTTTATAATTATTATATTCTGTTAAGTTCGAATTATAAGTTGGTTTTATAATTGATTGTTTTAAATAAGCAGTAGCAGTATCAATATCTGATTCCATTTTAACATATTTCTCATGAGAATCATCAATTATATCTTCAACTACTTCTTCTTGTTGCTGTTGTTTTTGTAATGATTTATAATAAGATAAACTTTCTTCAATATAATTATGATTAATTGATGATTTTTCATACAAGATATCTAAATCTTTAGTACATTGATCAAATATTAATCTCCATGTTTTTCTAATTTGTTNGTTGTTGTTTTTGTAATGATTTATAATAAGATAAACTCTCTTCAATATAATTATGATTAATTGATGATTTTTCATACAAGATGTCTAAATCTTTAGTACATTGATCAAATATTAATCTCCATGTTTTTCTAATTTGTTCCATTTGTAATATGTTTTGTTTAGTAGCTTCCCATTGATCATCATTATCATTACTATATTTATTTAAATAATTGAATAATTTAATATTTGATTGTTTTTGATTAAATAAATTAAATGGAATATTAAGTTCTCGTAATAATTCATATAAATCTCGTTTAGCTGACCATTTCTTAGCTGATGTCATACTTTACTTGTGCTATTACTAATCATAAGAATAATGATATCCTCTATGTATATTACTCTATAAATATATGTTTGAATAAATTAAAATTAGGGTTTATTATAAGGAAGGAAAGAAGAAGAAAGAATAAAAATTGTTCCGAAGTTTTAACTTTTTTTTCATTCCATTATGCATACAATTATTCCATTTAAACCGTTTTTGTTTTTGTTAGTCATCGCTTTATATGTTAATTCCAATAGCGTAGATAACAATACAACATTTATTGTAAGAGGGTATTATGCGTGTGTCTCTCTCTCTCTCTGTATACATATATAGATCTAATACAAAACACTATAGAACCAATTCTTATTAACACATCAATCAAATTGAATTAGTATTACTCCCGTCAATATTATTAGCTTTATTGTATCAGTAATAATGAAAAGATTTTTGAAGGTGGTGGTCTCCATTATTAATTATTAACTATGTCAGATAAATATATATATATGCTACAGTTTAGAATAGCTATACATAGTTTATAGAAATGATAGACAATTATCTCTCAATTGATTCTCATATAAATCTAATCTTCTATACTTAATATAATTCCCTACTACTAGTTTTCTATTTATAAAGAAAAGAGATGATGATACTTAATAATAATTAATAGCTGTATAGTAAAGAATTCAATTTAGACAAAAAAAAAATATTTTCAGTTCTATCAAATTTCTCCAGTTAAAAATTATTAAATTATTCATCTTATAAATTGTTGTATTTATTAACCAATCTATACACATATACATACAATATGGGTTTATTTAGCACACAGCAACAACAGGACGACGAAAACACACCTAAATTGCCACCACCAAGAGCAGAACGTAAACTATGTTGGGATAAACGTGATCAATTCTTTAAATGTTTAGAAGTTAATAATATTAATGATTCATTAAAAGAATTAGATTCAGTTAATAAGAATTGTTCAATTGAAAAGCAACAATTTGAATCATCATGTGTTAAAAGTTGGATAACTTATTTTCAAGAAAAGAGAACTAATGATTTAATAAGACAAAAATATATTGAAAAATTAGAATCAGAAGGGGCAAAACCTTTAACATTTAAATTAGAACCAACTACAAGTGATAGATAGATGGTCCAATACCCTTACTTTTACTCATGTATATAGTTCATGTACTTTATCTAAGATGCTAATATATAAATTGGTTCTTTACTAATAATTTGCTTTGTGTCTTCTTAATGTTCTTCCTTCATATCTAATATACTACTCCATTCAAATTCTCCCTTTTCAATAATAACAAAACTTAATTGTAATTCAATGGATTCACCAGGATTGATTGATGGAATCTTATATTGTAAAACTCCATTGATTAGTATCTTCCGATCAATAGATTTGAAATTCATCGCAATTGGTAATTGTCTCAACATTGCTCCGACAATAATATCCCCGGAATCATTAACAATTGTCGTCTTAAGAATATAAAACTCATCAATTGATAAGTCATTAGGTTGGAGTATCTTATCATTACTATCAGTTATCCTATTTGTAATTCGAATATTATTAAAACTCATCAATTTTCCAATCTTAGGTGTAAGTTTAATACTCCTTAAATCAATCTTTCCAACCCTTTCACCATTCAGAGTCTTCCACGTTCCAGTTAGTGATTCTAATAATTTATATCTTATCCAAAATAATTGTTTCATCTTTTCTTCTTCTTCCAAGGAAAGTTGATAATTCTTTATAAATTGTCGATTTGGTCTAAGTGAAGGTATGACATCACATAATTCATCCTTACAAATTCTCTTAACAGGGATTAAATATCTTTGTGTCACGCCTGATTCAATCTCATCATTAATCTCAAACAGGCTATCATATGCTAGGTGGATTTCTAATTTATGATTCCATGAATTTCTTAAATCTAACACAAATAAACAATAATCATTAATCTTGTCTCTAATCCCATCTATAAACTCCAACACCGATTCAAGATTCCTTCCACCACCTCTTCCATCACCACCACCACAATGAGCCAAGAAGGCACTACTTAACGGAATAGCATCACATCCAATCACCTCAATCGAATTCATAACACTAACAAAAATCGGAATATTAACACACTTCAAAAACCCCCCTCCAACACCACCCTCATTCTTATTCTTATTCTTATTGGAGATCCGATATCCATAATCCAAAACCACCTTCATTTCCTCCTTTCCAACCCCATTCATCCCACCACCTATCCGTCTATTCCTCCTCGCCCAAATCTCAAACTCTAATTCAATCCGATCCCCCGGCTGGATTAATTGATATCGTTTGATGATATCGGCTTTATTCAACATTTTGATCGGTTTATATCTCATCAAAACCCATTCTAATTCATATATCTCCTCCATATCCCCGCCTCCGCCTGCAGCAAGCTGGGACATGATTTCTTCGATTCCGGAATTGGAGAATGTGAAACTGAGATAGTTTATGCTTTGTGCACTTGTGTTGGTGAGCTCGACGCGAAGGATGTGGGATTGGCCATCGAGGAGCATAATTTGGGAGGGGGAGGAGATGTTTGTGACTTGGAGGGATGGTTGTGGGGGGATGATTTGGAGTTGGATTTGCTTGGTGAGGAATCGATCGGGGATAGGGGTGGATTTGGTGAGGTGGAGGTGGTTGATTATGTCGTCTAGGGCGTTGGTGGTTGTTGGGGTTGTTGGGGTTTGGAGTTTGATGGTGGGTTGGATTCTCTCGTGGGTTATGATGGGGAAGAATTGGTTGATGGATGATGATTGTCCGATTTGGATTTGAAACCCGATGATTTTTATTATGCCGGCGGATAATGCTTTGAAGGGGACTGTAAATATTTCTGTTGAACAGGGTGGGATGATTAAATTGGCAGAAGTCGTTGTAGCTTCTTGCTGCTGTTGTGTAGACGCAGGCAGTCTTGTCTGGCTCTGATTCAACCCAACTCGTGTCTGAATTGGTGATTGTAAAATACTCCCCACCACCACCTTCTTCCCTTTCATCTTCCCCACTGATCTCGCTGGAGGCTGTTGCATACCATTATTGTTCACCTCCCTCTCAATCGGTTTAATCAAACCAACCAATGTCTGAACCTCAGGTCCATCATCATCCTCAACAACAATTTCAATACTATTTATCTCAATCTCAAATGCATACGGATTCTGCATTCTCACATGTAAATAATTAACTTCATCCACAATCAATATCTTATCCCTATTAACCTTCGTCTTTTCTTCTTTCTCCTTGTATGGGTCAAAAAACGAATCCGTCGAATCAGTAGTCACATTTTCATTCTCATTCGATTCATTGAATGGAATTAATTCCTGGGAATGTTTCGAAGTCATAAATCTCACATTTCGAACCAAGTATGGATCCCAATATGGAATCTCTACTATCCCAGTGGTGTCGATTTTTTGTTTGAGTCTAATTTGATCATCAGGTGGTAAACAATGCACATATCTGCTCAACAACAACACACAAACCCCCATCAAAAACTGCCTATCATTTGACTGTTCCGCGATTTTGAGGGTGAGTTTTAAGAATTGGATTTGCAAACCGATCCAATCGATTTGTTTTCCCGCTTCGACGGATGAAAATTGTGGAGATGATTTGGATATGATGCCATAGATTTGAAATAAGTAGTTTATGATTTGTTTGATGGCCGGAGTGATGGATTGTGATTGGATGGAGGTGTTATTGAGTTGGGGGAAGATTGCGACTAGGAGGATACGTAATATGAAGGATTGTTTTCTATAATGGCCAATATCATGATAGAGGGACGCTAATTCGGTATAAATCTGACATTGGTGGAATATATTTAAGTCTATTAATTGGAACGTGATGATTTTGTTTATTTCTTCAATGATTTCAAATTTTGTAATGTATTGATGATCGTCGATTATTGGATTGACTAATGTGTTTGAGATGATGTTTTCAATTGGCTGTGAGGTGTAGAATGAGATAAATAATCGACATTTCCGGAGTATGGTTTCGATGAATACTATATCAGGGACAACATCTTCAAAATCGGCAGTTGTTTGATTATAATAATATACAACACGATTTAAAATAATCCTCACCAATGCAGGATATGCCACCGTATTCAAATCTGCACTTGTCAAACTCAACGAATTCAACGTGAATGAATTTCCCTGTCCAGAAGCACCACTAAATGAAGTTCTGGGTGACATCGTCGGCGGCGCCAATCTCGAATCACTCGACTTTTTCGGTGACGCTACATCAATACCACTATTCAAATTCATCAATTGACTCTTGGTAACCTGTAAAATCGGCAATAGAGTCACATTAGGTAATTGATACCCCACGCCAATATATTGTAATAATATAATACAAACAGCAATCCCTTCCAAAGTGTTACCTAACCATAAATAATCATCACATTTTTTTAATGTCGATAAACATTCTATAAAACTTTGTAATGCATCCACATATTTCCCCGCTAACAAGTAGAAATTCCCCATTAGTTTCCGTTGTCTTCCAAGTTGTCGTAATTGAGATTTTGATTTCGGATCATTAGATGGGAGTTGGGCGTTGTTGTTGGAGTTGCTGTTGCTTACCCCCTGAGGTGAAGTTCCAGATATTGGAGACGGAGAGGGGGATGATCCATTGAATGAAACGGATTTCGAACCTTGACTTAATCGTTTTTGCGCTTTTGTAATGGTTTTTGTAAGGACATGACTATCCGTTATTGATACGGGTGAACGTAATGTTATATTTGAATATGATGCTGCATATTGATCTAATGCCAGTAAGAAATTCCCACCAATATCACAAAATATGGTTTCTAATGCTGTTAAATGAGATGTAGTCCCATTATGATAAAAGATTTCTTTCTGCTGGTGGGTAGATAATTGTTCAATTTGTTCATCAGGTGTATCAAATATAAGAAGGTTAGATACAATCATACTTGAATGTTCCTTCTTTAATCTATTCAATTTATCCTCAACATCCAACTTCTCATCATATTGACCAATACCTATAACTATGAATGTTTTTCTATATGGTTCAAAATCATATAAAAAAATTGAATCAGAATCAATTGATTCAATATTAAATTCAAAAATTAATCGACCTTGTGGAAATGTATTTGAATTGAAGAATTGTAAACTTTGATTGGGGGTGATGTCTAATAATCTAATTGCTGTAACATTTGCTTCTATTAATTGTTTATATCGTATGAAATTGGTTTTAGTACAATTGTTAATTGGTAATAATAATACTTTAACAATTGATGGTGTAATGAAATTATATTTAGAATTGGACATTTTTCGTCCGTTTACTAGTACCTTTATGTTCTATTTATAGTGTATGATCTAATGTGTTTTGTGAATTAGGAATATTGCTATTGCATCTAATTAATTGTAGTTAGATAGCCTCAACCCTCTTGATTCTTTTATGTCTTCTAGTGTCTAACAAACTCTGTTGGCAGTATTGATTCGCTATGAAAGTGAACTCAAGAAATATTTTTTTAAATAAAAATAGATAGTCGTGTACAATTGATCAGAAATAGTATGTCCCGTGCAAATATATTCCAGTTTTCCTGCATATACTATCCCTGTACGCGTTCCCCTACGCGCTAAATACAAGCCTTTCCTTATGACTTTCATGTCGTTAACATTTATCAGAGATGGTCTTATTCTTCAGAGGTGGTTTCCCCCTTCCAAGTTTTTAGCTTAAACCAATCATCTTCACCCAATTTATCCCCTCTTGATATTGCGTAGTGTATCCATTGAACATACGTATCAACTCTGTTACAATATTGAAGCGGAGAACTTTTATTGGTTTATTCAACTTTATTTGATAGCTATTAATGTTTATTAACTTTAGTTGCCATCTGAACCAATTACTCTATATCCAAATTATGATTATTTAGAATTGTTATTGATGCTTGGCAAACCTTTAAAAACCAATGGATTCGCCCCCTTTTTTAAATATTGTTTTGTTTCAAAGATATACCTTTTATTTTAAAAGTCTTACTCGTATCAGTTATTCTTGATTATTAAATAATCTATAATATAAATAATGCCATTCATCGATGCAATCGTAAACGTTGCGACTTGGGAACAAGTCCAAGAGTTATCAGAAATTTATAAGGAAGTGTTAATGGAAATGCTTCCAGCTTTATATGCATCAGGTCAAGAGAAGAAGCTCGTATGTTACTTAGGGACTACAACGAAGGGAAAGAGCTAGTAAGAAAGAGATTTGAAGCTAAGAACAAAACCAAATAGGATGTGGTGATGGTGCTTAAATGGGTGTATGAGTTTGTAGATTGGAACGGTGTACTGGAAATTAGCTATCAATAGATATAACATTCCTTATTGTTTCATAATTTTTATATATCTTACTACAAAGTTCCATAAGAAGAATTGTACTACTGTTCCCAAGGTTAGATTTTACACATAAGTGCATTAGTAGATATTCAATACATTACATACGAGTCTATTTCCATTATTTTCAGTTTATTAATATGAAGATTTAAATTATTTATATTCTAGCTAAATGTTTTTATTTAAAGTTTATATTATATATATTAATTATGAATATAAGAGTAGAAAATATGAGTTTGTTTTTAATTAATACCCACAAAAGTTGAACCCAAAAATTTGCAGCAATTAAATAGATTGCGAAAAAAAAAAAATGCTCTTGTTTTCTTCTGCAGATCTAATGTTCACAAAGAAATCCACCAATTCAATAATATATTCCAATCAACAATTTTCCTAATCGCATAACCAATCCAGCAAAGACCTCAATGGCTTTGAATATTCAAACAAGTACTCTCGGGGTGAAGTTGTTAGAGAAAAATGAGACCTATTTTGGACAGTTAATCCACAGAAATGAAATTAAACCACAGAAACAAATTTACACCTCTTCCAACTACGATGGAAATTCCAGAATGATTACTCCTTTATAAACAAACCATGATACCACCACCCCTTTGAAGTTCATTATGAGGGTTTCTTCCTAACAAGTATTTAATAAATCAAAAAAGGATTGGAACTCAAATTGATACTAGTACAAACGGAACTCCACAAGTCAAAGTCAACCATCATTCGTCCTATTCCCCCAAAATGAAGTATTCATCGTTATGACAACTATTATAATTCAATCATTGCAAACACCTAGAATTATCTTTCAATCTACTGTCATATTTCATTAAATCATTACTTTCAAATCAAAGTTTCTACCATTATTATATAAAACCACAAAAGAATTTAGACAATAAAACTTCCCGGTGAAAATTGGTGCAGATACAATTTGGAGAGAGTTTGACTGGATTTCAGAGGTCGGATTAATCCTTTCATACCGAGTTAGCCACCTGACCAATGGCTGGTTTGTGTGACGGGTTAACTGACCTTCATGGAAGAAGGTTTTACTTAATCTAGGTTGTATTTAGGATTAAGATCTTAATGTGGATTCCATGGTGGTGATACAAGAAATTGATGAGAATTTCAATGGTGCTGCTCAATTATTTATGAACATTTCCATGTGGGTTTGATTTCTGGAGATTTAGCTGTCTATTTCAATCGTGGTGGTTAATGATTTATCAAATTTTTATTTGTGGATTTCACTTATAGTGAAGAATTGTTTGTGGAGACATTAATATTGATATCAAAGAAGATCAGAGTTTGGTTGTGCTACAATTTGGAGAAAGTTTGACCAAATTCCATAGGCCAGAATACCTTAATACAGAATTAGCCACCTGACCAATGGTTAGTTTGTGTGATGGGTTATCTGACCTTTATGGAAGAAGGCTTGAGTTAATATAGGCTGGAGTTGAAGAGTATGATCAAGAGTTAGATTGGGATTTAAACTTTCAATGTTGGTCCTGGGGATTTTAAATTTGATTTCGAAGGTGGCTGGATAAGTTTTCAATGATGGTGGTGGAGATTTTATTTTCATTTTGATGATGGCGACGAAGAAGTATCAATGGTGCTGGTGGAGACTTCAATTTGGATTTTGTCCGAGGTTGAAGAATTTGAATACTAGCGGTGGAAATTCGAATTGTAGTTGTCATGGTAGTGGTGGTGAAAGAACTTGAATTCAATCGTTTTTTTGTAGAAAATCTGATGTGGAGTTCGGAGAAGAAGACATGGCGGTTAAACTATGGAACATACGCAGGATTGGTGGTTGCGTTCGATCATACCACTAACATTTATCAACTCATAAGGCGGCTTACTTACCGACTATGTAATCAAACATCATTGATCGATTTCCGTGTTGATACATGAGAAAGGTATGAGCGAACGAAACCATCAATCCATTATCCGACGTCTTCAATAACCTGCCATTAAGGATAATTGGTATTACTACCTCGATTTCGCAGTATGGATCGACCACATGTCAATCAGGTCCTCAGCCGGTATCTCATGACCACTTCCAGCAACAGTTTCATTAATATTGGAATTTTCAGCTAATTCGTCCATATTCTTTAAAGTTCTAGCTTCGTCAGAATTGAATTTATGCACGGCATCACATTGATCATCTTGGAAATCTCCTGAACACACCAATCACCCTCATGTTTATAATTTGTTCAAGACAAATACAACATTTGATATATGGTTAATTCAAGACATGTTCTCAGCAATAAAGATTTTAGCATATTAAAGAAAAGACTACACAATCATAAATTAGAACCTTTTATGCAAACCTGCGCTTCGTTAATATTAAAATCAGTATTGTTGTGAATACGGGTTTCACGAATTAATAAAACGCCAATGGTTGAATTTGTACTGACTAAATTGTAAATATGAAGGAAACTGTCGTGAAAATACTATGAAAAGATTACAAGGATTAATTGATTATTTGTTTATAAATTGATCCTTAATCTTAATAATACTTGATCAGCTTAATTTTGAACTTAATTGAAATGAACACTATCAACATCATCTTGATTTGCTTGTAATAAACTTATAACATCATGACTATATTTATCTAAAACATCAGAAACCTGCGAGGCTAATTTTTCAACCTTGGTACTTTGCAAATCAACAACTTGTCTAAATATATTAACTTATTTAACTAAGGCTGCAATCTTTTCACTTTCTACACCACCTCAAAATCCAAGCAGGTCAACATCCGTCATTCTCGGCTATAGTAGCATCTGTAGTAGTATAGGTAGTAGTCGTATATATGGTAGTAGTATATGTAGTAGACGCAGTAGTAGGTGACGTGGTAATTGCAATAGAAAACCCTCTGAAGTAATTTGAGAAGTTGTATGGTCAGGAGATCATTGGTAAGGTCGAGGGATGAGGGTAGATCTTTCCGGCTTAATGTGATGAATGTGGAAATTGAATTGACATATTCAACCAATCGAGTGGGTGGCTGCACTCGTTTTCCTGGTCACCGTGAAATCTGACCACGGACATGGCATCACAGTGAACATGGATGATACCATGGTAAGTGACTAACCACTGTCCCTCTAGGGGAGGTAAATTGCAGGAATTCTTTCTCGTAGATGAAGTGGTTGACGCTAACACCTTGGAATTTACCTTTGGTACAAGGTATGAGATGTAGTTTACTGTCAGAGTCTTTTGCTTGGATAATACCGGCCCATGGAATTTGAGAGGCATCTGTGTGAATGTCGACTTCGTGATTGTAGTTGAAGTATTGTATAATGGTGAGATCAATAGTAAACTTCACGAATTTTTTCCGGCAGTTGATACCTGATCAATCCAAGCTCACAGCTCCTTTGACTGATTTGATTAAGGACAAGACCAAAAAGAGTACACCGATTTCTCATACTGATGCATCAAAAGAGGCGCTCTTGAAGCTTAAAAGGAAACTTATCCAACTACCAACCTTATTTATCTACGATCCAAATACTGTTGTCTATGTCTTTACGTTGGAGCAGAGACGTTGTTTCAAAATAGCAACGCAAGATTGTGTAGGGCGAGTCCAAACAGGGCCATGTTGGTTTGGAGGGGCAGCTCCCGGTGGAAATTAATGCCTGGGCATAATAACATTTGTGGTAAGATATACATCCACCTGTTCATACAGAACTTCATTCGGACCACACCATTAGGAAAACCGTCCTTGTCCCAGGAGCAACTTTGGCCCCTGAAATACTCATCTCAATAAGCAGTTATCATCTATACTCATCATAAGGTATATCAGTATATCAACTTATTCAGCGAAGGCTACCAAGAAACAATAGACGGTTGCAGGCAGCACAGCTGAAAGTGAAATAATTGCATTGAGAGCAACTGCCAGAGAAGCATTGAAACTCAAGTATTTAGTCACCAACATCGGATACCAAGTTTCGGATGTGATTGTACGTGAAGACAATCAGGCTGTGATCGAATTCTGTAACAACATTAATTTAAATCACAGGAAGAGATACATAGATATCTCTTACAAGTATCTTCGGGAATTGGTAACGGATAACATTAAGATGGTATAAGTGGACGCTAAGGCTAACCTACCAGATATGTTTACAAAGGCATTGGGTCTGGTGGAATTCCGAGAGCAAAGAGGCAAAGTGCTCGGGTGCAATCAACACATTATTGATGGTAGATTGATATAGAACTTATTCAACAACAACATATAAATCTTCCATCCATCAGTCATCTCATAAGTATATATCAACTAACTTATCACACATAACTATCCCTTTCTCCAATATTTATTATTGTGGAATCTGGGAGATATATATATTAATATACGATTTCCCTTTTATAGTTTGTGGTCGGCCTTACGCACATAACGGGGTCTCTGATCAACAGATTAGAAGTCAAAGTAAGAGTTGAAGACTATTAGACTATACATCGTATAAACTACAACACTAATTATTTTATTTTATCAACATCAAAGATGACTGACGTAAATTGGCAAAAGCCAGATAAATTCTACTTCATCAATCATAAAGATGAGATGGAAGAAGAATGGGATTTGAATCCAAACGTGTTTGACCAATTCCCTTACGCTAGATACGTTGAAATGAAGCATTTAGAAAAAGGTAGACAAAAAGTCTCTTTTGAAGTGGACCAAGGGCTTGCCCTTAAAATTGGCCGCTTGCCTAAGCTTGATGAAGCAAATCAGCTTACATATAATGATTGGATGACTTTCTTCAATGATATGATATTCGATAAGCATCCAACATTAAGAAAGGTTCTTGAAGAACCGGAGGGTTATGATTGTCCCTTCGTGATATGGAAGAGGATGAAAGGAGATGTATATCCATCTTCCTAGCTATAGTATTTCTTTTCTTGCTCTTGGCCTTAGTTATGAACTTTGTCCTGGGTACAGTATCATCTAACTTATCACACATAACTATCCCTTTCTCCAATATTTATTATTGAGGAATCTGGGAGATATATATAATAATATACGATTTCCCTTTTATAGTTTGTAGTCGGCCTTACGGACAGCCGGGCTCTCTGATCAACAGATCGTGTTAGGATTCATCGATCCGATCCAATACTTCTTCTTGCGGTAACCCAGAAGCAACAATTCTGATCCTACAACCCGCAATTAAGGACTTACCAGAATTGAGAGTAGCACAATCCAGATCATATTCCAAGTGGAGAAAGGGTTTTAAGAATATATTATTCACCCGTTATAAAGGACACCAAAAAGCACTTGAAGACCCTGAACATTTCGTTCCAAATAAAGAGCAATATTATAGTGGTGCTTTAGAATGTGTAACTCCATTGAGAATGACCGACATGGTGACGAAATTATGTAGCGGAATTTGTGGGAAAATGGATTGGATTAGATAAATTAAAAGATGATACCACCGCCGGGAGAATCATTGAACCTTCGATTTATTTGGAACAACTATATTTCATGAAAGGTTATCAGCCCCATTGGCCGAGCGGATGTTCATTAATACCGATCGCGAGGTTAGCAACACTAATAGGGCAGTGCTTGTGCAAATTATAAAGCTGATACTAGACTGGACAAGTATCACCACCTACTTCAGACCAATAATATCAGTTCCTCTACCCGTCGCACTTCAAGTCGGTAACGATCTCTGAATAACCCTTCATAAGATGGCCAAAGGTTCTTTTTCCGACGAGGATTTCCATGGATATTATTTCATTTAACTTCATTCTAATCTGGAATATTTTTTTAAAATTCTCAGCATCTTTCGACTATATTTTCAAGTACAGATGGGAGGAATAGCAATGACATAAGCAACCGCCTTTATTTAAACCAGCTAGGAGGATATGGACTTCTGGATTTGGAGCAACAAGTAAAAGGTAGGAAGGCTGGTTTCACAGTCTTTTACCAACTAACAATCACACACCCACAATAATTTTATGGACGTGAATAATCCAATATGTCATCAACATATTCATCCAGACTCCTCCGATCTCCAACACGGCGACCACATAAGTAATTCCATGGTACATGGTTTTGATGGGACTACCGGGATCCTGTGATGATCCGAGAGACACAAGGTATTTTTATGGACAGTTTCAACATCATTCTTTCTTTCACAAGAACGAAAAGTCCATTCTCGATGCATGGTACTCCCTAGTTACTATTAATCCAGTGAGAACCAACGCAACAACCATACTGGTCGATGAACGTGGTTTCGCGCAATTAATTCAACAATCACCCGACCCGTCACTTATTGAACGTTATGTCTCCGATTCAGACTTCGAACCACTTACCCAACCAACATTTACATCTTCCTCCATTAAGCACCATCTAAGAACCAATGAAATCCAAACTCTGGACAATATTGGCCACCCCTTCAGTCTCACCACGACGAGATGGAGACTATATTGGAAGAAATTCAAATTCTTATATAGTGGTGAAATGGAGGAACTCCATCTAGTGCGTTTAGGTCACAGTAGGTACCTTGGAATTAAACACAGCAATCTCCCACTCCGTCAGTATCCCAAAAGCATCAACCATACTGTCTACTATGCCTTGACGAAACGGTCATTCACCTACGATTATCTGCTCCCCTTTGGTTTATGTGATACTGCACATGTTTTTGGCTCATACATGACAGCTTTATTAGAACCAGATGCTGATTTTTGTCGAGTTTATCTTGATGATGTTATTTTTTCACCCGATGAAGCACCTTAATCACGTCCATACCATACTTACTCATCTTCAAACCCACCACCACACCTTTAATTGGGTCAACTGTTCCTTCAATCAAGCAGCTGTTGAATGGGTTGGTCATGAAATTTCTGTTGGCAGTATAGCTCCCGTCGACACGACTATTGGTCAAGTTCAAGGCATAGGCACACCACAATGCAAGTCTGATATCAAAAGCTTCCTTGGTCACGTTGGTTACATTCAAGACATGATCCCCCATTTCGCTCAGCTCGCACAACCACTCACTGATTTGCTTCAAAAAGCATCTGTCAACAAGCATTCGATGATCTCAAAGATGCTGTATTACACATTGTTTCATTACTTCCTTTCAATCCACTGTCCCTATTGGGGTCCATACTGATGCTTCCAATTATGCTGTTGCTGTAGTATTCCTTCAACCAGACCTTATGAATCCCACTAAGTGGCGTCCTGTCGAATATCGTTCTAAAAAAATTGACAAACATCAACAAAACTGGGATATCCATGTCAAAGAGTTCTGGGCTGTCCAGTTTGCTTGCCGAAAGTTTCGCTATTTCCTTGAAGGACATCTGTTCACATTGTGTTGCAAACAACATTCTATCGCTCAGATATTCAATCGGTATACCAACCAATCCAAAGAGCTGCGCACATTAGACCCTCGTCTTCAATGTTGGATGCTGCTGATTCTTCATTTTAAAATCTAGGTGGTTTTCCATGAAGGTTCATCAATATGTTAGCTGACCATCTTTCCAGATACCCTGCTTTGAATCCAGTCCACTCTCCTATTGCTGTTCAAGGTACTATTTCCGAATTAATTGTCCCTGAGTCGTGGTATTCATCTTTCGCTGAGGCTTACCTTGATGACCCAGAATTTAAGGATATTTACTGCTCGTTATCTGATCAAGAATCTCCTGATGAGGATACATCCACTACTAGGTCTGTCCCTGTCACAACCACCCATCTGCTTTACTATCAAGACAGATTTTTTATCCCTGTTGTTCTTCTCGCTGAATTTTTCTACCACATCCATTCTGCAGCTACTGCTGGTCCTCCCGGTATTTAAGGTTGGTATCTTGGTATCCGTCTACATTACTATTTCAAAAACATGCTAGACCAACTCACTAAATATGACCAGTCCTGCCATGAATGTTCCAGAGTCAAGTACAAAAACCAACATCCAACTGGTCTTCTTCAACCACATCCAGCACCTCGCGGTTGTTGCACTGACATAGCTACAGATTTAATCACAGGACTTCTACAAGTCACACACTTCGGCCAACCAGTCAATGCCCTTCTCACAATTGTTGATCGCCTCACACGCCGGTGCCATTTTTAGCCAGTTAATGCTGCTTCTACTGCTAGTGATTTTGCTGCTATATTGCTTCATCGGTATTTTCCATTACATGGTCTCCCAGACCCCATACAATCTCATCGTGGTACCCAGTTCACCAGTGCAACATTCCAAAAACTCATGGATATCCTCCGGGTCAAATCAACCATTTCGGTCACAAATCACTAACAATCCGGTTACGACCTCCATGTTATATATCGGACTTAATTTTAAAATGTTATTTGATAACCAGCAAAAGACGGGATTTTACCAAGACTAACCAGTGGGTAAACGCCTCTGGTCCTACTATTGTCCCAACTACTCATTTAACTTACGACTATTTATCGGTAGCTCAGTTCTCCATCAGGATGAATATGTATAAGCCAATCGGTATTTTACCAAACTCATCAAATGATGGCACAAAACAAGACGACTTCGTGACTTCAGGGATAAGGACATTTGTTGTATTTTTCAAGCCGTTACCATTTAAATTAACTTTACATTATCAAATTTAAACATTGATAATTATTTAATACTTTATATATATCATTTGAATAATTTGCATTCGTTTGGAGTAATTTAATAAGAGCAGGTTTTTCTGTATAGTTATTCTCTAATATTCCTAATAAGATATTAAGGGGGGATAAAAATAACACAGACTTTGAATTGCTGTTCATCGTATTGGTTCACACACGACTATATATATCCTACCTACGAAGAACTTGTACATCTACTACTGTTAATTCTGAATGCCTCTCGTCCCTGGATTGTAGAACATATATGTAGGTACCTGACATTCCAGTCAGTTTATAGAGTTACTTTAGTTTAGAAGTATGTTTAATTATATATGTTATTTAAATCCAAATAGTATTAATAGTTCCGGCCTTTTACTTCCTCAAGGGCTATACAGGATGTTCATTTCTACTACAGTATCTTTCTTGGTTACTTCCCCTTTCCCCCAAGCACAAGTCTAAACCCAGGACTGGAACAGGTAATATAGGCAAACTGAATGGTAACTACATATCTTGTTAGTTTACTACGGCACTACCAAATGCACTATATACAGGATGTTGAACCAAATAATTTCCAGAGGCAAAAAACCAAAATTGAAAATTCAAATTGAAACCAAAAAATCCATCCATTTCCAATTTATGGAACTCTTGACAACTTAACCATCACATATACAATTACTAACTTAACTTCATCTAAATATATACAACCAATCCGTCACATAGACATAAACATACAACTACAATGCCAGGATTGAATTTTGAAAATTATCAAAGAAATTCTTATTTATCAACAAAAGGATTCACTACTCCAAAGGCAACATCTACAGGTACAACAATTGTAGGAGTAAAATTCCTCAATGGGGTAGTAATTGCTGCCGATACAAGAGCCACTTCAGGTCCAATAGTTGCTGATAAAAATTGTGAAAAATTACATCGATTATCTCCCAAGATTTGGTGTGCTGGGGCAGGTACTGCTGCTGATACAGAAATGGTTACCCAATTAATTGCATCTAATTTAGAATTACATGCATTGGCTCAAAATAGAGAACCTAGAGTTATCACTGCTTTAACTATGTTAAAACAACATTTATTCAAATATCAAGGTCATTTAGGTGCATATTTAATTGTAGCTGGTGTCGATCCTACTGGGGCCCATTTATTATCAGTACAAGCTCATGGTTCAACTGATGTTGGGAAATATCAAAGTTTAGGTTCGGGTTCTTTGGCAGCTATGGCAGTATTGGAAACTAATTATAAAGAAGATATGTCAAAGGAAGAAGCAATGAAATTGGCAGCAGATGCAATTGAAGCTGGGGTTTGGAATGATTTAGGATCGGGTTCAAATGTTGATTTATGTGTTATGGAATTGAATCAAGATGCTGTATTATATAGAAATTATTTGACTCCAAATAGGAGAGCTGAGAAATCTAGATCTTATAAATTTGCTAGAGGTACTACTGGGGTATTGAGAGAAAGTGTACGTGAAATCTTGGACGTTGAAGAATCAGTGGTATCCTTTGGTGATGCTGCTGGTGGTGATGATAGAATGGAAATCGATACTGGTGCATAGCTTTGGCCCATGTCTATACGTAAGCCGTAATAAAACATAACTAAGTACAATTTAATATCCTGCATATAAGAAACCTTCTGGAATTTTCCATCTTACTTCGAGATCTTCGAAATATTTATTTAAAATCAGCAACTGTTATTCTCTCATTCTCTTGCAACTCTTCTCTCTTCATTTCCTTCAAACAACAAGATGGTCATTAACAATCCAAACAACTGGCATTGGGTCGATAAAAACTGTTTACAATGGTCCAAAGAATATTTTGATCAAAAATTCACTGATTTCTCAGTTCAAGATGATCATCATAATGTTCAAATCTCAGAAGTTTCTTCAGTTGAAGGTGACGTTGACGTTTCCCAACGTAAAGGAAAGGTGATTTCCTTGTTTGATATTCGTATTGTGTTATCATTTAAAGGAACTATTGATGATGAAGAAGTGAATGGATCAATTACTATACCTGAATTAGCATTTGATACAGATATTGATGATATACAATTTGATATAAATGTATATAATGAAAATGCTAAGAATAGTGATATTACTTCCTTTATTAAGAAACAGTTGATTCCCAAATTAAGAGATGTACTTATTAAATTTGGACCTGATTTAATTGAGATTAATAGTAAAGATATTCAATTATCAAGTGATAAAGTAAGTTCTACATTAACCAAACAAAATCAAGCCACCATCACCTCCACCACAACAACTCCAGTCGTTGAAGAAAAGAAACCAGTAGTTATCACTCCTATTGCAAAATCTCCCACCCCAACCAAATCCTCATCCCCCGGCACCAGCGGCAACATTCCAAAATATAACACAACCACCCTTCATCTCGACACATCCTTCAACACCACAGCCGAACAAATCTACATCACCCTCTTGGACGAATCCAGAATCGGCGCCTGGACAAGATCATACCCTCAAATTGAAAAATTCCCACCTTCCCCTGGATCAGAATTCAAATTCTTTGGTGGGGCAGTTTCCGGAAAGATTGTCAAATTGGTACCCAATGAAGAAATCACCCAATTATGGAGATTGGAAGATTGGAAATCCGGACATTTTGCGGAATTGAATATGAAATTGGTCCAAACTACTGGTGAAACCAATTTGATTGTTAAATTTACCGGGGTGCCTATAGGGGAGGAAGAAAGGGTGAAGAACAATTTTGAGGAGATGTATATTAGATCGATTAAGATTACTTTTGGTTTTGGTGCTGTGTTGTAGGAAAGGTGTGGGTAAGTTATAAAAAGTATAGTTTATAGGATTAATATACAGCTTTAGAATATTTATATACATGTGAGTGTAGCTTTTCTAGAATTAGACAAAGACAATCCTGTTCAATAATAAAATTCATTGTATATCCAGTGGCGACCACCCACCCTTTGGGGAGTCTCATCGGCTAAATAACTCATCCAACCCAATCATAGTCTTCTTCCGTTTCAACCCAATAATATACATCTCTCTCAGTTCCTTTCTACAAGTCTCCGGCTTCATTCTCGCTACTTTGTTAAACATCTTCTTCATCCTCGATTCAAGTACTTTATCTTCAGCACCAGTATAAAACTTCATCACAAGATTTCCGTGTGGTTTTAGGAGGTTGTGACTTAGGATTAGGGCCGCATCACAGAGATCCATGCTTGCAAAGTGGTCGACGTCTTTTATGCCGGTGACGTTGGCCATCATGTCGCTGATTATTAGATCGACTGGTCTAGATAAGTCGGTGCCACGATTTGCTTTGGTATTTGCCGAAGGCAGAGTATGATCCGAAGGATCATTCTGTTGGGATGTAGTTGTATCTGCCCCAGAATAAGTATCGCTTGCGCCACTATTCGTCTTCGACGAAGGATCTGCCGAAGGCAGGGCATTAATTTGGCTATCTGGATTAACAACACTTGCGATGGTATCTACCTTTGGCAGATTTGCTAAGGGCTCAGTCAAAGGCCAAGATTTAGGCTTCTTCGGTGGATTATAGATAGGAATCTCCTTTGGGTCTGACTGTTGCTGCTGGTGGGCAGCAATTGAATCTTCCTTTGGCAGATTACTAAAAGGCTCCATCAGTGGTTCTGCCTCCGGCAGAGTATGATCCTTCGGATCAATCGCCTTCGTCGTCCTAAAATGTTCCCTTATCTTCTCATGAGTACTCTTCTTCAAAATATCCCCCTGAATAAACCAACTCCCCTCCGGGGCACCACACATAATCAAATCCACTCCTATGATATTATACGGCTTCTTCACCTTCTTCATCTCTTCAATCGCCACTTGGGTCCATGCTCCAGGTGCAAACCCCAAATCTACAATATTTGTAGATGATTTATTGAATAATTTGAATTTTTGATTTAATTCGATGAGTTTATATGCGGCTCGCAGACGATATGATTGTTGTTTGGCGGATTTGGCATGGTGGTCGTTGATGTGACGGGAAACCCAGAGGGTGGAGGATTTGCTGGATTTGTGTCGTATGGATGTGATTGGTTGGAGGAGTCGGGGCATTGTTACTGGGTGGAAATGCTTATCTTATCTATGAGTTTAATTAAGCTCATCTTTGTCTTAGTAATGAAGAATGAAAAATTTAATTAACGCGGATATTAAGCGATGGGGATGCTACCATATGGGTATGCCATAAAAACGTGCCAAAGTACGAGGAGAATTCGAAGAGAAAGATGATGGGTAGAAGATACAAGGGTATGAAATGGTGTGATAGAGGTGGTCAATAATCTAGATGAATAGGTAGTAGTGGTTCTGTTCTGTTCTGTACTGTAATGAATTGTGGCTATCTAATTAATTAATTACGTGATAATTTCGGCTGATTTCTCAATTAGGAATGAGAAACCCGACACAACTAACGAAATTTTTTTTTCACTTTTCCCCTGACTTTCTTGTTGACCCGGACTTAAGAACCAGAAAGTATAAATTTCCATCGTCTTCTTCTTACTTCCTTCAAGCCTTTCTTTCAATTGAATAAGCCTTACTATTAATTAACTACTATGTCTGAATCCACTGTTGGAAAGTATGTATCTCCCAGTCAATTGACTTTCATAAGAGATTGCTGTGTTTAAAATTGTTCAAGTGAAAAATTTCCAATGGGGGGAAATTTCAGGGTTTATATGGCCGTGATGCCCACCCTCCTTTGTTAGCACCCTAATAGTTATATGCCATAACCACCACAGTTCCACAGGATCCACACTACTCACAATACAATTTACACAATTACGTCACTTCCAGAATATATATACTAACAAACCTCCCCAGCCAATTATTTGTAAAGCTGCTGTTGCCTGGGAAGCAAACAAACCATTAGTCATTGAAGACATTGAAGTCGCCCCACCAAAAGCCCATGAAGTCAGAATCAAAATCTTAAACACCGGTGTCTGTCATACTGACGCCTATACTTTAAGTGGAGTCGATCCAGAAGGTGCCTTCCCCGTAGTATTAGGACATGAAGGTGCTGGAATTGTTGAAAGTGTTGGAGAAGGGGTTACTAATGTCAAAGTTGGTGATCATGTTGTTGCATTATATACTCCTGAATGTAAGGAATGTAAATTTTGTAAATCGGGTAAAACTAATTTATGTGGTAAAATTAGAGCTACTCAAGGAAAAGGGGTTATGCCAGATGGTACTTCTAGATTTAAATGTAAGGGCCAAAGTTTATTACATTTTATGGGATGTTCTACATTTAGTCAATATACTGTTGTGGCCGATATTTCTGTGGTTGCTGTTAATCCAGATGCACCATTCGATAGAACTTGTTTATTAGGATGTGGTATTACTACCGGATATGGAGCTGCTACTATTACTGCTAATGTTCAAGCAGGTGATAATGTTGCTGTTTTCGGGGCTGGATGTGTTGGGTTATCGGTGGTTCAAGGTGCTGCTCAACGTAAGGCTGGGAAGATTATTGTTGTTGATATCAATAACAAAAAGAAAGAATCGGCTGAATTATTCGGTGCTACTGATTTCGTTAATCCAACTGAATTACCAGAAGGTGTTACTATTGTTGATAAATTGATTGAAATGACTGATGGTGGTTGTGATTTTACTTTTGATTGTACTGGAAATGTTCAAGTTATGAGAAATGCTTTAGAAGCTTGTCATAAAGGATGGGGACAATCTATTATTATTGGAGTTGCTGCTGCTGGTAAAGAAATTTCTACCCGTCCATTCCAATTAGTCACTGGTAGAGTTTGGAAGGGAAGTGCTTTTGGTGGTGTTAAAGGTAGAACTCAATTACCGGGATTAGTTGAAGATTATTTGAATGGGAAATTAAAAGTTGATGAGTTTATTACTCATAGACATCCTTTGGAAAAGATTAATACTGCTTTTGAAGATATGCACCATGGTGATTGTATTAGAGCCGTTATTAATATGTAAAAGCTTTTTGTATTTATGAGAGAACTGAGTATTTATGTATAATGCGTCTATAAACGTGTTGTTTTATCCATCGATTTCTAAATCACTGTAGTTACCTTCTTCATCGGCAGATAAGTCAGCAGCAGCAGGAACATCGTCGTCGTCCTCGTCATCTTCATCGTCTTCTTCCTCTTCTTCTTCATCACTATCTATGAAATCGTCAACACCATCCGCTCCCATATCAATATCCTCATCCTCGTCATCCTCAATCTCTCCATTATACTTCGCGTCATCAATCTCTTCAATATATTCCACCTCACTTTCGCCGTCTAATTCATCCTCCTCCACATCACCCAACTTCAAAATCTCTCTCTTCAAATCATTCTGTTCATACAACATATTCAACCTTCCCTGTAATTCCAACAATCTCGGCAAAGTATCCCCCTTCTTCACCAAAATAGAATGTATACCCGCCAACTTACTCCCACCAACACCTTGAGATAACCCGACAATCAGCGATCCATGAATCACAAGTATCCATTTCAACCAATATATCAACTGGTCAAATCTCGATTGTTGTCTCGCGATCTTGTCGGAAATTCGATCAAGAAGTGAAATCGCAATATGCGGGTCGATTCTCGAAATGGTGTTTTTGATGATGGTGGGGTCACGATTGGATAAGACTGTTTCGAGGAGCGAGTGGTCGTTGTTTTTGATGGATTGGGTGAGGATGATGGAGAGGGATATACCTGATCTTGCGTCTGTGAGTTGTTGTTTCTTGGTGGTGGTTGGGAGTTGGGGTTGTTTGACTGCTAGACGGTTGAGTTTCTCCGCGAGAGATTCTTGTTCTGGTTCGTCTTCATCCGAATCTTCAGTTATTGAAGTTGTGGCCCCGTGGCTGATGATGGCGTGACCTTCGGTGTAGAGTTTTGCTGAGGCTATATCGTGTCCATAGGTTGATCTATTGGCTGAAGTGGATTTGAAATCAGGTTTTGGTTTATGGATGGTTTGATTTGTAATGAGGGTAGTGGTACCTGTTTCATCGATCCATTTGAGATTATCAAAGAATGAAAGGGATGAATTTTCTAACCAACTAAACCAAATTGAATCATCATTAATTGAGATTGAAGTGATTGTCATATTTGAATCTTGTGGGGATTTGATTTCTTCTTGGGGACGAGATAATTTGATTATGGAATTCGGTTGACGAGAAACACTAGCTACCTGTTGTTTCTTCTTCTTCTTGGATGGAGTACCAATGGTGGTGGTGGATGGAGCTGCTGATGATAATGGATTATTGAATATTTCCAAATTTCCAACTTCGTTAATAATTGTCAAAACACTCATATCATCCTTAATTCCAATGGCAAGATCAACCACACTTGTCAGAGCAACAAATACCGCTTTTGGAGATAATTTATTCACTTGATATAAATTTATAAATCTATCACCCTTTGCACTTGTCAAAAATGAATCACCACCAACACCAATAATTGAATTAATCGGTTGGATATGTCCTGGAAATGTCTTTACGATCACTTTATCTTCAATATCAAATAAATAAACCGAATGAGTCCCTAATAATAAATGTAATTTATTATTATATTGAATACTTGAGATTCTCATAACTGATTCAATAGTTTCCATATATTCACCAATCTTAAATGATTGTACTAATGAATATGATTGTAAATCCCATTCAAAGATATTCCCTTCAATATCACATGCCCATCCTCTGGCTTTTGGATCAATATAAAAATCAGTGATTTCGACATTATAACTAGTAGTTAATTCACTGATTATTTCATTGGTTTGAGGAGAATAGATTAATACACTTCCTTTAGTTAAACAAATGGCTAATAATTGTAAGTTATCAGATGATGCTATCCAGGTTAAATTGGTAACTTTCGAAGATTTATCTAAATTAAATGAAGTATTTAATGATGATTGAGTTGATGAAATTGATTGAACTTTTATTTGATGAGTATCTAATGCAATTTGTGCAGATGCTAAATATTGGTTAGTTGGATCGAACTTGCTTACAAGTATTGGTCCACTTGTTGATGTCATCTTCTACACTAATTAGTTTGGTTTGGAAAGAGAGAGATCTATTGTGAAGTGAAATTAATTATAAGAAACAAATAGAGAGGGAGATGAGCTTCTCGGAATTTTTTTTAATTTTTCACTTAAGCCAATTGTCGCAAACAATTTCGATGTGTCGTTTTCTTGCGACAAACAATAATTAATGCTATGAAAAGGACGAAACTTGAAATTGTTGGGAGAATATCACTTTCTCTATTTTGAGTGAATCATCTTTTGGGTTAGATATTCTTGGATTTGATTAGATACACCATGAATTATGTCGATTCGTTCCACATTTTTTATTACAAATAAGGTCTGAGCCCGGTGGATTTTTTTTGGATGCAAAATTTTCTGCACCAAGCCCATTGTTGCTTAACATCATATATGAGTGTTTATAAGGTTACTTTTTATACAAATTTTATGTATTTGGTCCACATTTTATTGATATTTCTATTGTAAGTATTCTCTAGAAGTCAGTATTATTCAAGTTACTACTTCGTTAGTTAATTTACGTTTCGCTAATTTTTTTACATTTGATTAAAATCTAATACTTAGTATTATACTACTCTACTCTCTAAAACAAAAAAAGTCTAATCTACTCAACCCCAACCCAAATATCTGCATAATATTGAAATAAATCTTGTTCCCATTCAGCATATTCTATAAATTTCCCCTCCAAATAACTTTCTCCACCATCTTTTTGCACACCACCTATACTAGAATATACACAGAACATATAAGTCCCACAAAGTTGTCTATGCCACCATGGACCAGAAGGTTCATCATTAATATTAGTCCTTTGCTTAAACTCGGGATCTAGCGGAGGTACAATCGCTTGCTTGATCTTTAATGGAGCGTTATAAAATGTTCTGAAAGCATCCACATTATCAATCTTCAATCTTGGCCCTTGTTCCTTGAATTCTTTTTCATAATTCACATTTTTTAGACAATAGTTAAACCCGGAATTTATCCAGGCTAAAGTATGATCATCATCACCATCTATATGTGCCGGATGTGCACTACAGATTTCTTTAGATGTATCGTCCCATCTGGACGGTGTCTTATTTCTGGCGCTGGTGTGACTTCTCCAACCGCCCCAGCAAAATTACTATTGAATTTAAATGATTCATCTCCATTCATGACAAATCCTAACCAGAACAATTCTTTATCTCCATGAAATTGTCGTTTTAAGGGTCAAATAAATTTACCTGAAGGATCATAAGAAGGGATGAATAGTGGATATCTCGATTCAATACAACTACGCCGGATTCCTGCATGTGATATAACCTTCTGAATGATTCTAATTGTAGGGTATAGTTTGTAACCATGGGTATATCAAACATCATCGAATCCATGACATTAGGAGTTAATGATTTGAAAAAATTAACACTCCTTTCAGAATGACGCTTCCCTAATGAACGATCGCGATAAAAATATGCGCCAGTGGATTTATATCCTGGTAAATTGAAGAAATATTTTGGATTTTGTAAAAGGACAGCATCATTATCGAGCAAAATAAATTCTTCGAATGAATTAAACATCATGGCTAAGAATTTATTATACCAACGCCTGAAATTGGTTCTGAAATCACGATGAATGGTTTGATAAACGTTAACGAACCAGATGTCTTGCTTAGGTAATCCGCCTGATCTATATTCCGGTGGGAACATATATGATACTTTCTCAAATGATTGGGGGAAAACAATAAAATCGTCCCTAGCAGCATTGACTAATTTTTCTTTGGCTCCAGTTGATATTTCCTCATAGGAGACGATTTGTATAGGTAATTCATTATTCAAAGCTCGTAATAAGTGGACTAAATTAACGGTAGTATCTACATCAGATTCGGGGATTGTTAGCACTATACCTCTTCCGTTGGTGGCTTTTTTAAACTCTTTTAAGAATGACTCATGGGGTCGTTTAGCTTTCTCTTGTTTGTTGAGGGTCTTCATATTTGGTGGTTGATAGAATTTGCTTCCTGTCCAATGTTCATAAGCGGGATAATCAAAGGATAACCAAGGATATACTCTATGTTCAAATATACGTCCATCATCTCCAATATTGGTTCTATCTTCGCTTTCTGTGGATGCAAAATTACTAGTACTGCCTACCAGGTTTAATACTTTCTTTTGATGACTGATATAACGCTTGACCAGCGCAGTTTGAGTAGTATTATTGTTTGTAACGTAGCATTTATTAAATATACGGAATATGGAAACCCAATCTGTGAAAGTGCGTTCCACTTGCTTATTCCACATCTCTTGGTATCCTTTCTTGATTTTCTGTTCTATATCATCCTTCTGTTTTTCTTCAACTACTTCGGCTTCCTCATCCTGTTGGTTCTTCAATTCCTGAAGTCTCGCCTCTTTAAAATCTCGATATTCATCAGTATTATAATTCACATCCCAATTTCTATGAATATCATAATACCAATTTGCATCATTAATTACTAAAGTTTTAAAAAATAACTGACAACGATCATGAAAATCTAGGTTCCGTAATACTGAACTTATTGAATGATGGCTAAATATTTGCTCATATATACCCGAAGATATTTCATCTATTTCTCGTAAATCATTATATTCTGTAGATAACATTAGATATGCAGGGTCCATAGTATAATCTACCTAATCCGAGTCTGAGGTGAATACAATTTGTCGTACAATAGGACGTTCAATAGTACGGAGTGGTAGTTGTTGTGGATCAGGAGCAAAGTTGGTAAAACCTGCTTTCAGTATGACATATGCAATGACGAATAACCATATTGTTAAGGGGATGAATATTATTCGAAATCTTTTATGAAGGGGATTGATCTTAAAATTGATCTTGAAGAAATTCATCATTTGGGTGCAAAAGAATTGAAAAAAAAAAATTGATTTTTCGGTAAAAGTTGCATTTAAATAATTACATAATATTTTATATATATATATATATAATAATTTAGTACAATGTATGTAAAATACAACAGGTGTCAATTTTGTTTTTTATAAAAAGGTTTGACATAGTTTTTGACATATAGAAATAAGATTAAAGATTGTAAATGTAATTTTTTTATTAAGGTTACATCCTACTTACTTACTTGTAGTATCAGAACACGTTGAATAATTTTTTTTTTTTCTTGTTAGAAATTTTTTTGGTTTGAGTTTTTTTTTTTCTTGGATTTTATTCTTAAGAGTGAAACGCAATTATTGTTCTATGATAAGGTGTTGAGTCCTTGGCAATTAAAAGGCGGTCTCTGATTTAAATTTATGGAATTGGAGTTATTAGTTTGGGTTAGAAAGACAGAGGTATACCAGTCATATTTATGTATAATTAACCTATATAGATATTATAAATTACATGCCAACTACGACTTCTTTCTTCTTTTAATATCAGGAGTATTATCATCCACCAATTCTTCAGAAGTAGACTTCGCTTCCTCCTCCAGTTCCACCTCATCATCATTTGCATTTTCCTCTCTATTTTCATTTCCCCCATTAGCAATATTAGCAATATTTATTCCACCACGAGATTGTCGCCTCTTATGCAAACTAGGCAAAGAAGTACTACTCGGATTTGCCGACAACCCCGACGACGCCTCCGACTCCCCATCATCCTCTTGATCATTAAGCTCATCATCCAAAAATTGAGGATGTTCAATTTGTTCTTCAGTATCTTTAATCAATTGTTCATATTCTTCTCGTTTCATTTTTCCTTCTTTCATTAATTTTTTAAATAATTCACTTTCAGATGTTAATTTATGATGATGTAATGAGGTGAGGATATGAGGTTTGGGGGATTTTGTTCTCATTAATAAGATTTCTTGTTTTGTTGGCATACGTGATGCACTTCCCTGTTGATGAATTCCATGGGTTTTGGTATTTGCATTCGTCGATGGGATGGTGCTTGCAGCACCACCGGTGCCACCAAAAGATATTTCACAAATATTTAAATTTCGATTTGGATCAATTCCTTTCTCATTCAATCTCCTCAAACTTTCTTCCCCCTGTATATCTTGTTTAATTTCCGGTAAGATTTCTCCACATTTTAATGCGGCGGCATCTTGTGAAGTGTATTCTTTAGCATGAGCAATTCTGCTATGATTTAAAAAACCTTGTGCTGATGAGAAATTACTTCGTTGACAATCAGGACATTTTAGACGGACAACTACTCCATCTGTTCTTCTATAGAGACAACCTAATGCTCGTTGGTTATATGGTGGATACGCCAGTGGTTGCGGGTGTTGTTGTTGTGGATATGAGGATTGGGAAGTTGTGATATGAGAAGTACTTGATGGACGTAATGATGAAGTAGTTGATCTTGTTCTATATATATGACCACTACTGCTGCCAGCTGGTGTTGGAGGCAGTATTCCAGCAGGGTTCACTGGATATTGGCTATGTTCAATGGGAATCCCTTGGGATTGGTGTTCTTGTAGTGGTTGTAATTGTTGTTGTTGCTGTTGTAATTTCATGATATTTTCATAAGTTGATGATAATGATTTATTCAAAATGTCAAAATATTTAATAGTAAAATCATTTGGTTCATTAGTTAGCTTTACATCAGTAGGGATATCAAAGAATTTACGTAATATTAATAATTGTGATTCAATTTTATTAATTTCTTTATTGGTTAATTGTAATTCTTTATGTTTTAATTGAATTTCTAAATCAATTTGATTGGTAATGATTTCNGTTAATTGTAATTCTTTATGTTTTAATTGAATTTCTAAATCAATTTGATTGGTAATGATTTCTTTTAATTTATCCAATGGAATCTCTTCAAGTTTCTTGAGAATTATCTCTTTATGATTGGTGGTGCTACTACCACTGCTACTACCAGTGGCTTCTACTTGTTCTTGTTGTTGTTGTTGTTGTTGTTGTTGTTGTTGATTTGCCATTGTTGTTGTATTGGGTGATATACTTCTGGACAGTGTGAATTCATTTGGAGTAGTTGCTATGACTTCACCTGGTGATATACACTTATCTATCTGTTTCTGTATATCTTCCATCTTCTTTATGTTTATTCCTTTGAATGAATGAATGAAAGAACAAGGAAGAAGTAAGAAGTAAATTAATTAGAAAGTTTAAATTAAAATCACAAATAGAAAAGGACGTGTACTTTTACTCAAAAAAGCAACAACGGTTATTAATTGCAATAAATTCCTGTATATAAGACTTTCCTTATCTTTTATCATTGTAAGAGACGATGAAGAAACATAACAAGAACACATATCAGAGACATTAGAATTAGATCAAGTAGGAATATAGATTAATTAAAGTTAACAAATCCATCTCAACTAATTACGACTTCTTATAATACAAATTATACATACAATAGCCGTCCCCCCCCCCCCCGTCACCATTAAACGTAAGTGCGTTAGGATGGGTCTACACCTTGGATAGCGCTAGATGGTGATGAATTTGGAAGGGTGGTGTCGTTTAGTCGTGTGCGGGGGTAGCCATTATAGTGAAAACAAACAAATCAGCAAGCAAAAATTATATTGGATAGATGATTCAGCAATGACGCCGATCGAGAGAGATCATGACATGCTTGATATATTCATTTATGTGGATCAAGCTTCATCAAAAGATTATCCATGGGACATGTAATTTGGAATGAGAGTGGTTTTTGTAATGGGTGGGGTGTAGATTAGGGTTAGCAATACATTGAGTGGGGTTTAATGCTAATGATGATGAGGTCCATTGGGAGGTTGATATGGGACAGTAGAATAAATGATGGTTCGAGGTTTATTCCGCTGACATAGAAGACAGTGGCCGGTTCGTTGATATCGAGATTGATGGCTAAAAGTGAGCCTAGTGTGAAAAGGTGAAAAAGTGTTGTAGGTAATCGGAAGCAGATTGTCTGTTGTTATGCAATTGATTCCAAAATTGTGTCCAAACTTTCGTTTGTGTGTTTGCAAGAAAGTCTAGTTGAGACCATCTGATTCCGACTACAACACTTTCATCTTTTCACACTTGGTAGTTACAAGTTATTAGGGACAACGTTCTATTAATATCCCACTTATTAGAATTTTTCTTGGAAGTAACCAACCAGCCCACCAGCAACATTCCCAATTCATACCCGGTCCACGTTGACCTACTACTACTATTACATTCGGAGAGCGACTTATTTCGGAAGTTAGCAAAACAGCTGATGCGCGGGAACATTCATTGGTTATCTTTCAAAGATTACACAAAACTTGGAATGACTTGTTACCCAGATATACATAATTATCCCTCCACCAGACTTTGTACAACATTACACAAGAACACAAGAATTCTCGGATAATAAATGCCTTGTCTTATTTTGCTCCCCCACACAAATTCACACATTCAATATTTTAATCGCCGAAAAAAGGATGTTCCCCCAATTCTTTATAAATACCCACCTCATCTCTCCCACTGTCACGTTTTCTTCATATTCTTAATTTCATTCTACCAATCCTGCCAATCGATATAGAAACAGTTAAGAAGAAGAACAATGTTCAAGAGAAGTATTCTTAATTGTCATCGTCGTCTTATTCCAAGACAGACAAGAATTGGTTATAGGAGATCTTATTCAACTGGATCTACTACCTTATCTTCATCATTGAATCCGGCATTGGTATTTATTGGAGGATCAATAATTGGAGGAGTGTTAACATATCAATTTGCTTCCAAGTCCAATTCAACCACTGCTGAAAAGTCAATTGCACCTGCAACTATCACTACCAACATCGATCTCGCATCAACATTACCATTAGATAACCTCTCCCCACCAACTTATTGTACCGATGAACAATTACAACAAGGTATATCCGAAATCCGTTCCCTCTTCCTCCAGACTACCCCCCATTCATCCACCGTTGACGAATCCCTCTTGATCAACAATACTCAAGAACAATTAGATTCCCATTCCGATACATATTTCAATTCTCATCATCCAAAACCTCATGAACGTCCAAAATATGTCGTATACCCGCGTACAACTAAAGAAGTTTCAGAAATTATGAAAATCTGTCATAAATACTCCATACCCGTCGTTCCTACCAGTGGAAGATCATCACTCGAAGGACATTTTATTCCTACTAGAGGGGGGATCTCAATTGATGTAAGTAACTTATCGGAAATCTTACAATTGAATCAAACTGATTTAGATATTAGTGTGCAAGCCGGAGTCGGTTGGGAAGAATTAGCGGATTATTTAAATGATTATAATTTATTATTTAGTTCTGACCCGGGACCAGGTGCAACTATTTCAGGTATATGTGCGAATAATGCCAGTGGGACAAATGCAACCAGATATGGAGAGACATATAAGAATGTCCTTAATTTGACAGTTGTATTAGCTGATGGTACAATCGTGAAGACTAAACAACGTCCAAGGAAGTCGTCGGCGGGATATAATTTGAATTCATTGTTTGTGGGGAGTGAAGGAACATTGGGGATTATAACTGAGGCCACATTGAGATTACATGTGAAACCCACTGAAGAATCGGTGATTGTGGTTCCATTTAAATCAATTCGAGATGCCGCTAATGCCGTGAATGATATTTTGTTGACTGGGATTCAAATGAATGCAATTGAATTATTGGATGATAAAATGATGAAAGTTGTAAATGCCAGTGGTGAAACCAGTAGGAAATGGCAAGAAATGCCAACGTTATTTTTAAAAGTTGGTGGACCCAATATTAATGTCATAAATGCCACCATTGATCAATTGAAATCCATAACTACCAGGAACAACAATCTTGATTTCCAATTTGCGTCTAATGAAGATGAAAAGACCGAATTATGGTCCGCGAGAAAAGTCGCCCTTTGGTCAACTATAGATCATGGCAAATCTTTGGATCCAAATATGCAATTATGGACAACTGATGCCGCTGTGCCTATTTCTCGATTACCCCAATTCTTAACTGAAACCAAAGCCGATATCGATTCTCATGGTTTAAAGAATACGTTGGTGGCTCATATTGGTGATGGGAATGCTCATAGTTTTATATTATATACTCCGGAAGAAAGAGATGTGGCTGAGAAGGTGGTGAATAATATGGTTCAAAGAGCGGTTCAATATGAAGGAACATGTACTGGAGAACATGGGGTTGGATATGGGAAAAGACAGTTTTTGTTGGAAGAAGTTGGACCAATTCCAATTGATTTAATGAGAAGAATTAAATTGGCTTTGGATCCAAAAAGGATTTTAAATCCTGATAAAGTATTTAAAATTGATCCAAATGATCATGAACATTAACCATAACAACATTTTATATTAATTGTTTATTATTTATAAGTGTTTCTTATTAAAATTTTGGAGATATTTCTACATGTTTATTAGTGCGGAATAATATTACTCTTTTCGGATGTTTGTCAAGAAATGGTAACAAATTGCGCGACGCGTAGTTTCTACATTTTGGTTTTCTCGATCTCCTCATATGATTCTCATCTCTAGTTTAGATTCAACATCTTTAGCAAACCACAAACAATCCGATCAGAATGTCCTCAACTAGCTCCAACTCATCTGACATCCCATTAGCAACAATCGCCAGAATCTTTAAAGAACTTTCATTCAAAGATCCAACAACAACAATCACAATTTCTACATTAGATTTATCATCAGAATATATAAAATTATTCATTAATGAAGCAATCTTACGATCAAATGAAGAAAGAATAAAACAAAATAATGGTGGGTTGGAGAATGTGGTTATGGATGATGATCATAATGAGATGAATACAAGTAGTACTCAATATCCTACCATGGATGAATTAGATGTAGAAGAAGTAGACGCTTCTGATGATGAGGAGGATGAATATATTCTAAATGATGAATCCAATACTCAAAAACAATTAAAACAAGTCAATCAAGAATCGAGGGGACGTGTGAGTGGTAATGGTGGGTCAGGGAATGATACCTTAGATTCAAACCATTTGGCAAAAATCGCTGGAATTCTTTTATTAGATTTCTAAACCAAAGACACCTTTCCAATATCTACAACATTCCAATAACCTAATAACAATTTCTTCTTTTCAGGAGCAACAACATCCTTCAAACTATCCGGGATTGAACTTGTCATGGACACATATACAGGCAATCTCAAATTGAACACCTTGTCTCCTCCTGTTCCTTCTTGCTTGTTGGATAGTTTGATGATTATAGGAACCGAACACCAATTGATCCCTCTTTCGATATATTCATTCAAATTCTCCTCGATCTCATCATTCCCCGGTGGCGGCTTATACAACACATCTCCTTTTCTTAATATCAATTCCAGTTTTCCAATTGGGTTATTTATGTTTAATAATGCCGTAGGGATGGTTTTGATTAAATTCGGAATAGTCGGACCTAATGTGAATTCATTCTTTGGTATTGTTGATGATACTGATACCGTTCCGTTGATTTCAAATGTGCTGGGGATACTTATGTTTAAATGCATCTTAGTTGTCATGGGGTTGATGAAATGGAGTAATAGGATCTGGGTTGATTTCCAATATTTGATCGATTTGGTGAGGAGTTTTTCAGGATGATTGAAGAGATTGGAAATGTGTATATTTGGTAGATAGTCGATTGCATTGAATTTCACAGTGTATTTATTTATGGTTGGTGATGTTGGGGTTTGTGATTGGAGAATGGTATTACAATCTAAACATCGTATGGTCTTTTTTGTAGTTAGTTTCTTCGCTATTGGATATTTCTTAATTGGTTCAACTTCCAATTCTTCTTCCTCTTGTCGTTGCTCTACGTCTGCTGATTTCTTCATCATTAATTCAAGATTCTTCCTAATTTGATCATCACTCTCATCCCGTGATTTCCTAAACTCAAAATTCTCACTATTTAATACTCCCTTCTTAATCTCCCCGCACAACTTCTGAAACCCATCCGGATCCTTCTCCATCTCATCTCGAAGTATATAATGTAATGACTTCGGTTTGTATACCACATCAGTCACATATCCCCATTCACAATAAACACAATTAAACCTAAATGATTTCCCATTCTCTTCATGATCAGTCAAACTAATCGACAAATTTGAACTACATTCAGGACAAGTGAAACAATTCCTCATACATTGAGATATGCCAGGTTTTTTGGTATAGTCAGTTAAACAATTGCTACAGAACTTGGAATCGATGATGAAGGATGTTTGATGGGGTGGTTTGGGGAATTGACAGGTTGGACAGAAGTAGAGGGTGGATAGGGGATGGATGAAGTTGGTGGTGATGTTGGAGCGGTCGAATTGGAGTGTGGAACAGCAGTATATGTTTGAATTGTTGTAGATTCTTGACATGTTCTGGGGGCAGGGGCTGTGGTTGATAAGATATTTCATTGACTGTTCATTTATTTTTATTTTTTTCCAATGTAACGTAACATTTTTGAAAATTTATTATGAGAGTTTAAACATCTTCTTTTCAGAGAATGAATAAACAACCGACTGCTAATAAACATACGATTATAGAATTATTTATCCTCCAAAGAAAGTACCCCGTTAGGGGTAAGCAAATATAAGGAAATCTAAGTCCACCAAGTGGAAATGTTCGTTGTTGTACCCTAAGATAAACAAGGCTCAGTCCACCTCTTTTGCGGAGCTTGCTGTGTAGGATTTCTCGATATTCTACGAACAATGAAGTGGGGTTCTTTCATGAAAGATTGGCGTGACTCAAATATCCCTTGAGGTTGATTTCTCGAGTCAATAACCCTGTTTTAGTGTATTGTGACCAGTCCCAAAATAGAAAGTTAAATTGGGTCTTTATTTTGTTTCTTTTTCGCAGCCATTTTGGAGAAAATCATATTGAATGGCAACAATTTAGTTAAAGAATATACATAGAAGAATCAATATATACGCATGTTGTGCAAATTAAGAAATCATCATCACAACTCACCTCAATTAATATTGCCAATGAATATAAAACCATATGAAAAAGTTTTATTTAACCTTGGAATGAATTCAATGAGCTTGTCGCGTGCAAAACGATATTTTTTTTATGTGAGGCTATGTAAAGGCTTTAACCCCATCCCATTATACTCCATTTTGATCATTGCTTTCTACATCAATATATAAATAATAAGTAATCTCCCCGGATTTTATACTAATAACATTCATACAAAATGACACACTAACAATGAAATTAGCATATTTCATATTATACGCATTAATATCTGGAACAAGTATCCTAAACTCAACCACTCATCTCCCAACCCTCTCGGCTCCCACAAACTATTTCCTTCAAAGTGACCCTTCAACCCCAACCGACGCCTCATTACCCAATTTCGGTTTGAATAAGAACTATACCTGGCAAACAGTACTCGAGAATCTACAACCTAACCAAAAGTTATTCTTCATCCAACGACACGGAGACGCATATCACAACATAGCCCCAAGTTTATTTTCACCCACTGATTGGAATTGTTATTGGCAATTCCAACCAGGAGATGGGAACATCACTTGGGAAGATGCAGAATTGACCCCGACAGGCCAGGAAGAAATACGATCCCTCTCGACTCAAATCCAAAACACGACAGATTTCCCCGAAGTGGAGGTATATTATGTCAGCCCTTTGAGGAGGACACTTGAGACTTGGGATCTAACATGGAGAAATCATACTGATAAAATACCCACCATTAAGGAATTATCAAGAGAGACATATGGATTAGATACCGAAAGTGAACGACATTCAGAATCATACATTTCCGAAAACTACCCCGGATTTGATTTTGAGCTGGGATTTCTGGAAGAGGATGTTTTATGGACTCCAAATGTGCGTGAAAATAGTCAACATCGGAATTTTCGAGCTGCTACTTTGTTGACGGATATATTCAGGTCCAATAATGGGACAAATGTGATCAGTATCGTTTCTCATGCAAATTTGATCCTGTCGATATTACAAGTCGTGGGACATCGGTCATGGTCATTGGCTACCGGGGGTATGATCCCGGTTGTGATTGGGATAAATGATGTATATATGGATTATGAATTGAATCAACGATGGTTGGATTATAGTGATCTTTGTTCCAATTCGAAGTTTACTAAGACAATGACGTTTACTACTGGGAGAACTAATTTTCCCGATGTGACAACTACGATTGAAGCAGGTTTGAGTACATTAGGGCTGACGAATACGTCTGAAACTAGTAGCGAATCCCATTCGACAAAGACAAACACGGCGAATTATGGTTTAAAGGGGGCATCTTTTAATGGATTGCTTTTGGTTCTACTATTATTTATTTAGTATGTTGCTTTTTAATAAAAAAAATCTATGCATTCATTAAATTAATATCATTGAGAGAAGAGGGAAGGGTAATCAGTCTATTTCATTTACAGCCATGTAACTAATGACCAAGTTGGCAGTGGCAATTATTAGAAACAGTTTTGTTTTACTACTGCAAGAAACTCTCTATCTGGCTTAAGAATTGTAGTTCCAGATGTAACCTGTGCCAACAACCTGCATTTCCATATCGAAGAGGACAATATTTGCCCCAATTAAATCGTACTTCTTTGTCAAATGTTGCCAGCTCATTTGGGACACAAAACCAGCCTGTTGTAATGCAAGCATACTTATAGTACATTTTGTTAACTTTAACCGAACAATAACAGTTCGACCACGCCGCATGTTTTCAGCAGATGAAATCCGAAACGTGATCAAAGGATTCAACTACCAGGTAAAAAATGCGATTCCTTATTCACTTCTTCTCATCTGAAACCAACCACTTGGTCTTCAAATAGAACACACCCCCCTTATCAGGATTGCACTAGGAATGCAGGTCTGTCTATGTTGCATATATCCGCTATTTTATATGTATGTGAACCCAAAAACTTGTGGCTAATGAAGAAATATTTTTGTAGTTCAAATATTGCGCTTTTTTTGAGCATATTTTGCCACAATCGGTTTGTGTCGTTATGTGATAACGTTGCATTATCACCGAGGTACATATTTAGAAATGTCGTTTGAAATGAGACTTGAAGGGATGAATATTGAGCGGTTCGTCCGGTTTGTAATTGAGACTTGGTGATCTTGATATTCTTGTCACTGACATGCGTATACGTCTGTGTTGTTGAAACTACGGAGAAACCGCTCTGAAATCGGTTTTCTTTTCAAACTACTCTTGTTCTTGAGGTGGCTATCTTGAAATAACAATTATTTATGGTTCCATTGAGCTAAACTAAATCTATCTCTAGTACTATTTTCTTTGTTCCTTTTTGTTTTTTAGATGGAAGGATATTTGTTTATTTGAGAGCAGCAGTTTGCTGCTTCTTTTGGAAATTTAATACTCTTACACTTTAGAAAGTTAGTACAACTCAAAACGTGATTTGATACAAGCTTGATAAGAGAAGACTCGGATTCGAGGTTACTTAATGAACCCGATTTGAAGACTCAGATGTAATAATACTTCATTGCTATTGTAGATTTCATGTCTTTCAATTGACATCGCTTTATCACGAAGTATATGTGAGACCGTTGAGGTCATTTGGATGCAAACAAAATTTTTTTTTTTGCAACCTAAAAACAAATGTAACATTACGCAAAAGAACAAGTTGCAACCTAAAAAAATATTTTAAACACACACATCTGTCAACGTTTCATTTTCACACACACACATCCGGTCTGTCAAATGGGTTCTTCTACTGATTGAGATTATGTCTAGAAGTTACATCCAGAAATTTAAGGAATCAGATGGTTCGATCAAATCTGAAGATCTGGAAGAAAAGTTTGGACAGGCTGTAGTCATGGATTGTGTGTTGTTTGGGTATCAATAAAGCCTCACTTTGACAAAAGCTAGCTTTTTTTGTACTTGCTGATATAGAACTTAGAAATATGAAGACTGAGTTTCTCTTGACCGTCAGGGTACAACCGTTAAAACAATTACACGTTTACCTCCTGTCTCTTGATGATATTTATCTTATATGATATGGGATTATGGATTTTTTCTATCAAATGTTTTGATCAACTGTTTTCCATTGAATAATATTTCTTTCTCATTTCATTATTTTTTTTTTTTTCAATGTCTGTTGGTTGCAACATTACATTTTTTTTTTTTTTACTAGAGGGGCGGAATCAGTCCATGTCAAATATCATCATTTTTTAGAATAAAACCCACTTGAATTCCACATAAATACTACAACTATCAATATGTCTGTTTGTTTTCTAGAAGAATCCAATCGAGTCTAACGACCAACAATCAAACAAATACAAAAATATGGAAAGCACAGATTCCACATCTTCTTCAGGCAAAATACAATCAAACACCCTCCAAGAAGAAAAATCACACAGTTCTATATCCTTCCTAGGTGACAACAACGAATATGTCGTCATAAATGGCGCCATGATCCGTCGACACGTCCTTACCTGGCCCCAAGCAAAACATGAATATGGAAATTCCGCTGCTATCGGATTGGCATCATTCGGATTAAGTACTTTCGTGCTTGGATTTTATCTTGCAGAAATTGGTGGGGTTGAAGTTCCTAATATTGTCGTATCTTTGGCATTCAGTTATGCCGGGATAGTAGAGGCATGTGCTGGTGTTTGGGAATTGATTAATGGGGATACGTTTACTTCAACCGTGTTTATCAGTTTTGGTACGTTTTGGATCTCATTTGCGTCGATAAATATCCCTACGTTTGGGATTATGGATGCTTATGCGGATGAACCTGAACAATTGGGGAATGCAATTGGGTTTTTCTTGTTAGGTTGGGGGATTTTCTCCTGTATGATGACGCTACTTGTTATGAAAACTACTTGGTCATTGTTGACGTTGTTTGTGACTTTGGATTGTACATTTTTCCTTGTGGGTGCATTTTATTGTACTGGGAACCATGGATGTAAAATTTCTGGAGGGATTACGGCGATTATTAGTGGGATTTGTGGATGGTATGCTTGTTATTGTTCAATTTGTGATAAGAAGAATACTTATTTTATTGCACCATCACTTGCCATTCCTGTATTTACCAACCAGTCAAATTAATTATTAACAATATATATGTAAATTAGAATTTAGAGCATTCATAAACAATTAATTTTTAACTGTGTGTATTCACTTTCTGAATATATTTCCTTGTCATTCGTAGATCTCTACGGGACCTCTTGGAAAGTATGTAGAAGAAATTTCATAAGCAAAGTCATTTTTTGGTAGCTATTAGCAACAACCACCAACATTCAAGGAGATTCTACACAATATGTCACCAAATCTAGAACCATTTTTCAACATGCATACTCAGACATGAAAGGCGCCTCGTAAACCCACCTTCTAAAAGAATTGCAAACAACAATAAAATATTTTTTTCGGGCGATCTGGTTCGATTATTATATTTTTTTTCAAATAAAATAAAAAATGTCTGATAATTTAATTTCTCTTGTCTATTCTCGCGTGTTGGTAGGCGATTTCTTCAATAGTGTTGACATGANATCTCTTGTCTATTCTCGCGTGTTGGTAGGCGATTTCTTCAATAGTGTTGACATGAAGAAGCAATCGAAGCTAGCCCATTGGTTAACTTGAGATGACACGCACAAAAGTAATTCAGTGAAGAATTTTAGTTCATTGCATGATTGAGTTTCTCCAATGTTTCATGCTGTGAACAATAATTATGTCGATACTGTAATCTAGCGTATATTAGACTTTTGATGGAATCGGCAACTAGTTCCAGAATAACCTCATAAATTATAAACTGTTCCGGTCAAGTTGACTAGACCTTTCAAAATGGCAACTTTTTCGTACAATAAGTAGATCGAACTGTATTTGGTCAGAACAATTTCGTCTATAGAGGGCGTTGTTCTTCCACTATTTGGTTTGCTTGTCTTAAGCGACCAATACGCGTGGATGTATAGTTTAGAAGACGGTCAGATACATGTGTAGGTTGTTTTGCAATTTTCAATGTTGACGGCGAATTCAAGGAAGTTCATACCCTCGAAAAGCTTTGTGGTACTTGCAAAAGGGGCTCACATTCAGCTAACAAAGCAAGATATAACTATTATTACAATCAAAAAGGATTGCGTGAAGTTAGATTACGGCTAATCTTCCTTTAATCTTCCTTTTAGGGTATACTCTTGGGTGTATTACAAGTAATGGATAGGTCCTTTCTATAGAAGTAAAATAACTTATCTAAACTATATACTCTAGACTTGGACTAGGGGGGAAATTGAGCCATATTTATATTTGTTCATTTAAGCACCGCACAGTACTTTTATTGGACAGACTATAAGCATATCGACAGCATTACTAATCATGAGAATTAAGCATAATGATCAAGTGTACTTAGGAATCGGAATATGGTCGTAACAACTACTATCTAAGTGGATTTCAATCTCTTTCGACATAGGGAACATCATAAATGCTCGACGGAATCAAGAAAAGTCTCGCTACATTAAGCGAATTGTATTTTTGCAGCCATCTATGAGTTGGCAACCTTTTTTTTTCCATATTCAGTGAAATGCTTCTTACTTCGAAGATGTATATCATTCCGTGATTGCAGTTCGCCATTAATCAGGAAAGCGCTATATCAAACCAATATTTGAAATAGGGTAGTTTAATTTCTTTAGAGTGGCCATTAATTTTTGTACAAGCCCATGATTCATTTTAGAAATCTAATTGAACTTGCTCCCATAATAGAAATTCAGAAGAAGCCTGCTACCGTTTAATTGAAAACAAGTCAGATAGTCAACATAGAGTGCTGTGATTAAATCTCCCTGTGTGTCATCTAAACGAAGTCATTAATGGGTTGATAAATTGATGATGATAATGATGACATCCCTCCATGTCATCATTGGCTGCTCATTGCATGTCACACAAATTCAGATTAATTAAAAATATTTTACATAGATTTCGATTTTGTGGTCTTTCGTAAATCTGATTATTTGGCAGTCACTTTATGGAGTTTTGACACACATACCCGGTCTGACAAATGAGTCTCACATCTTAATGATCAGAGACCCTCCTTACTGATGCCACTTCTAACCATTGCATTTAGCAACTTATAGAACCAGATGATAAGATCAAATGTAAAGATCTGGTACATATATTGGATGGGCCGTAGTCATAGCTGGTGTATTGTTTTGGCTATAAATAGAGCCACTCTAGTTTTTTTGGATTCTTGCAGTTATAGGACTCGGAAATATGACTACAGACTTTCTGTTGACCTTTACGG